ACATACATGTTTAGCAAATACTTTGCCTGTTGCGTAGAATGGAGTAAAAGCGAGCTTTTTCGTTTCCGAATATCCCTACTACCTATCATGAGCGACATGATAAAAGCGATCGGTATCCCGGATCATGAGCCTGGGCAATCTCGATCGGAAAAGGGCCATACGTGCGACCGATGTTTGGCAGCATGGCCAAAAATACCGTTCGAGAAAGACAGTGCAGATATTTTCAGAATCGAAGAGAAAGCGGAACAGCTTTTGTTATCAGCTTGTAAGGTGTGTCAAATGCTTGGAATGGTGATGCAGGCATACCAAGATGAAACACCTAGCTTCAATGGGCCTTTTCTATTGCGTTGGAAACGTTTGCATGACGGTGGAGGCTTCGTTATCTTTCATGGTTCGAACGGAATCGAAAGAGGAGGGATTGGGCGACCCGGACCCGTCCAAGTTTGGCAAGATCCGATATATGCTCTGACAAGCCCCGAAAATGTTGAGGGCGTACACTGTGATTTCGGCACAATCAAAAGCTGGCTTGACAAATGCGACTTACATATTGAGTGCAAATCTAGTGTACATCAAGGACCGCAGAACCTGAGAGTAATTGACTGTATGGAAAGAGCTGTCGTTTCAGCACCTCTAGACTGCCATTATGTGGCTTTGTCCTATGTATGGGGCGGCCTGGTCTTTAAGACAGACTCGACGTCTGGAATTCTGCCTACTATGTTGCCTCGTACTATAGAGGACGGTATCAAGGCTACTCTACTTCTAGGGTATCGGTATCTCTGGGTTGAGTGAGTTTCTCTGCACCGATCGTTTCGGAAGTTTGAGCTAATATCACTCACAGCGCTTTCGTAAGTGCTACTCTTAGCAAGTAAGCATTTCTGATCAAAGGACTAGTGTATAAAGCAAGATGAAGCAGAGGATAAGCATCATCAGATTCAACAGATGGATTTGATTTACACCTCATCGGTGCTCACCCTGATCGCCGCAGCAGGCAGTGACCCCTCCTATGGCCTACCGGGTGTAAGTAACGCACGAAAGTTGAGGTTCCTAAATACTTCGATTGGAAATGTGTACCTATCGTTTACTCCAGAAAATGCTCACCGTGCTGTTGCCGGTTCTCCGTGGTTCACACGGGGTTGGACATTTCAAGAAGGCTACGTTGCACGAAGAAGACTATACTTTACGGAGAGTGGGATTTTGTTCGTTTGCAACACAGCGGAAGAACACGAAGAACTTTGGCGTCATCATGGACCGGCCATCTCTATACTCGAAGGTACCTTGAATTCGCGAGCCTTGAAGGCTAGGAATGACGGACTCGAAGGAATCATGCGATTGCTGGAGCAGTACATGAGACGTCAACTCAGCTACGAGAATGACGTCTTGAACGCAATACTGGGCGTTCTGAACTACCACCATACGAGAAACCCGTCTATCGGTACTATATGCGGCCTACCATACCAAACATCGGTGGCTGGCCCGAAGATCGTATGCGTAAACTGGACGCACAGCAGACCCGCTACCAGACGACTGGGATATCCCAGTTGGTCACCGTTTGGTTGGATTGGTCCTGTTAATTTCTCGCCCATTGAAGACCAATTCCATCCATCAAAGGAGGACGCTGTCAGCTTCTCGGGCCACGTTCGAGATGGGTGTGCCGATTGGAACCACATAGAGACCTCACAGTACTTACAAATCACCGTCCATATTCATCATCTTCCTATAGTAAACATATTCAGGTCGGATTATCCAATTCCGGTCAATTGACTTTCAGAGCACACGCAAACGAAAACGATGCTGGCGCTTCCCGTCGGCGGTATGAAATTGAATTACGATGACCCTAACTTTTACACGGAAATTTTGTGGGATCAAGCCCCACCTGATCACTACGACAGCAATTGGGTCACATGCGCGGTTCTACCCAATTATCACCTCGCATCCCATCCGCTGATGATACTACAAGACCACGGAACGCATTACGAACGTGTAGGGCTCGCGATGCCCTGTGGTACTCGTTTGATGACCACAATAAAAGCTGCAGGGCTCGACGAGTTGGCTTCTACCACCAATGGCATACCGACCTTACGCCGTGGAGAGGGTACGAACTCTTACGTGTTACCCATCAGTCCTGATGAGGAGGATTTTATTTGGCTACAATTTGCGACAAAAGTGATCATCACTCTCGGCTAAGAGCGCTCCTCTACCAGCCCACTTCATATCACAGCGACCTCATAGACCACGCAATATGCGTCCGAAACAAGAGATCTTTCAAGTTTCGGCTCTGACTTGCCTTACTACCGGCGTTGATCACATCGACGCATGAAACGCGCCTGATCACCACCATCTCGATTGCATCTCGTCCTGGAATCAATGATTGGAAGAATCTCCTCATCTTCTCCCTATGGAAGGTATCATAGTTCAGATTATATCTTGAGACTCAGTACTGCGTTAAAACAAATTCACTTAGCCGGTCTGGACCGAGGCCGTGGAGCAGAGAGTATGTTGAAGAGCCTTGCTAGGAAAGCGTGATTGACTGAACTGAGGGGGATGTCAAGAAAGCTCAAGACGATAGTGTGAACGACCTCATTCTCTTCTGACTCCGATCTCTAGAGGCAGCTCCAGATCCTTCGCGGTCGAACTCTGACTCTTGCTCTCTTCCATCAATCACCTTCATCCCCTGGAAACCTAACCCTTGGGCCCCATTCGTCTTCTCCTCAAACACCTCATTCACAGCGCGAGACGATACTAAACTGAAGCAATTAAAAGAGGGCGATGGGATAGAGCGTGGAATGTGAGAACTTGATGGAGCTGGTATAGCTATGTACTAAGGCTATGGAGGGGTATGTGCATGCGGAGAAGTTGTCAGTTTATCGCAACCTCATGGCAGATACACAGGCATACAAACATCTAAAATTAGACCGCTAGTAGTAGCCAATTAACGGTCTCCTGTAAGCGCGCTTTTTCCCTTAATGCAACGTTACAAAAGTCATAGCGATTCAGGTCAAAATGGCAACTGGACCCTCTACCTACTTATTAAATCTCCTCTTGCTAGCAAGTGGCCGTTTTTGTTCACGAAGTCAACCGTTTCTCACACACTATGCATATACTCGATTTGCCAGTAGAGCTTTTGCACGAAATCCTTGGTTGGGCTATTCTAGTCCGGGGAATCAAGCGCGGCCTCCGGTTACGGCTTGTGAATAGTAGGCTTTGCCCTGCCGACTGTGCCATCTTCTGCTTACCAACGGCTATAGAGATCTTTGCTAGCGAGATTGTGGCTGCGCTTTCGTTATTCAAGCTTCTTGATACCTACTTCAAGCCCCTGCCCTTCGGCAGCGACGAGGCTGTACCTTCTATCGCTACAACGTATCTTGAACGCCGAGTGTTGAACGAGCGTTGCGGTGGGGCTCCTGTGCTACTCTGGATTCGCAGCGTCGCCAACCGACTAAGCCAAGAGACGGATGACGAACGAAACGAGTACGACTACGTTCGGCAGTTATGCCCTCTTGTGTTGGAAACGTGTAGTGTACGCCTTGACGACCTATGGACGGTGGACCAAGCCGTGGCCTGGCGCAACGGGCTTTTTAATGATAGTAACTTGGATACTGATGTCTATATTACTGCCGTATACACACAGACGCTCCCTGTTGTTTCTAGGTGGATCTCGAGCAGAAAGGGTTTGGCGAGAAGCAGTCTTATCTTTGGTAGGGCACATCTCCATGCTGCTCGGTACGGTAATCACGAGATTCTTGCCGCTATGATGGACCTACGGTACGAGAGTGACTTTCAAAGACTGCGAACTTCCTTTCTAGTGGAAGCTGCCAAGTATGGACGTGTAGGAGTGACGCGGTTCGTGTTGGAGTTCCAGGCAGTAGAGCGTCCGTGGTTGTGTTCGAGAAAGATTAAACGGCCATCCTATCCCTCTTCCAACGAAAGAGAGCTAGCTTTGCTAAACACACCTAGTCAGGAGATTTTTGACGTGGTGATGGAGAAACGAAGGGAGCACTGCATTAGCAGAACGTTTGGTGTTAAGGAATACACAGGATTCTTGGTATATAGCGCAAGACATGGGTGGGTAGATATGACGGAGCGCTACCTTGCTCTTGGAGCGCGTGTAGACGGCCTAGGATTGTCTAGCGAGTACAGGCAACGACCCCTTCTAGGCGCTTGTAGAAACGGGCACAACGAGGTAGTTCAGGTGTTGCTAGAACATGGTGCGAGTGCGTGTAAGCCGGCGTTGGAGACAGCAGTACAAAATGGACATTTTGAAGTTGTTTCTCTGCTTCTAGAGTACAATGCGGAGCAAGGGAATGCACTTGCGGAAGCAGTTTCCAAGGGGTACCGAAGCATTGTTCGTAGGCTACTAGGGCGTGGAAGCTACGACAAAGAATTTCTGCAAGGCTTGCTCGATCGGGCGGTTGAGATTGAGGACCAGGCTATGCTGGAAGATCTGCTAGAATATAGTAGAGGTGCTAGAGTAGTCAGAGTAGAATTCGGAAAAGATGTCAAAAAAGAGATAGTTAAGAATGAAGCGTAAAAAGAATGCAGGCTGAATAAAGGTTGAAACATCTCGAAGAAAAAGGTTAGAGTAACTATTACAACAAGAGTGACTAACTGAAGAAGAGTGAACAACTGAAGTAGTGGGAGTAAGTAAGCTAACCCTGTAACCGCTGTGTATCGTAGGGTTAGGGTCAGAGTTAGGGTTAAGGACGAGGTTTCTCTTCTCTTCGTATCTCATGTATCTCATTCAGGATGCTAGTAATAAACAACGCAGTGTTGAACTCTACTTTTCTATCCCTGTTCTTCCCTAGCCAGTGTATATGCAAAATCAATCAGACGCCGTACGATAGCCTTCTACCCATACTTTTGAGGTCACGGATATGCGGCAGCGAACCCAAGATATCAGAAGCCGTATCGTTTTGATGTTGCTGAACGAGATCGATCGAGGATGGAGAACGCTTCTGAGCATCCTCGTGTCTTTGTTCGCGATCCCGGGAAGGACTGTCCGCCTAGTACAGGACCCTGGTACGGATACATGCTGGATAAGGTTAGCTGTCAATTCCACGGTACACAAAGAAGCTGATGTAGACTTACAAGAAAGCTCCTCCAAGCTGGTAAACAGATCCCTAATCTCACCCTCCTTGACTTCACTAATATCCGCCATGAGGTATGCGACATCGCCTCTTGAATCGGACATTTGCTTCTCAATGTTGTGGTGGAGAAGGATACCGTTGACTTGTCTCAACACACCCGGTACGTTCTTGTGGATGTAGATGACACGCATGCAGTCTGGCTGGTCGAGAGTCAAGCTACGTAGGTTGACTTCTGGCAAGTTGACGGCTCCGAGTGTGGTGCCCTCGTTCACGTAGCGGACGAGTGCTGTGCTGACTTCGACACCAATGGCGGACTGCGCTTCTTCGGTACTGCCACCAATGTGGGGAGTGAGGATGATGTTCTTCAGACCAACGAGGTCCTTGGTCCAGGAGTTGAGGTCGCTGGAGAAGTAGTCGCCGTTGCCGGCGGGTTCGTTGGGGAAGACGTCGATGGCGGCACCTGCGAGTTTGCCAGAGCGGCTGGCCTCGATCATGGCGGGAATGTCGACAACAGTACCACGGGCGTTGTTGATGAGATAGCTGCCGTCCTTCATCTTTGCGAACTGTTCTTTGCCAATCAGGTTCTTGGTCTCAGAGGTAGCCGGAACGTGAAGAGAGACAAAGTCTGCTTGTGCAAGTAGGTCGTCCAGCGTCGCTACTTGTCGCGCAGTTCCCAGACCCATTGTGGTAAGAACGTCGTAGTAGATGACGCTCATGCCCATGGACTCAGCCAGCACACTCAGTTGGCTACCAATGTGACCATATCCGACTATACCCAGCGTCTTGCCGCGAATCTCCCAGCAGCCCTTGCTGACCTTGTTCCATGTGCCGTTGTGTAGTTCCATAGAGCGGTCGGCGAGCTGACGGGCGAGCGCGATGATCTCGGAGATGACGAGTTCTGCGACGGAGCGCGAGTTGCTGAAGGGCGAGTTGAAGACGGCGATACCCTGGCTGGCGGCAGTCTGGAGGTCGACCTGGTTTGTTCCGATACAGAAGCAGCCGATGACGATGAGGTTCTTTGCCTCCTCCAGCACCCTCTTGGTGAGCTTCGTCTTTGAGCGAATTCCAATGACGTGGACATCGCGAATCTTCTCAATCAGCTGGTCCTCTGCCAGACTGGCCTTGATGGCCTCGACCTGGTATCCCTGGCCCTTGAGAATCTCGACACCGGCTTCGTTGACATTTTCGAGGAGCAGGACCTTGATGTCCTTGGTATCGAAAGGCTTCAATTGCTTGGCGAGCTGTTGCGCATGCGAGCTGTTGGTTTGATTTTGGCTGTTGAAGCTGCCGCTGGGTGGTTGGCGAAATGTGGAGGGCGGGCTGTGGAAGGAGAGGTTTGGACTGGTGCTGAGGTTGAGGCTGTTGGACACTTGACGTGCGAGTTGGCTGATGCCGCTGCCGGCAATGTCTTGTGCGGGACTCATGGTGTGTGCGCGGAGGTGGTTGCGGAGGTGGTTCGGGGGAGGGATGCGACAACTCAATCTGGTTGTTTGATCCGGAAAACGTTGGGAATTCTAGACTATTAATACTTAATGACTCTTCTATGGCCTTTACCAAACTGTGCAAACTTGGACGAATCACAGAGCAATTGCAAGGCAGGTTCTAGGAAGTTGCGGCTAGGCATGACTGGCGGCAACAATGCACAGCAACAACAAACGCATGTGAGCTGATATCCACTTTTTCCAGAGTACTTGATGACTGTGTGCAACTAATTTTCCCTACAGTGACACCTACAGTTGACTCAGTCGGCGTTCTCTGACGCGACGCTCCTCAAAAATTTCTCATGTCGCCGATGATGCCATCCCGCTCTGGCCCTTTACCCCACCAGGAATACCTAGCTTACCAGCCCTCCGCTTTCGGAAGTCAAGTATGCAGGTCCAGGCACAAATGCTTCGTCATGGAAAACCAGTCACCACATATGCACGGTTGAGCGCTTTGATTCACGACATTGAGACGCCGTTGTATTCATTCATTATCTATTCTCTTGAATGTGCCTAAGTTGCTCACACTACCCTAAAACTCATATTCACTGTGATCCCGAGCATACCTTACCACAGGCATTCGTAAAGTGTAGAGCAACCACCTACAACTTTTGCTCGTTCATGGGCCATTGGTATCCTGCAATCGTGTTAGCATTTTTCTTCTAGTTTGCTACAGAGGTGAGGTCCTACCTGCTGCGTCGCTGAACTTGTATCCGTAAGAAGAGGTGAAATCGTCCAAAACGGCAGGGCCACGGGAGCCTGATGATGGTCAGTAAATGTGCGCTTTGCTCTTCAATACAATACGAACCGTATGGGTATTCCATGGGGATGATCTCCTTGTTGTCGTCAAGGTAGTGCAGGAGAGGTGTGAAGATTCTCCAGCTGGCGTCGAGTTCGTCGTCACGGACGAAGTTGGAGTGGTCGCCCTTCAATGCGTCGAGAATGAGCGATTCGTATGCCTCAGGAATCTTCAGGTCGGAGAATCGCCGCCTGTAGGTAAGGTCGAGTTCTGTGACGACAGTCTGCATGCTGAGACCGGGCAGCTTGGAGTTCATCTTAATGTAAACACTCTCGTTGGGCTGCACTCGGATGACGAGCTCGTTTCGTGGAATGTCCTTGAAGATTCCAGAGGTGACATCCTTGAACTGAATGCGGACCTCGGTCTTCTGCTCGTTGAGAGCCTTTCCTGCCTTCAGGATGAAGGGTACACCGTCCCATCGCTCGTTCTTGATGTAAGCGACCATAGATGCGAAAGTGGGGCATCGGGAGTCCTTGGGGACTGTGTCATCCTCCTTGTAGCCTGGCTTCTGGCCGTCCAGCGACTTTCCATACTGTCCAATGATGACGTTCTTGGGCTCGATAGAGGCCATGCCACGGAGGACGCGGACCTTTTCGTCACGGATGTCTTCGGCAGAGAAGGAGATGGGTCGCTCCATAGCGAGGAGAGTAAGAACTTGGAGCAAGTCTGTGATTGTCAGTCATTGCTTCTTCCTACTATCAGTAAATCACTCACGGTTTTGCATGACATCACGAATGATGCCGAACTCGTCGAAGTAACCTCCACGGCCTTCGGTTCCGAACGGCTCCTTGAAGGTGATCTGGACGTTGTCGATGTGGTTCCTGTTCCAGGTTGCGCCGAAGAACTCGTTACCGAATCGGAGAATCAGGATGTTCTTGACCATCTCCTTACCCAGGTAGTGGTCAATACGGTAAAGCTCGTCCTCAGTCCAGTCTGGCGCCAACGCGCGCTGGAGCTCTCTCGAACTTGGGAGGTCCTTGCCGAAGGGCTTCTCGACCTGCATGACAGCGGTTAGCTGCATTCGTCCGGAAACATGCATAGGAGCTACTTACAATAACACGAGAAATGCCGTTCTTGGGGTAGCAGTTGCGCTTCAAGTGCTGGGACACTGTGATGAAGACGCTGGGAGGGAGAGCCATGTAGAATATCCTGTTGTTCTCCTTGCGGCCCTTCTCAATCTCCTGCATGTGCTTCTCGAGTCCAACAAAAGACTCATCCTGGTCATACTGGCCCGAAACGTACGAGCAGAACTCGCAGAACTCATCTAGCTGCTTCTCCAATTCCTTTGTGGGGGTCTTGATGTAAGACTTGACGCGCTTGAGGTACTCCTCACGGTCCATCTTCGTGCGTGCATATCCGACAATGTGGATGTTGTTTGGGAGGAAGCCGTTTCGGTGCTGTATTGGTGGTCAGAAATCGAATGCGAGTCTTGGTCGTGCAACCTACGAGACCGAAGAGCGCTGGGAACTGATATGACGTTAGTGTGATGATTCTCTACGTATTTGCTTCTTTACATACAGTCTTCTTCTTGGCCAGGTCACCGGAGGCACCCAAAACAACAATGATGGTGTTGTCCTTGAGCTCCATGTTTCTATCGCGAGATTTGTCAGCCGTCATGTTCAGAATGCTGCAAGGGTGTTGGGCGCTTCGCGCGTCGAGCGACCCCTCCGCCGAAGAGCGCAACGTGCTTCAGCAGAAAACAACTGCCGGATAAATTGGTTGGATATCCAAATAGCTCTCCAAAGGCTGTAGCAAGTCGGTCAGAGACGGTGAGGGCTACTTACCCGGCATTGACCTCCTCTTGCTTGGGCTGGATAACTGTGTCCGCCATTGTGTTGATATGTGATGTAAACGCTTTGCGGGAGGGGGCGGGCGCAAGGTTACAGCTCAATTAAGGGCTGTAGGGAGTGATGGAAATAAGGTTAGACGAGAGATCTCGAAGTAAGGGCGGAAGCTACGGATAGGACGTTGGTGTGTGAGGAAAAGTCCTATGTAGTGGGGTTATCGGAGCTGCTCTAGCGGTTTCGCGTGGTGGTGACGTTGGTTAGCTTTAATTTGCCGCTCGAACGCCGGTGATAGGGTATCAGACAGGAATGCTTCACACAAACACACAGCGAGGTCTGACGTCCTTAAAAAGGTATCAGTAAACAACTAGGTCATTCTCCAAGCATCACTAAGCCGCCGCACGACTTGCAAAACATCTCCGGCACCAGTCAAAACCCTTGAAGCCCGCCGGAGGAGACCTTGCTAAAGCCGTACCCAGGGATGCGCGGACAACCCCACCATCACCATGCACTGCGCGTGGAACGGCTTCGTGCGCACTTGGCTGGAAGTCGATAGACTTTGAGGCTCTGAAACTCTGTTTGCTTTTCTACAATTGAGTTCCAAGCCCTCGGTCGTGTCGCATCACTGTCACAGCGCCCGAGGGAAGCTGCATCCCATGTACGGCTACCCCGCCGCGAGGCTCCCCGAGTCCGAACAATGTGTAAATTCTATTAGAGTATACACAAGCATCGGCACGTCTCAGTGTCTCGGGCTGGTACTTGGGTCTGTCAAATCCTCCGGCCCCTCTTTGAGTATACCGAGCGGACAGCACTGGTAAGCTAGTAGCTTTGGTGGGGCACGTCGTAATTGAAGACTGGCAACAGCCATGGCGTACTGGCCCCAGCAATGCTTTGCGAACGTGACGTGAAAGCACTGGCAAACGCGATGGATATGTGAGAATTTTGCCGTTGGCTATTTGGATCATCCCAGACCGTGATATGATGAGTGAACCGTCTTTGGCCGGTCCGATTACTCATACAGTCCCCAATATGCCGATGGGCGACACGCGACGGCATCTCAGTAGGCAGTCGAAGGGGACAGTTATCAACAGTGAAGCGCCAGGCTTACATATCCGCTGCAAGGCAGGGCCCAAAGAGGTAAGAGGAGGTTAGGACAAGCATGGCCTTTGTGGCGGCGGGACATCTCGCGGAAGAATTGTGCCTTCACTCCCAACAGTTGTATACAACGACAGGAGGTCCAGCATACCAGTCCTCAAGCGCACGTCATGCAGATGCAGTGAGTGGTATACTGTCATTGCCTTACTTGCCTCAACTGTCACGAGAGCGCAATGCCACCGAACGAGCATATTTTGCCCAACATGCAATGGCATGGAAATAGCCCAGTTGCTCCCATGAACACAGGATGCATTGAAACCACCAAAAAATTTCTTTTTCTACAGATTTGGATTCCAGCATTCCATCGTGCTCTTGTTTTGATGTTCTTCAGACAACGAGGAGGCAAAGCAGTTGCGCCACAGCTTGTCCAGCTGTGGCTGGTGTGGCGCTAGTAAGCGAGAACGCCCCACTGGACATGAAGCAATTCGTCTTTCTCTTTGGCAACGACGACTTCTCTGTACTAACGACAGCATCAACCCCGACCCAGACGTCCCCTTCATCCCCCCGAGGCCGCCCAAAAAATTCGCCATGTCTGCCGACAACAAGTCCCATCGCCTTTACGTCAAGGGCAAGCACATCAGCTACCAGCGCGGCAAGGTTTGTGCGCACCGAATTCGCGTATTGTGGCTACCGTTCTGACGAGAAGGATAGAGGAACACCAACCCCGGAACTTCTCTGCTCAAGCTTGAGGGCGTCGACGATGTCAAGGCAGCTCAGTGGTGTATGTCCGCCCTGATGTCGCTCCGACCACGAATTTTGATGAGCTAACACACGTTCAACAGACGCCGGCAAGAGGGTAGCCTACGTCTACCGCGCACAACGGGCGATCCAAGGCTCCAAGATCCGCGTCATCTGGGTATGAACGCCAGCTACTTTGTCGAACGAGCCAAATCTAACATGAAAACAGGGCAAGGTCACCCGCCCTCACGGCAACTCCGGTGTCGTCCGCGCCAAGTTCAAGAACAACCTCCCTCCCAAGTCCTTCGGTGCCTCCGTCCGCGTCATGCTTTACCCTTCTTCGATATAAGCTGTTCCGATACGATCTTTGGCGACGGGAACGAACGGTCGAAAAGCAATGGAGTGATGGATGATTAGGCGCAAATACCGGGCACGGAGCGAGAGAACAAACAGTAGTGTGGGAGACACCATGCACAGTCTCTCATACACGTAAATGTTCAGGCTGGTGCAACGGTGTCTTTTGGTTCCGAAAGTCCATAACAATGGCAAATTCAATCAAGATTCCTTCCAAGATCAATGATACTACGTTCAAAGTCATTGAGAGCATTGGCGTGATGTTGGGATTGTAGCGCGGCGACTTGGATGATACATTGGTGTGCTGCTAACTGAGTCGTGTAGATTCTCCTTCGCAACGTCCAACGCAAGCTCGACTCTATCTAACGGTCGCACAATCGCAACTCCACTCGTCAACGACTCGCCATATAATCATACTCAAGGTTCACAAGGAGCCTTATCACCAGCCCGATGAGACGGTCTATGCATTGCGCCTCTTAGACACGGTAAAGCTTGCTATTACTACACAATACAGTTACGTCAGAAGGACGGTCGAATTTCGATACTGTTTCTCTTGTGTTGTATTTGCGGGTGTAGTATTAATGCACCTCCATATCTAACCAGTCGCGGCTCAAACACATTGCTCATCCTACTCTTGTCATCTTCACCGGACGTTGCAACATCTGCGTTCCCATTCTACCTATACCCGGTTATCCTGGCCTACGATAACATCTAGTCAGAGTCGTCGCTAAACTGTTCTCCTTGATCCGTGTCAGGCAAGTCGTCGTCGTCGTCATCACTCTGCGCCCTCAGCATCCAACCAGGGCTAGAGAAGCAAAGCGCAGCTTGTGAGGTAGCCGTGCGAGGTGGAGTTGCCGCTGTTGCCAGTGGCGGAGGGCTCGAAACTGTGGGCGCATTACGAATGCTAACCCTAGCAAGAGCTGATAGAGAGATACCGCTGCAGCGATGACCCCCAACATCACCAAAGGAACTGAAAGAGCGTGCCGAGAAAGGTGGTGCGAAGCGAGGAGTGCTCATCATAGGTGTAGCCAGCTCAAGGCTTGACCGGCTAGGGAGCGACTTCGATGTCGCCTGCTGTTCGAACCCAGCAGTTTTTGTCGTTGCCCGTGGGTCAAGTGTGAAAGAACTGCTCTCTCTAATGCTTGGTGTAGGCATATCGGATAGAGAATAATCGTCTGCCTGCTCCGCCTTTTCATGAACAACTGGCATCTCGTCATTCCGGGCTTCCTCCGACTCATCTGCGTCGGTATCCGATCCATCTCCCTGCTGTCGAAGGCTGTGATGGAAATTGACACCAAAGATGCCAGCAACTTGTGGTTCCTCTTCATCTCCCATCGCGTTCAGCCAAGCTTCTGCTTGCTTGTAGTCGTCTTCCAGGTTGGAATCGCCATCAGATGCGATTGTGAACGAGTCCTTTGCAGCCACCTCGGCCGTGGGCGGGCTAACAAGGACATTGGTATTTACTCCATTGTCTCCATGAGCTCGAACTCTCTACTCGCAGCCTCAGTCTTGGTCATCATAAATTCTTCGCTGTAGGCATCCTTCGTAGCTGCCTTGCGCAATTGCCAAATATCGCAGCAGCTTTCGACGATCTCCATTACAGCGCGGCCGTCTTCGGCCATCCTCTTAAGAGGTTCAGGCGTGCCGCTGGGGATTGACGTTGACTTCGAGTAGTCGACTAGGAGCACAGTTTCAGGCTTGAAGTCCACCAGACAAAGTAAAGCACTCTCTTTGGTAACATTCCCATGCACAATCTTGTGGAAATGCAAGAAGGTGAGAGCAGACATGAGCCGTCGCAGGAGCTTCGAGGCGATTGTGAAGCGTAGGCGCGGATGTTGTTCCTTGATGTCCTTTTCTAGGGCAGCATATGGCTCCAATCCCTCATGTGTTTCGGTGATCACTGCCGGAATATGATTGATTTCAACTGACTGCAGGTAACGAACGAGAGATGCATCCACCTTGTTCTTTGCCAATTTCAGAAATTCAGCGTCGCGAAGACCTTGGCCGTTGTCGTTATGGTGGAAGAATTTCGCTGTTTCGATATTACCGGTAAAGCGCTCAAGAACCCGATACGTGTTGGTGGAAATCTGGTCAGGACGCTGCAGATATTGATCCCGTGCCCAGGTCTCGGGGCGATGGACGACTTCTTGTAGTTGAGGGCGTAACTCTAGAAGTTGATAATCTTGGATCGGATACAGGCCGCGTACAGTCTTCAGCATGAAGATCTCGATACGTAAACCGTTGATCAAAACGTGGTTGACTAGGTTTTGTCGCAGATGGACGGCCTGAGGTAACTGGCTCGACAGCTTTCGTGTACGGGGGGTGCTGAGTTGGATAGGCGCACCATTTACCTCCGCAATGGTCTCAGTAGCGGACTGCAAACGCCAGCTATCGCTCTTCCATACCGGTGCGAGGTTGAATTGATGAATCCCGACCCTACTACCAGGGAAATACACATCGCGCATCGATGGCGATGCGCTCTTGTTGTCGGCACGACCCATCGTGTAGCAATGTTGTCCCTGAATGGCACCAAGGAAAACATGGCAGCCATCTAAGGACCACTCGCCATCGGCCAGCTGAGTCCTTATGCGCGATTTTCTGTACGCCGTGCTGCGATTTGCATGGTGAGCTCTATGGTCATAGACCGTAACAATTCCAACAACGTTGTCGACAGAGAGTCCGTCAGAGATAGGCACATGTCCGACTTGGACACGTTCCTCCCCAAGTAGACCCGACATGGTCGCGGTCGGTGTATATAGCTAGGGCGGTGGTGACGGTGCGGTGTTAGAATGGCGCGAGAGTTGAGTTTCGGGAATGGTCGCGTGCTTGTTAATTACTGAGCAAAGTCGGCACGCACAATCATACTGTGGTGAAGGTTTGATTACCAGCAGGCAAGTGTGCAGCAGAATTGATCGAAAAGGCCCTTCTGCATGTGCGCTCGCGACGAAGTCTCTCACCCACGAGTTGAGACTGAGACATTCACATGTGACCCCGACAGCCCGCGAGCTACGACAAGATATTCAGAAGCCCAGTTGATCGGCGTGATTCACTTGTAAAACTTGGTCCGAGCTGTCATGAAATGATCGGTCCAGGTTTTCCTGTCTTGGATGTCGTACAGACCTAATAAATCTGGCTTGCCGTCTCGAGCATTGTTTGTAAGTGTGACAGTATATCTGGTAACCCGTTAGTTTTCTGAGACAGCTTGCGTCTACATCAAACCTACACGACTGAGCCCCTTGCTATTTGGTCAAGCATAGTAGCTTTCTGGAACTGGTGTGCGTCTACCGGAAGGAAGAATCCCATGTCGGCAATTGCGATAGGCGGGTCTGTTACCAGCACTTCATCTCCCTTGCTCTTCTTAACTCTTCCCCAGAAAAAGTAGTTATCTAGGAGCATGGCATGTACTGGAATCCAAGGTCCTTGACCCTTGAACTTTATCGCCATGCCGCCTTGATGCACGACGCGCCGGCTGGGGTCGTGTAGGTATAGTTGCGAAAGCGTACTGGTGTTTGTCCGAATACGTTTCTCCAAGTTCTGCACGTCTTCACGGCCTTGCGCTTCCTCTAACAAAGCCAGCGTCAACGTCTTGAGCCAAGTGACGGCCTGCAGAGCGCGTCTCAAGCGCATGACCTCACCACTCGCTGCCGGATCGCGGAGCGTTTCAGCGATGTTGATGAGACTTTCCAAGCTATCGACATAAGTCTGCAACTGTATAATGGGAAGCTCCAAATAGTCCTGCCAGTTCTTGCCAAAATAAGAGATACTGAGACCGAGCGTGTTGACATATGGTGAGAACTTCGGGTCCATGTTTTGAGTTGTACGGAGTGAGGAGGACGCATGCGGCATCTTACGGCAATACTCCCGATATAGCCGTTGACTTTTGTCAACCCAGACTTCGAAGATGTGCGGATTGCAGAGAGCACTACCATTGCCAGCAAGTTCTTGATCCATGGTGTGCAACAGACATTGTTGATGTAGTGTGGCAAGTTGTTCGCCAACAAGAATCGCATTCAGATGTTTTTCGATGATTGGCCATTGCCTTATGATATTGTCGTAGAACATCCGTTTGAGTCTTACCATGCGGTCGACGAATTTTCTCTCTGCGTCCACGAGTGATCTCCAGATGCTGTTCATTTCGATGTTATGCAGGAGTAATGATGTCGACTGTGCTTTAGGTTCATTCACATCAAACTCGACATTACCTAAAGCATTGTAAGAGGATCTGTGCCCAAGTGGCAGCGGCTTCCGTGACGATTGCCCTGTTGAATTGGGGCTCAACTGCGGAGTTTCATACACCGTGTAAGTCGATGCGGTTGACACTTTCGATAGGATGGATGGCGCATCAGAGGAAAATATACTATCATCAGAAGACACTGAACGCATTTTGGGCGTTGCGACAGGCTGCCCGCTCGGACGACGAGGAGGTAATGGGGGCGGTGCTTCTGAGTCGTTCGTTGCTTTGTCTCCACTGAACGATCGCAATGGCGCCGGAGTTAAAGAGTCGGTAGAATGGACCGGCAATGCAGAGGCATTCTCAGAACCCGTATGGCTTGGAGTCAGAGGACCAGTTCGACTCGGTAGTGCAGAAGGGTTTTCAGAACCCGTATGATTCGGAGTCAAACAAAGCGCTGTAGATGAGGTTTGAGGCATGAAGGAAAGTATGTCGCGCTCGAGAGTATCAAACAAATCTGCGTGATCATCTTTTGTGGCGACTTGAGATGATATCTCTGGTTCTGCTTCAGCTTCAGGCTCTGGGACACTAATCGTAGTCTTCCTTTCCTCTAACGATAGTGGGCGAAGGTCTATGGGATCAACGCTCCTATCTTTGTCGTTGCCCTGGGACATGCTTCCAAGAGCGGTCGAGTAGTCTTCTAAAACATCAGTATCTGAGCTCTCTTGTGCAATCGCTCCGTTGTTTGAAGACAGCGCCATTGCCATAGCCCTACGATAAGCCTTCGAGTTGACGACCTCGTCATCGAAAGTGAACTCGGTAGCTTTCGCGATAGAATCTGCGTCGAGATCTTTACCGTCCAGGCTTCGTTGACTAAATAGCGACTCTGGTACCTTCAAACGGGGGTGCGATTGGCGCAGAGTCCTTGACCGTTTTACAACCTGATCGAGTGTAACGCTGTTGTCTTCAACCAGCTTCTTAATGTCCACAATTGACTCCATTTGCAATCCTTGTATAAGGAGACTGAGCGCAGATTGCTGACCGCGGATCTGCGTGAGCAGCTCTTTGAACGTGTCTTCCTTCCAAAGAAACCTCGCTCGGTCCTTGAATTTCAGTTCGTCGTTCTCCGCTTTTATTCGCAGCTCTCTTACTTCCTCCTCGAGACATCCGTACACGACTCGACATCCCGTGAGCGCGCGATCGAACGTCTCGAGCAATTGGGGTTTCTCTCGTAATGCGTCATGTTGCAGGAGATTTTGGACTTGGGACAGGGACGCTGCGATGACCATAGACTCGGAGTATATGGCGGTAATAAGGACCGAGGCATCTTTGTACTTGGCGCGCAGGTCGTACAGGTCTTTTGCAGACTGTATGCTCTGCGGTAGAGCGACTAGCTATAGTGGTAGTGTGCGCATTAGCTTGATACACTGGGCAGAAGCTTGTCGACGCGCTTCGCGTGGGGAGGATCATACAACACCGACTACAGCGGACATCTCCATGTGTGCCTGAACAGACGAAGAACAGATCTAGCGCGAGCAGACGCAAAGCAACATTACAGAGGGTTGGGTTCACAAGGCATCCAGGGCTCAGAGAGTTCTGCTTAGGCCCCCTTGTTCGCGCCTTGCCGGAATTTGGGGGCGTGTTACGCGACGTAATGCACAGATCTCCCGCGGCAGAAACTCCGCACGTCATCACTGCATTCCTTTTCCCATATTACCTAGATCAGGTCCAACTACAACGCGTGTGTTCACATAGACAAGGATCAAGAATGGCAGCGATTGACTTGTTCGCTCATGCGTGTCTTCGCTGAGCCCGATCATCCCAATCGTATAATACAAAGCTGGGAAGTTAACATAAACACACCGCGCCAGCGAATGCACGCCCACCCATGAAGGCGCATCAAGAAGATAATGAGAGATTACCATGGTCCGCCATCAGAAGATATCCATCAATCATGCCTTTCCTTTGCCCATCTCGATCAAACTACGTGTCCATATACACACGCTCAAATCAGGGGGTATGTCCAGCTAAAAATGCCAATAGTTCACGCGAAACGGCGGAGGCTCGGAAATGCGAGGAGAAGTCGTAGCTACTATCGGCTCTGCAAGATACTACCTTGCGAATACCTTGACTATGCCGTCGCCGCCTGCTGAGACGACGAGACGACCATCCTGGCTCCAGACAACGCTGCACACACCTTCACCGCGCATGATGCGGTGTGCGGTGATTTCTTGCGTGCATATGCGCTTGTCAAGTGACCAGAATCGGATAGAGGCGTCATGTCCAGCAGATACGGCTTCTCGGCCGTCCTTGCTGAGCGATAACGAAGAAATAGCTGCAGGGTGTGCAAGCATGCTATATGTACATTGTCCTGTTCGTGGTCAGCAAAGGTCAAATTTATCGTCTTGGGAAAACATACCAGAGTTGGCATCGAAGAACCTGATGAGATGGTCTTCGTGCCCACTGATTATAACACCCTCCAGGCCGCCGTTAGCAGAGCCAGTCGGGCCATGTATGCCTTCCTCGTCTGAACCGCCTCGGCCAGCCTCCTGTGACGCGCTTTCGAGATACTGCGAGCTTGTCACAACTGATGTGATACCAGTCGCTGGGGTTCCATCGTAAGATTCGTTACTGGCCATACCGATCAGCTCCTCGCCGGTCCTCGTGTCATACACCAAGATTGATGCGTCAGAGAAGGAGACAACAAAGTTCTCTCCAGTGGGGGAAAGCGGGCTGATGCACGTAGGCGAAGGGTGCGTATCACGCTCGATGGTATGTATTAACATGTAATGGAATGGTGTCGTGGTAGCGATGCTGGGCTGCGGTGAAGATGGGTGGTTCGATCCAGATGTGACCGAGTGTCTCCGGCTGCCTCCAACACCACGACGAGAGTTTGTCTGCGGTGAGACCAGTTGAGGCGGCGCACTTACAGCCCAGATCTTGATAGTACCGTCTGCAGATCCGGAAGCGAGTATGACACGGTCTGGTCCTCCGTACTTGCTGCTATCGGAGCCGAACAGATTAGCACAGGTGGTAGGGAGAACGCATACGGTCCAGACGGCATCGGTGTGCCCTTCAAGGGTGGCCTTTGGGTCAACTCGGCCTCGTTCCCATACGCGGATCGTGGCATCCTGACCACCCGAAAATATCCAGCCATCGCCAGAGACCCTTCCTCCGGTGGCAAAATGAGCAGAAGCAGGGCAGGCTGCTAAAGACGTAACGGTACCTTCATGACCCCGATGTGACCAGAATGGCTGAATGTCTAGATCATTGTTCATGCTGTGCTGGTTTGCATAACTTGCGGGTATCATCCATCTTTTGATCATGCCGTCATCTCCCGCTGTGCAAATCTCTGGCTCACTAGGGCTGCCACCACCAGTGAAAATGACTGATCGTACCACATCGAGATGGCCGCGAAGTGCAAATCGGACTTTGAAACTTTGCGGATCAGTCTTCGCTGCTTGCTGGGCTACTGCTTGTTGAGCTTTCTGATCATTACTCAGTCGTCTGACGTGGTCTTTGCTGGCCCTCTTTACAGGGCGTGGTGGCGATTTTGCTGGGATGCTATTCGCCGATGGAAATTCTTCGGTGTCTGGCCGTCTGGGTGGGCCCTCCTGAGCTGTCTCCGATGCGGGGTCGAAAATCCAATCATCTGTCTCTTTCTCCTGGTTGGCAGCCTGGCTTGGATCCGAAGCGTTCTCCTCAGCAATTGGTATTTGGCGTCCTTCGCTATCGAACGCATGTGTCACCTTTTCGACCTGCTCTTCGGGTACCGACGAATAATGCTGCTGATTCTGGGGCTGACGTTGCTGTGCAAGAAGTTCCTGAGCCATACTAGCGTTCTGCGCAAGGGGTTGTTGCTGTGAGGGTTCTCGTGTCATCTGTGGCGCGTGGTGGATTTGATGCTGGTTGGCTAAGCTTTGAAGTTCAGAAGGGACTGGCACGTTCGGAGGCTGGTGAGTAGGCATGGACGTGCCTGGTATGGTGGGGAGTTGTGACTGCAGCCTCTGGCGGTGTTGTTGTAGATAGATATCTTCCATCGAGGCCTCGCCGTGGTTCAAGTAGCCGTTGCCATTAGCAAGCGGCTGTAGGTTCTGTTGTTGTTGCGAGGCTTGCGGGGGCGGAGTAAGGAGGTATGTGATTTCTTCGACGCATTTGGTAAGGTAGAGCTTGGATTTCTCTCTGAGGTTCTCGCGGTCGGCTTCTGCGCGGTCAAAGAAATCCGAGTCAACGTCGAGGAAGGAGTTGTGCTTCTTGTTTTGGGCTTCGCCAAGTTAGCATAAGTCTAGATCATGGCCTGGCAGTATGGTATACGCACGTTTAGTGGGATTTACGCCACCCTTCTTGCCCTTGAGATCCTTCTTGTCATCTGCTCCGGCCTCAGAGTCGCCTCCTGCTGCCTCGCTCTTCTTCTTTCTTTCGTTGGTAAGTGCCTGCTCCAGCATCCGAATATGCTTGTTTAGCTGGTCATTCAGCTTCTTCGCGCTCCGCACCTCGCCCTCCTGTTTCGCGATCTTGGCCTTCATCTCGGCGCGCTCGATGTCCCATGCATTGCGTGCTCGTTCATGGTTGTGCCATTCCAGCTGTAGAAATCGCATAACACCTGTGATCGTGTCAGCCTGCCAGTCTCCCCGCCATGTACACGGCAGATCCAGGGGAACTGCATACCCTGCAATGTGTACTCTGTCCCCGCGGGCGCATTGCCATCACCCCCTCCATTGGCACCGCCGCCGTTCATGGCCGAAGGCGACTGCCAGGCCATGACAGACGTATGTTAAGGTCTCGTCGCGGCGATGTTGCGTCTTAGTGAGTCTTTACTGAGCGTGGGCATGCGGCGTCGGGGGTCGGCAACAGCGCGGTCGACGTGTCGGGATCTGGCTCCAGAGCTCGGACCCCAGGGCACTGGACAGATGACGAGGCGCGGGTAGTGAGTGAAGCTGTGAGGAGATGGGCAGTGAGGATTATGCGCACGCGCAATAGCAGGTCTCGTCACGGCTGCGGCAACATCCACATATGTCGTCGCACAAGGGATGCCGTAGCGCCGAAGCGGGACCCTGCCAAAGATGGCGCACGGACCCAGTATCACCACAGGCTGCGGGAGGAGCGAGCGAGCTGCTCACTGTGTTACCACCACAGCTTTTGTGGTAGAAGCCCGGAAACACCCAAAGTATACTGTAACAACGTATCAATATCTCATGTCATCGCTGGTATTATATCCCCGAAGCAAGCGTGGCCGGGATTTCCACATTGAATCCCAGAGCATTCCATCAAGGGCTCGCAATGCCATCCGATATATCATCAGTACTGACAAGTAATGCCTGGACAGGGAGCTCTTCTACGACTTCTTTGCTGTAAGTGTTCACATTCAATTGTTTCTCCACCCATACATCTCCTCTTCTTCACTCATGTTGTTACGTCACTGCACAAGCTATGAGCATTCCAGTGGGAGTAAAGAGGACTTGCTAGCACTCGAACAAGCTTCCATCGTCTGAAGGCTGATTCCTTTCGTATCTCCAGTTGGAAGATGTACGCTTTGTTTAGTCTTCTTTGTCATCGTCCAAGGGTGGTAGCTAATGACTGCCGCATCCGGCGACACTGTGCCACCTGGTTGCTTGTCAAGTCGTCGAACTGAACACTAACGATTATAATAGTCCTGGCTCCTGCTGTAGCCACCTTCCGATCTGCTGTAGCCGCACATGCTTCCTTGTATCGAAAAGTAGCTGCCGGTAGCTGCTTGTCTGCTTGAGTGGACGACTGTTCACTGGGCGACTCAAAATGGTATTGTATTCGCAACTCATCGTTCCTCCTGTCTGACGATTTACCCTGTCCCAAGCTTCGTGCTTGTCAGTCTTTCCTGGTCATTTTTCTGATCTGGTCATGCCAGAATCACGATTCGCACACCTGCACCGGCCACCATGTCGCGGTAGGATCTACAAAAAAAAGAATTCGGAACATCACGCCTCTGTCGAATTAGATTGACTTGCGTTTCACAGTATGACGAACGATTCGTTTACACACGGTATCACGGTTGAAGACGGGGCTGGTGCCTTACCTCCAACATGCCAAGTGGAGCCTTCCCGATTGGTACATAGGCGTTGGACGCTACAACCTTGTCACAACATTGGAACCTCTTCCCAGCAAGACTTTACCAATTCACCCCACCTACCGCCAAACACCACCACTTCGAATCCTTCTCGAACCCCGGGCATCACGGTCGCGCACCTCTATTGATACGATCGACACCGACTTTTACACCGAATAAATCATCAGACATGGCTGGCGGTGGAAAAGGTACGCGCTGACCGTGCGTCGCGCTCCGGAAGGCCTCGAGAGCTAACAGAATGCGCAGGAAAGACAGGTGGCAAGACAGGAGGCAAAGGCGATGCGCAAGTCAAGACTCCCAAGTCGCACTCCGCCAAAGCCGGACTTCAAGTGAGTAGCTGCCCGATACGCGTCATCGCCCAACCACCACCCCGCGCATACCTACGCACGCCGCACAAAAGAACGACGCGCTAATTTCACCTTTCCATTGTAGTTCCCCTGTGGTCGCATAAAGCGTCATCTCCGAAACCTAACGCGACAAAAGACGCGCATCGGAGCTAAAGCCAGCATCTATCTGACTGCTGTGCTCGAATACCTGACTGCCGAAGTTCTCGAGCTCGCAGGCAACGCTGCCAAGGATCTCAAGGTCAAGCGCATCACGCCACGCCATCTTCAGCTTGCCATCCGAGGTGACGAAGAACTGGACACCCTCATCCGAGCTACCATCGCTTTCGGAGGTGTTCTACCACACATTAACCGTGCACTACTACTCAAGGTAGAGCAGAAGAAGAAGGGTGGTGCGGCAAAGGCTGGTGAGGTGTAGGTGCTTGGATATCCTGCCAGCGAGCGCACGCGCCCCGACCGCGGCAAACTTGACCAACCCACAAGCCAACCTCGGTTTGGCGATAAGAGGAGGCAGTGAAACGCCTAGCCTTAGCATGTGTATGAAGAGGCACGCTCTTTGTCTGGCTTTTCTATCTATCGCTGTCTTGTCGATGAGGACGGCTCATTTTTTCTGTTGAAATACAGGACGTTAGGATACGGTGTTAACTTTCTTTAGTCAGGCGTGAGAGGATCGGTGTTGACGGTCATGGAGTCCATTTGTCCTTTGCGGTATGTAGTAACACTCAATCAATGTCACTAAGCGGCAAGAGAAGTCTATCGCATTTCCCGCTCGAACTGTATGCGGTATGCGCACAAAACGTCTTCGCGCATAGCATACAGCTGTCTCCCCGGAACTGTTAAACTGATAAGACGACTGTCCACTACCCGCCTAGCAAGGCTATTATATGTACATAGAGAACAAAGACTTGCTCTCGTCTCATTGAAGGCCGGAAGGGTCAGATCGAGACAAGTGGAGAAAGGGCCCTTTGTCTAATAAGAGCAACCGAAAGGGGGATCGCAAAGGCCAGACGTACATAGATTGCATGTGCACGTTTTGGAGCGGGCACTAGGCACACATGCGCAAAGTGTGTTTGCGCATCAAGCTTGCATGACAATCACGAGTACTTTGATACCGAGTTTGGTAACACGAAACGTATCTTCCCGTCTCTCAAACCGCACACCTGATCCGATGGAAGCTATACAGCATGTAAGCAGACCAAATGCCAGCTTAGTGCCTCTTCCTCGAAGCTTTCTGCTCTGAGAAGAAGATCACGATTCCATCAATTTTGTGACTCCGCCATCTACGTGTCTTCGCCATGTTCGACTCTTCGCCCTTCAACCATAATCCTTTCCGCCGTCTCCCCGTAGCCTCTGCCTTCTCTTACTCAGATTACATAGTCCCAGGTACCATGCCCCACCTCTACACCCAACGTGCTCGAGAACCGATACACCAACATCGTCACCGGCCAATTCATCATCTGTCTTCTTCTTCTCCTCCTCCCCACCAATCCCGGCGCCGTCCCCAACACAAGCGCTACTCGCACTACTCAGATATGGAATCGAGCTTCTCGGATCCCGACACTCCAGACGAAGCCTACCGCAGACACATGTCCCCACCGTCTCCAAGCCCCTTCAACGCCCGTCCCCAAGGACGAAGAAGTTGGAAACATGACGATAACACGCTAGACCTCGCCTCAAGCTTCCGTCCCCTGTACGCCAATGTTTCCCGACAGGTGCCCGAAGACATCAGCAGAGACGATATCCTTATCCTCCCTCCTAGCCTCACACGACTACGCGTACAGGTGAAGAGTCCGGCTTATGCGAGCGAAACACTCCATGCTACCGTAGCAGGTGATATGCTTTTCCGCGACGCTGTAAAGCAACTTGTGCCAGAGAGATATCATGGAGAGGTTAGGGCGTACGTGAAGATGAGGGGTGAATGGCAGGAACCAGGACGGTTTCTTGTGAGTCAAATCATGGAGCAGGGGCGACTTGTATCAAATGAGAGGGGGGAGTTGGAAGTAAAGATTGAGATTGGAGGGAGAGGGGGCGGTGGTAAGATGAGAGGGGGCGGGAGAGGGGCCAAGGTATGGGAGAAGGAGAGGGAGAGGGGGAGGACATGGGAGATACGTGATGTATAAGCGAAGACGCTGTTTTGTTAAAATCTGAAGGCAGGACGGTCCGAAAATATAACGGTACTTGATCAAAGTGCTAATACATCCGATCGCTCCACTTTACTCCGCCGCCCCAGACTGCAGGATCCATGTCGCGCTGCTTCGATCCTCCGGAACGCCAAGCTCGTTCTAAAGTTCTGAATAGTGTATGTTAAGATGCTCAAGGCATAAAAGGTACAAAAGAAGTGACCTGTGAGAAATGAAGCTTCCCTATTGGCCAGTTGCGAAATGGAATAAAGACATTTGTTCGTATACAATACAGCGCAAAAATGCCATGGGAAATACAGGAACGAGAGTCATTTGCCTTCGTGCCTATTAATGTCAATAAATAGTGCCTAGCGACTTCTTTATGACTTCAGGCTGTCCTGCATGCTGCGGCTGCTAGCGCTTAGCGGGATGTTGGTAGTGGGGAGAACGGTCTTGGGCTTGCTGTTCTGGCGGACCTTAGCCAGAGCGTAGACAAGACCACTGACAAATCCAACAAAGATGGCGGAACAGCTGCCGAAGGTGACAGGCGCGTCGAAGAAGATCAGACCGCTGAGCGCAATGGGTAGCTTGTTCAGGGCACCGACCATGGAGTAGGTTGTCGAAGAGGTAACACGGACCGCCCAGGCAGATGTGTACGAGATGAAGACGGTGGAAAGACCAGAGATGATCATGACCATAATAACGGTGTTGCGCTGTTCGGCGGGGAAGTTCTTCTGGACGTTGGCGGAGGACCAGTCTTCTACGAGGATGGAGGCAACGAGCAGAATCGGGATGGTGAGGAGGTTGTTGTAGTACATGGCTGGTTCAGGTTAGCAAACATCTTTGTCCCTCGCAAATTGATAAACCTACTGTCGAAGTCCTTGAAGTTGGTGAGCTTGATGCGCTTGCGCATGCACAGAACGTAGGTAGCCGAGCAAAAGCAGTTGAACATCATCCAGAGGTATCCGGTGTGCAGGGTCGACATGGCCTCGGTGGTCTTCTCCGCAGCGTGACCCATGCTCGACAAAGCGTGTTGAATGTCAGCCCAAGCTGCAATAACGGAACTCAGCACCATCAATCCGAAAGAGAAGAGAGCCATTGGTGTGACTGCACCACCGAACCAGAGAACCTCTCCGTATGCGATCAGGATGATGGTCAAGTTCTTGAAAATGGTGTAGACGGGAATCGAAAGGTACTTGAGCGCCCAGGTACTGGTGTAGATCATGCCGATGAGCAGGACGGAGATGGGGAACCCTAGTGCGGTTAGCATTCTCTTGTTCTCCGGCAAGTCTTTCAAACATACATTTCTTCGCTTCATCGCTGTTGAAGTCGCGGTAGTTGATGATGCCCATGGCTTTGCATGTCGAGATTGCTGCTACACAGACAACAGACTGCGCTGAATTAGAAGGGCGGTCTACTGCACGGAGCTATGCTCGTACCTGTACGCAAAGTAGGAAAAAAGGGAGGTTGAAGTCGACGCCAGACAAGACGTATTTGTTTGTAACTGTCATCATGATGGAAGATCCACAGTATGCCAGGACGGCGGCAATGGGGTTCTCTGTTATCGCTGGACCGGCGCGGCTTGAACTGGCTGATCGAGGCATCGGTGACGCTGCGCGGAACTCCTTGCCCGAAGGCATATCGACCCTGTAGTCGTCGCTCTTCTTGTCGTCAGACATGGTGGTGGAGAGGGGGACGTGTGCACGCTCGCGTGTATGTAGAGTCGTGAAATGTGGCAGCGACGGGAAGGTCCGGAGGAGAGGACAGATACGTAGCGGCGTGTGTACGACTGCAAACGAGGGGTTGTAGTCGAAAGAAGAAGAAAAGACAGGAGTGTGGGACCAGAAGGAAGGAGACGGGTGTCGCAAGAGAGATGCGCAGGGACGCGAATTGGGTGGGTCTCAACGATGGCCTCTCCCCTGGCTTGGAGTCGCTCTGTTGTGGTAGTGGTAATTTCATGGGCCACTAGGCCGCCTTTGAACACGAGCAACTTCTTGTCAGCACCACCCTGCAGCCTGTACGAGTTTTGTTCTATTTTTCACTACTAGACCCTGATACAGCGCATAGCGTGTGTCGTATACGATCCAAGCGCTCTGCGCACCACTACTGCGAGGGACTGTGCAAAGGCGTTCTTCACTTCGCCAGCCTATCGCCACGTGACTTCTCCTTATCGAGCCTCGTAGTCTTTCCCCTGATCCACGACAAGCGACCCCAGACAAACTCAAAAAAAATGGCCGCCTTGGATCCCAAAGTCGCCTCACTTGTCGACCGTGCAGCGCGCGAGGACGACTCGGATGAGGATGCGCTCATAGCATCTCTGGAGAACGACGAAGACCTAGATGCTTTCCGTGAACAACGACTTCAACAATTACATCAAGAGTTTGACAAGGCACGGCGCTTGAAAGAGAGCGAGCATGGAAGGTATACAGAGATCAAGGACGAAAAGGCTTTGATGGACATCACGACAAGCACGCAGTTGTGTGTCGTTCACTTTTTCAAGCCCGACTTCAACCGCTGCCGGATTATGGACACACATCTAGAGGTAAGAACAAACATTGTTGCGGGAGATATCGTCTAAAGATGAACAGTCACTCGCAGTATCGCACTATGAGGCCCGCTTCCTCAAGATCAATGTGGAAAATTGCCCTTTTCTAGTCACACGCCTGGGAATCCAAGTCCTGCCATGCGTCATTGCTTTTATCGACGGTGTGGGAGCTGATCGCATCATCGGATTTGAGGGGCTCGGTCACACTGAGCAGAGCTTCACTACTCGCGACTTGGAGGTGCGCTTAATCCGTGCGAATGTTTTAGCGAGAAACAAGGTCAATGAAGAGGACGAGAGACGAAGGCTGCAGAAGATCAGCGCTAAGCAGCAAGACGATGAGGACTTAGACTGGGATTGATAGACATTATGTGTCAGATCAGCTGAGGCGTCAGCGAGGTTGAGTCGCTGTATAACATGTAGAGCTCAGGAAGCGAAACCGCGCGCTGGAAGGAAGGCTGAACATGCGAGTCGACGCTGCCGCACAGTATCTTGATAGTACGCAAGGTGCTGTCGCATAGTAACCATGTCATCACGCGCTCTGGATGCCCAGCATCCAAACAAATATCCCATCAAGAAAAGACTGCGCATAAACGATCTTGCGCATGGTCAGATAGCACAAGAGAATCAAACATGACGAGAAATTCTAGCCTGAATGACTAGGCGAATCGCTAAGGAGGTCTCAATCCGTTTGTCTTGGTTAGTGTGTTGTTTGATCACAGCAGAATCATGTAAAGCGTTGTGCTTCGCTTCTCTCGTTGTGGAGGAACTGAGGCCGCACTCGGAAGGCGGCTGCGATTGGTACTACTACTATGATTTGAAGGCTGACATATAATGGTAAAACCCCACGTTGTGCATGGCAGTTATGTGAACATCGCGCTCAAGCCGATGGCTTATCCCCATTGTGGTGGCTGGGTAATCGCGATGACGCCATTCGCCACGTGCATTTGGGCATCTCAAATTATTTCCTTCGTACCCAACGGCAAAGTCATCTTCCACAACACGTTACGGCAACGCTTGAGTCGTGAAATACACATCCCAAATACATCACCGACTGCAAAATGAAGGCATACTGGTTCGACAACCTCCCCGTAAGCCCCCACTTTCTTGTCTCTGCATTCGGCACATGACCTAACCTCTGCAGGGCGACCAACGCCAACCCCATGATTCCGGTCGCTCGGTCGACCCAGACTACCTAGAAAAGCTTGGTGTCCTCTATTATAGCGTACCAGAAGTTCCCGATGTTGAACCTATTGCTACGTCCCGCAACTACAAGAACCGGGACGAAATCACTGTCAGCCCAGAGAAGATGGGCGACATTTACGAAGAGAAGGTGAAGTCATTCTTCCATGAGCATTTACATGAGGACGAGGAAATCCGATATATTCTTGACGGTGCGGGTTACTTCGATGTCAGGAGCGAAGGTGATGACTGGGTGAGGATTCGGCTCGAGAAGGGCGATTTGATTGTTTTGCCGCCTGGGATTTACCATCGGTTCACCACTGATGAGCAGAACGTAAGTATAGCTCGTAACTGATGACTTGAAGCAAATCAGAGTGTTGATATCTGGTTCTAGTACATCAAGGCCATGCGGCTGTTCAAGGAAGACCCAAAGTGGACGCCACTCAACCGGGGTGGCGAGACAGATGACAACCCATACAGGAAGCAGTATCTGACAGAGTATCTGAAGGCTAGACAGGGCGTCTCAGCTTAGTCTGATAGCTCCTTCTGAACTAGATCCCTTCTTTCTCTGGTATGTTCTAAATGACATCTTCCTAGACTTTCTTACAATTGATTCGCCTGTCCCTGCCCGTGACAATCCTACATTCTGTACATCAAAGACAGACCACTCCATGCGAATCCTTACAGCGACCGAGTGCGGTAATATTCGCCATGTCTTTGTTCAGTTGTTCCCGCGGTTTTCTGGTGGTTGACCGCGGCATTGTAATATGCTTCCGTTCTTTTTTTTTTGCCAACACAACCTCCGGGAGTGAAAACGAAACTGAATCATGTTACGTCAAGGCCACCGATGTCTACAATGATGTTGTCTCGAAACGCATTGCTTCTTTACTCACGTGCGCACACGCTCACTTGCACACCTACTTCATCTTTTGTCTCAGCTTTCACAGCTACATCTGGTCGTTTCTACACCAGTCCAAATATCATGCCGCGAAACTTGACTTGAACGCGATCCAGATCCTTTGTATTCTCAACCAAAACTTAGTGCTACACCCAAGAACACAGATCTCTCACAATACATTAGTATCCTGCGAGTATGCCTGATGTCATAGTAGAGCCATGCTCTGAATACGCCCGAGCCTCAGGTCCCAACGCTATCAAAGTTGCGTTGATGAAGAGCAAAAGTATGCTCCAACCTTTCTACACCACAGGCTTACAGAACCTTGCCGAGCCTGCCTACCAATCTGAGTCCGAAGATGAGAAGCCAGTTATCCGCAAGACGCATATGAGACCTTCATTTAGGGATGTCATGACTCAGGCTAGAGGTGATCAAGATCTTGTGCCGCACGAGAAGAAAGAGGAAGACAAGGTGATGAAGAATGAACGTGAGACACCGAATGCACGCGCAGATACACCGAGTTCAGAAGTGTCAGCCAGTATCTCTGATCCGGTGGACTTCAGTTGTCTTCAGAAGGCTTTACAGGATCGTGATCAATACCGACGAAAGGAGCCTTATGTCTCGCGGAAGCCACTTGGCGTTAAAGACAGCAACGAACTTGCTGCTCTCCTATCCATGAAGAAGCAAAATCATCAGATCAATCAGTCTGAGGTTAGCATGTGTAATCATAAAACCTTTATCATCTACTGGGATCCTGAAGATCCTAGTAATCGCAACGGTTCCTTCATATCTAGGGTACGTGACCATAAAGACAGGTCTGATATGACGGAGCACTCCTGCTGCAACTCCAGGAGCGTTGATGTCAAGGAATTAACCATGGATATGGCTAGTAGTATCATAGAAGCATTCGAGAAGCAGGAGAATGACCACACAACGGGTCATGATGGGAGACGCAAAGGCATTAAGCCGGAACGACCACCATCTTACAGTATCGTCTTACGAGAGGTTCACAACATGTACTCTCAGCTTTATCGTCATGAGATTCGCAAGCTAGTCAAGACTGAGGAGGCTGTTAACATAAAGCTTGATGCGAGGGAGCGGCTAACAGCCCAGCGGTTACGTCAACGTGGTAGTGCTGCAAAGAATCGTGACAACAATAATACGCCGGAAGTGGACGACAAGCCAGACTCAGCTCTAGGAACAAGCTTTTCAAAACTGAAGAGGAAGACGTCTAGACAGATCGCGGAAGAGAAGGTAGCTCGAAATAAGGAGCGTAGGGCTTTGACCAATATCGTCAGGGTCCGCGTCGAGCCATTGGACCGTTACAAGCCCTCGACAGTGGAGGAGCAACAGGCTCGAGCGACCCAGGCCGCAGATCAGGTTCGACGTGAACGCGCTGTCAATGTGCAGAATATAGAGCCTGAAACCAAATTGTCACGGAAGTCGAACAGGTTCGCGGTCGCCATCGACGTGGCTGACGACGACGAGACTACTTCCCCTACTCAAGAGGCGAAGAAGCCTAGGTATCATCGCCTAGCTAGGCGCGTTACAGACTCCTATGGTGAGTCTAGTGAAGGCAAAGCTAAGGTTGAAGCCTTGTCAGAGCTTGTAAGTCACGCTGCCGCCATTGGAAATGAACTCAAGCTGGCGACTCTGGCGCCTGCTTCTGCAGCTTCGCAAGGTTCCAAGCGGAAGAAAGCATTCTCTGATTGTGGAGAAGAGATTTCAGCCTCACCATCTTCTCTTTCCCCACGACTTATCAAGAAGGCGAAGCAAAGAAGTTTCTCCGAGCAAATCGCGTCATTCACAGAGCAGAACAAAAGAGGAAAAAACCGATAGACTGGACCATCGAATCGAAGTGTCAGAATATGTAGTTTTTCTATGTGTGACGCAGGCCGCGAAACTTGACACAAGAGGTGAACTGGGATATGTCCTGGTATATTGGGGTATACTCTCTAGCGTAATGCCTCATCTAATGTCATAGTCCTTCTACCGATTTACATTATCTTCATACAAGCTTGAAAGCACGGAGCTCGCCAATGTAGTCCTCCGTACTATACCAGTGAAGATGTACCCCAGAGACATAATCGTAGCCTGAACCCGGTGTACAAAGTCAGTTTATGTCTCACATGCGGTTTGTACAGGGCATCTACTCACCAAACCCAACTCGCCTGAAGGTGCCTTCAAACTTGATATCATGATCAACACCTTCGTGCTCCATTTCGTAGGGTTCTTTTTCCTCTTCTGGGCCTACTACCATCTCTAAGAATAGTCCTTGGTGCTGCAATCTCGGATTGGGATCGTCTTCATCATATGGCTGACCGCTGACCAAGGGCACAAAATGTGTCACGCGGTCAAACACGGTATCATCGGTCGGGTCGTCCGGAATCATGTCGATGGTCGGAGGGCCATAGTTCCACTCAGCTGTGTAGCGTTCAGGAAAGAGGAAGGGTACTCCCTGATTGTCTTCTTCTAGAGGATGTTCCTGGTGGAGTTTTCGATGTAGTGGTTCTTGCTGAATTGGGATGCAAAAGCCGAACATTGTCAAGGTACAGTGACCAGCTCCGAAGACGTTGGTCTCCGAGGTATTAGACTCTTCCCGCTCAACGCGAATGACACGTGTATGGATCTGAGCTTTGGGCATGAAAATAGAATCATAATACGACACCTCTCCAACGCTTGACACCCAGGACCACGATGGTGCAATTTGTCTCAAGGTCGCAGCTCTGGCAGAGTCTCCCGGAGTCCTTGGATGTCGACCCCAAAGCATGAACTTCTCCAGATTTGGCTTCCAAAGTCCGAACAAGTAATTCTCAGTGTTGAAATCATCTGGCATGGCTTGAGCCAAGGCCTCAACTACACCCTGTATCGCGGCCAAACGATCCGTCCACCTAGTCAGGTTCTTGTCTGAGTACCTTTGCACAACTTCGGCCCATAATTTCAGTTTGCTACTGAGGGGTTGCTCAGCCGATCTGAGACTATCTGCACGAATTAATTGACCCAATGTGCGTATAAGTCCGTAATCATCGTATTCTAGAGCTAGACGAGTGGAGCCTTCCGTTGGAGAGACACGACACTCGCACCTTTCGTGGTTGCTACACTCCCAAGCTAGTTCAGATGGCGTAGCATATAGAATCCTACGTGCTAGAAAGCTCTCCTGAAAAACCCACGCGCGGGTTGTGAGAGGAACGAGGACATCATCAATATGAGTATTGTCATCGACCATCGGTCGAGACGAATGATGCGCCGGAACGTTATGATATTTCTGCTCTCGTTCGCGAATTGAGAGTTTGACTGTGCGAGAAGTCCCGTCTGGCATGCGGAAGGGTACCTCAATGCGTTTGAGGGGTGCATTCGCCGCTGAACCCAGACTGAGAAATCCCTCCTGGACGCTGGAGGCACCTTGCGCTGAGATGACAAGTTCGGCTCCTTGGTAAATAGATGACATGCGTGGGATCTGATCCATCCAATCTTGTACATCGTCTTGAATGATGCATAGTGCATCGATCTATTGCACAGTCAGTCTCCGGTCTGTTTCTTGTAGAATTCTGTAGCCTTACCCATAGGTACCGTAAGCCAAAGGCCCGAGAGACATGAACAGCATCGGCGAGAGTACGGGGGAGTGCGTGGACATCGATACCCTGCATGTGTGATTGTAAATTGTCTCTCAGAGTTTTGAGATTCCCAGTAGTTCCCCATGCGTAACTGAGACATGCGTAGCCTTCTTGTTGTTGCGATGATGTTGACTCAATTGCTTCAGTGTTAACGAGGCGAACAGAGTCAGCTGAGAGGTCAAGAATTCGGCGTGGCCATCCGTCTTTGCGCGGCACACAAAGCGGATGATTGGCCTTGCAATCCTCGTACCAAATCCGCGCTTCATTCAAGCGGTCTTCCAGGCTGTTTGACTGCTCTCGATACCTATCTCCTGAACCATTCCGCAAACCTAGCCATGGAATGGCAGAGTCTTCTCCCGCACCTGTTCGGTCTTTAGCCTTATGGCCTCATATTGCCACCACATACATGCAGTTTGCTTGGAAACCCTTAGAATCATAGTAGTGGGAAGCACTCACTAATTGGAGTATAGATCTCATAATCGTTTGGCCTTGAATCCACATACCGCTTCCCAAATAAAACCCTTCCCCCGTATGGCTCACCGTCCTGCTCACATTGTACATGCAATACATTCTTGGGGTCCAAAAAGGACCAATGGTCTTCCGCCTCTACGCGTTTGATCTTGATAGTTTTGAACTCCGGTCGTCGAATATCGGTAACGGCATCAAGAGCCTTAAGAATGATGGAACATCCTTGACAGCCGCCTACGGAGAAAAGAAACGCCGTGACCGATACACTGGTTTCATGGCCGTTTGCAAAGTGGTGGCATATGCTGCATGTTGCGGATGCAGCGGATACGGCTTCTGTGGTGGCTGGGGAAGGCTTCAGGGTGCCTGACGTCATTGATGCTTGCCCAACACTAGGGGCCACCGACAAGATTACTCCTAATGAGAGAAAAGCGAAACAGTCTATAGCTACCTCTGGTGTAGCAGAACTTTTTCTTTTTTGAGGAAACAAAAACTGAGGTACCAGCAATAACACGAGTTTCTCCAGAAGCATACCTCAAGATCGTTTCGTGAGTTTAAACACGTCGCGTTCGTATAAAAGCGCCCCACCTGACTTGGCAAGACTTCCAAGGTCTGCTTCACCGGCACAGAATTAGGCAGGTTGCAAATACTAAGGCCCGAATAGTTGTGCGGCCTGCTGCAAAGATCGGCTTATCTGTCTTCTTTCATCCAAGAAAAGTCGCCCATTTCGTTGCTAAGCCACAATCCTGGGTACGAGCGTACAGGCTTAGGCGACAATCTAGCTTTCTTTATCACTTCGCCGCCCGGCACTGTAGGAGACTGACGTTGACAGCTACCCACCTAATAGCGCAGGATGAGGCCACCAAGTTAGATGTGTGTGCACTAGTCAGTTACCCAGAGACTCCAGAATACCTCCAAATCAAGATAGAACCAGTGGGATACACAAGGGTAATAGTGACTTGCCTCTGGCCAAGTTTTGTTATATCTCTGTACACTATTCAGCCTAAGCCGTACTGTGCAATGGTGTGAGATCCGAAGGTACAATATCCATTTCTTCATCAATCACCAACCTGGAAATTACATTTCGATGACGGCAACACCAGCCTCACCCTCTGCAATAGCCCCCATGAAATCTCCAACATCCTCTCCACGCTCATCGAGCACAAACTCCAACGTCTGCACCCACGTCTCCCCATTATTGGTGAACCAATCATACTCCGGACACAAGCTCCTCACATAACCCTCCACCATGCCCTTTAGTGGTGCATGTTCCTTCAAGTACAATATTTGAGCGGGATCGAGCTTCATGTAATCCTCGATAACGTAGTAATGGGGGATATCGTCACCCCAGCCTTCAGCGCCGACTTCGTGGGATGGGTGGAGAGAGAACTTCGATGCCGCGTAGCGCGAGGGGTAGGTTGGTGTATTGTTAAAGTGCGTGGAGAGGGGGTTAGGCGTGAAGGGATTGAAAACTTGGGGGGCTGTGGGTGGGTAGTTGAGGTGGATGTTGTTGAATAGCAGAGAGTGCTCGTTGCCAGGATGCCTTTTCTTGAACTTCCGCGCAATGGTGCCGTTAGATGGGCAGACGTTGCTCTGTACGACTTCCCGTATGACGCGATGGACGTCGGCGATCTCGGCTAGTTCCCATGTACTCCAGTTATGTAGGAGTGCCGCACGCTTGAGTAGAACGAGTCTTGTTGCACGAAATTCGCGTGGATGTTCGCGATTGTGAAAGGCGCGTGAATAAAGCCAAATTCTGTATATGGCCCTCCTTACAACATAGCGCTCCTCCGTGGTCAAGAGTCGGCGTAGTTCGTAGTTGTGCTTCCACTTCTTGAACGGGTATATGTCGCACCACTTCTCAGCTACACGCCCATGATGCACAATCTGCTTAAGCAGCGCCAGAGAGAACGGAACAGTCCGAACAATGTGCGCAGGCTGGCTGGCATTATGAGTGAGAAGCTGGGTGAGGTCTTCCAGAGGTCCAAATTGCGTTTCGGCGGCATTTTCGAGGATAAGAAGCTTTTGAGACGAGGTAAAGATGTTGCGGAAACGACGACAAGTGGAAGATAGAGCTGTCACGTCGGTGACAGAGCGGCATGATAAGAACACCTGCACGACTAGTTCGGTTGCGAGGTCTTCGAACAGCATCTTGAGAGCGGGCGTAGGGTAAATCTGGGGTTGGATTTTCTGGAGTTTTGACTATCAGCATTGAATCTCTCTAATTATGCCCTGAAGTGTCATAGGTACCGTTGGAACTTACCTATGAACTTTCAGGTTAATGTGTGCTCCAGCCCGTTCGGGTTCTGAGCTCTTTCCTGTGACAGAGCGAGAAATTTGTATCAATTGTCACAATCCTTCAAAGTCTTTCTTCAAGTATGATCTATCGATCTAACCGGTGTGCAGCTATCTTGCCTCTACACCGATACGTATCTCGTGGTTCAAACAAATCGGACCCCTCCGTTGGGGCTATGAGTAGAAAACGCGACGACATTTCGGAAAGACATGGTGCAAGTGAATGCGAGCTCCGATGAGCTGTCGTTAACGAGTGTCATCGTTAGTGGTTGGGGAGAAGGAAAGGAGGCATCGGTCGTGACGACTATGGACGTGATGGATGGCGCCAAGGGGGGCTAACCCGGATTGTGGGGGCCAATCGGCGTGGAGAGGCGGGACAACACCGATGGCCTCAACGAACATGAAGTAAACTACACAGAGGCATGCATAGCTTCACAGTCGGCAGTTGCAGGTCAAATGTCAGTCCACGAGGAGCGCAAGATGCAGTCCTACTCCAACAACACGCCGTCGCAGCCACCTCCACTTCTCCGCCTCCCAATCGAGCTCAGACGCCTTATATACAGCTCCGTCCTCCCCCACACGACAACTTTCGAAGTGCGTTTCCAGCGTCCCGCCGACCCACCCCCAAAATCCGAATACAATCTGACCTTCGTGCGGCAGAAAAACGGTGATGGGGGCTGGCGCATGCAACGCACTCTGCCAAAGGCGGAGCGCGAAACAGGCAACGACATAGTCTGGCGACGCGGAAGTACCAATCTACTGGCCGTGTCACGACAAGTACATGAAGAGGCAGCGGATATGCTATATGGAGATAACACATTTGTGATTGATGTGACGTTCGATGCGATCAACTTCCGGTACCGCTGGCGCACTGCAAATAACCTTACGCCGAATCGGACGTATCAGTTCTTGGATCACTTTTCGCAGAGGAATCTGCTGAGGATCAGGAATTATATCATTAATGTTGAATCTGTGGATGATTATACGGGCATGATCAAATACAACTGTGGTGGAAGGGGCTTGCCAGCTGGTATACGGGGTAAGGTGCGTGAGTTGGTTGATTTGTTGGTTGTTGCACCACAGTTGCATCGGCTGCACATACATCTTATAGATGGCGCGATAAGTCGCGTAAGGTTCCCGAGTGGACGAGTACATCGAGTACAGGATGAGAATCATTTTGCGCAAACACAGCTAGTGCTTGATCCGTTCAGGGCGTTGTATGGAGTCAGGAATCCAGTTGTGAGTGGTGTTGATGATGACTATAAAGATGCTCTGGAAAAGAGCATGGCAGCGCAAAATGCAACGGGTTAGTCTTGAACGATCGGAATTCTGATACCATCAAGAACACAATCACACTTGGGTTAACGGCGGCTCTATAATGAGCTACCCATTAGACGATAGCTTTTGGGTATATCGCTATACACAGGCACGTGCCCAGCCAGAAATCGACGCCGACCTATATTTATGCATTCCATAAACGCCATTTTTGCCTTCCCTCGAAAAATTGCCATCAATCTTACGCGAATAGTACGTTGTCGCTGAGCGGATCCTTCTCCTTCTTGCGTCCACCGTGAGACGTAAGTCCCAGATCTTGGTGCTTGAGTAGCGTATCCCTCTGCGCATCGGTCCTCCTGTTGAATCTGCCGGCCTTTGATTTCCTCAAGTCGGAACGGATCTGGTTGGGCGAGACGAACTCCTTGTTTTCGTAGATGATAGGACCTCCGAAGCTGGACTCCTGGATGATGATGGGGGTAAGTACGAAACGGGGACCGATCTCGACAAGGCTGACGTCGAATTCACCGCCCTTCTTCTTCTTGGGCGCCTCGTCGACATCCATCTCCTCGCCATCGACAGGCTTCTTCTTTCCAGGCTCACTTTCGTTGATTTGAAATACGCGAATCCAGATCTTGCCATCTGCGACTGTGAAGCCCATCACGTGGTCTACAAAAGGCTTGACTTTTCGGCTCGTCTTGGGAACGCCGAAAATCTGGGTGAAGAGCTCCTTGATCACGCGCAAATGGGCCTGCTTGTCGAACGCAGCGTCGAAAGAAAGAACTGGCCGCGATCCCTTGAGACAGTTGCCGATGAAGTTGAGCTCTTCCATGGTGTGCAAGTTTTGCAGATGCATCTTTACAGTAGGGCCGTTTGGTGGCTTGGACATCCAGCAGTAGAGATCCTTACCCTTACGGGCTTCGAAAAAGAGGATGTTGTTGCAATTGTAGAGTTCTGCCAGTTCATTGAGTTGGTAGAGCTTAGTCTTGGTGTCGAGTTTGGCCTCTTTCCGGCTGTGGGGCCTTTTATGAGATTAGTAAATGACGTTCCGCGGTGCGTAGAATTACTCACATCAACGAGTACAAGTCTTGTAGCAAATGTCGGTGTCGGAAGGTAACACCTCTTGAACTCTACCGCCGATTAGCATGGGTCTCACTTTGCGCCGCGCGTGAAATCTTACCAGAATGAGGACTCGCTGCTTGTTTCTCTTCTCGCCCATCTCCTTCTCGTCTTTCTCCGCGCCAGACAGGGTCTTGTATACGGAAGCCATGGCGAGTTTGTATGGTTGTTGCTGCGCTCGACGGTGTGGATGCGCCTTTGCAAAAAAGTTCGAGAATTGATACCGCCCAGAGTTTTAGCGCGATCTACGCTCGGGCCGCGCTAATACTGAAGAAGCTAGAGCTCTTCGCGGCATGGTCGCGCCTTCCGTCACCGTCGTGGTGAGGCTTCACCCAATGGGAAGTTGCAGCCCCAACGTTCTGCCCTGTTCATTTTGCGCGGTTGTTGGTATCATTGCGTGCACGAAAGACTGGGTGGGACGAGGCGGCATCCAGGAATCGGATGTGTTTGGAGACGAAATGAGATGCGCACGTCCGCAGGTCCAGAGGCTCGTGGTAGATTAGCCGAAGCTGGCAACGCCTCAACCCGGCACGCGGAGCAGAGAAGAGTTGCAGGTGCTGAGATTGGAAATAAGAAAAGCTCAGGCGTGGACACGCGTGGCAGCAGTGTACGGTGATTCGGAATAGAGAGGAAACAGATAGCCACAAACAAGAAGGGGCTGCACGCTGCACGGCGCCGTTTCCATGCAGGCGAATTATTGGTCGATGCACCCCATCTGGGCGTGTATGCTCCTACGAGAGATGGGGTTCAGGTGCTTTGTTAAGAGGCATGCCCAGTAGCGGAGCAGAGTCGCGATGAAGGTCCCCACGAGTAATGCGGCCATGCCAGACATCCTCATCGCGCTCCGCAGCCTCGTGTGATACATATCTGCTTGCTCGTAGCCGGTCGCAGCCTCTCCATCAAACCTCATCGCGGGTCTGCATCACGCCCGGAGCTGCTCCAGGACATAGTTGCCGCAGCCGCACTAAGCAGACGCTGACTTGCCAACCGTTCGTGTGTGATCTAGACAGCGCGCAAGCTGCTCCACACCAACCCCCATCCCATCTTCCCTCTTCCATCTCATTGTCGCCGTCGCATCCACATCGCGAATCCCAAGACGACCATCTCGAGGCACACGCCCAAGGCGCATTCGTCCTGCCGTCGCCGCCGCGCTCCCTGCGCGCCCCACCGCCAGTGCCTGCATTTAGTTGCCCATGGAGCAGCCGTTTCGCCGTCTCTAGTCTCCCGTACGCGCTGTCCTGATGTTTCGCGATCCGGTCCTGCGGCGGACCGTCGATGATGGGGAGGAGCATTCGCGAGGAGAAAGAAAGCCGCCAGGGCACCAAGGGGAACCTACGCCAGCAGCTTACCACAGATCGTCGACACAGGCAGGCCAACCATACCAACACCATTCGCCAAACACACCAGCGCCCTTGCCTCTCCACCAAAACCTGCACCATCCCCATCCACACCCTCATCCTCCACAACACTCTCCCAGCACCACCGAGCTGCCGCCCATCAGCACGGCCCTCTATTCTCGCGACACGTCCAGATACTACGACCCGACCTCTGACAATGGAGAGCGAGGTGTAGCCAGAGACCCGGCGCGTTACGACACCACTACCAACACTCAATATCCTGCACAGGTACGTCTTTCATCACTATACCCCCGTCATCCCTATTATACATTGCTTCATCATCGCCATCATGGCTCCATCCCCAACACAGGGACACGCGGCTAACATCAACCCTCCCATAGACTCGGTCGGCACAATCCCCCTACGACAAGGTCTATCAGTCACCCGTCACGACCACATACGCGCATCACTCGCCGCTGCAGCGCCCCCATTCGCAACACCAGCACGTCGGCAGTATGGAGGCCATGTCTCACTCTCCCGTTTCGCCCTCGGTCTATCAGTCGATGAACCGAGGAGCCGTACAGCCGCCACCGGACTACGCGAGGAGGCCGTCCTTCAAGGAGGAGGTAAGCAAACGCGCTACCCAGACGCTCCATCACCCCAGCTTACCACTACTACAGGCACCACCGCAAACGCAAACGCGTGCCGACCCCATGTCACTCTCGAGCATAATGTCCTCCGGCGCCGACAACGAACCTCCTCCCAAGGCTCAGCCACCCCTTCCCCTCGCCGTTGATGCGTATCAGACATCAAAACCTCTGCCAACCTCTCACTTTGTCAAGCAAGAAGCAATGCCTTCCCCAGCGCCTGCTGATTTACCCCATCAGGAAAATGGGTATGCTCCGCGAGGATATGATGCAATGCCGCCGGTCGGTACCATACAACCTCCGCTGCAGTCCGCAACTCGCGAATTGCCTGCGCCAGACGAAGCCGAGATTGAGGCAGCCCTGGCACACATCGAGACAAAACAGATGAGCGACATCGACGAATCAGCCACCCCACGCGATCTGGAAGACTTCAAGCAGAAGAGCCAAAAGCGTCTTCTAGAAGTCGGAGTTGCGGAGGCGAATAAGCGCAAGAAGCGACGCACTGCTTTCTTAACACGCTATCAAGACGTGTCCGCCGCCCACCGCGATTACGCAAAGCATTCATACAACGTCGAACACGAGGGCGATGCATGGCAGCAAGTTCAGAGCCAGGAGATTGCTGAAGAGAAGGAGCGCAAGAAGGACATGCAGCGCAAGCGAAGGCGGGAGAAGACCATACAGAATGAGGAAGCTAAGCGGGCAGAAGCTTTGGCAAAGGCAGGTCAGGCTGAGAACGAGGAAGAAAAGGAACGACACCTACTGGCTGCACAGAAGGCCGAGCGCAAGGCCAAGACTACCACTCAGCTTCTGCAAGGTAATGCCCCTAGCAAGGACATCCGCGAGGTCACTCCACATGGACCGAATATGGAGGGAGGTACTATGAGCTCCTTCCAAGCCTCGGATGACCTCGCAGGTGGAAAGCGCAAGGGCAACCGTGGCACCGGGCGTCTTAAGAAGAGCAAGGAGCAAAAGCAGGCCGAAAAGGATGCTGCCGCAGCCGGTCAGGCCGCTATCGACCGTGGAGACGATCTTCCTGTGATCGCGCCGCGCGAGGAAGCACGCCTTGACTCTCTACGAGGCCGTAGCTATACAGAGGACCTGGGCCCTGTCGTCTTGACTTCCTACGACTCGTCCGTATACCGTAACCTATACCACCAGATTGTCAAAGACTTGGCTCGCAAAGATGTTCCCAAGGTTGTCCGCATCAAGGAGAACTCGTTGTCGACAAAGCAATCGAACCTCCGAAAGACTGCCCAACTGGCCGCGAAGGAGGCTCGCCGATGGCAGATGCGTACAAACAAAAACCAGAAGGACACGCAAGCTAGGGCCAAGCGAGGTATGCGTGAGATGCTTGCTTTCTGGAAGAGAAACGAACGTGATGAGCGCGAATCTCGAAAGAATGCCGAGCGTCAAGAGTTGGAGAATGCGAAGAAGGCTGAAGCTGATCGTGAAGCAAACCGACAGAAGCGGAAGCTGAACTTCCTTATCTCACAGACTGAACTTTACTCTCATTTCATCGGAAAGAAGGCCAGGACAGACGAGATTGAGCGTTCGACCGACGATGCCGACGCTGCTGCAGCTGATCCACAAGCAGCAGCCAAGCCTAGCATCGATGTTGGAGAGATGTCTGCGGAAGGAGGCGCCAAGGTCACCAATTTCGAGGATCTCGACTTTGACAACGAGGATGAGACCGCCCTCAACGCAGCTGCCATGGCGAACGCCCAACATGCTATTCAACAAGCCCAAGACCGTGCCCGCGCCTTCAACAAGTCTGGCGACGACGAAGAAGATGGCGAAATGAATTTCCAGAACCCGTCTGGTCTACAGAACAAGGAAGACTGGATCCCCCAACCAGGTCTTCTCAATTGTACGCTCAAGGAGTACCAACTGAAGGGTCTCAACTGGCTCGTAAACTTGTATGAACAAGGTATCAACGGTATTCTTGCTGATGAAATGGGTCTTGGAAAGACGGTCCAGTCGATATCGGTCATGGCATATCTTGCTGAGAGATACAATATCTGGGGACCCTTCCTTGTCATCGCCCCCGCATCGACGCTTCACAACTGGCAACAGGAAATCACGAGATTTGTGCCAGATCTGAACGTCATCCCCTACTGGGGTACCGCGAAGGACCGGAAGATTCTCCGTAAACTCTGGGACAGGAAGCACGTTACATACACCCGCGACTCTCCGTTCCACGTTGTTGTCTCCTCGTACCAGTTGGTCGTTCAGGATGCACAATACTTCCAGAAGATGCGTTGGCAATACATGATCCTCGACGAGGCTCAAGCTATCAAATCTTCGCAGAGTTCTCGATGGAAGAGTCTACTCGGTTTCCATTCTCGTAACAGGCTACTGCTGACGGGTACACCTATCCAGAACAACATGCAGGAACTTTGGGCTCTTCTTCATTTCATCATGCCTAGCTTGTTCGACTCTCACGACGAGTTCAGCGAGTGGTTCTCCAAGGACATTGAGAGTCACGCACAGAGTAACACTAAGCTCAACGAAGATCAACTGCGGCGACTGCATATGATCTTGAAGCCATTTATGTTGCGTCGTGTCAAGAAGCATGTGCAGAAGGAGCTTGGAGACAAGATCGAGCTTGACGTCTACTGCGACCTGACATACCGACAGCGTGCTTACTACGCCAACCTCCGTTCAAAGATCAACATCATGGATCTAGTCGAGAAGGCAGTCGGAGACGAGCAGGATAGTGCAACCCTCATGAACTTGGTCATGCAGTTCAGGAAGGTCTGCAACCACCCCGATCTGTTTGAGCGAGCCGATACCTGGTCACCATTCTCTTTCGCCTCTTTCGCCGAAACTGCCTCTTTCCTACGCGAAGGCCAAAATGTCAGGATAGGATACTCTACACGCAACTTGATCGAGTACCCTTTGCCACGACTTGTGGGCCGTGAGGGTGGCCGGCTAGAGCTTGCTGGACCAGACAACCAGAAGGCTGGCTTCAAGGGACGCTACCTAGACAATCTGATGAATGTATGGAGCCCGGACAACATCGCCCTATCTGCCAAGGAAGCTGGTGCCTTCTCGTGGCTCCGCTTTTCTGACTTGTCCGCCACTGAGGCTTCAAGAATCGCCAAGAGTGGTCTCTTCCAGCGAGCTCTCGCTGCCGAGCAGAAGCCAAACAAGGTTGGCCGTTTTAACGTGTTCTACGACAATGACAACGGCGAATGGGAGCCGAAGCATTCGATGTTGAACATTGTTGATCGCCAGGATCGCGCCCCTCTAGCTGAGATCACAGTCGAGGGACATATGCAGGGTCTGTTCAACGTTGCCAGGACAGCTTTCGAAAAGACAGGCTTGAATGTCATTGAGCCTTGTGCTAAGCCAAAGGCATCTGCGCCTCCAGTCGAGCTGTACTGTGCTAGCCAGGGTGTCATCGCAGAGACCCAGAGCCTCTTCTTCAATGCTCCTATCCGTTCCGCACTCTTCGGTGTTTCGGAGGCGACTGAGCAAGCTCTGCTAGAAAGCAAGAAGGAGAGCTCTAGTTTGACTGTCAGTAACAGGCTACCACCGCCTACCAACGAGCGGACGCGATTCACTCATATCGAAGCACCATCCATGTCGCGCTTCGTTACCGACTCCGGCAAGCTGGCTCAGCTAGATGTATTGTTGAAGGAGTTGAAGGCAAATGATCATCGCGTGTTGCTGTACTTCCAGATGACTAGGATGATGGATCTGATGGAGGAGTACTTGACGTACAGAAATTACAAGTACTGCCGTCTTGACGGATCCACTAAGCTGGAGGACCGCCGTGATACGGTTGCCGACTTCCAGAGCGACCGTTCTATCTTCGTCTTCCTCCTGTCAACCCGTGCTGGTGGTCTTGGTATCAACCTGACATCAGCCGACACAGTCATCTTCTACGACTCGGATTGGAATCCTACCATTGATTCGCAAGCTATGGACCGTGCTCATCGTCTCGGACAAACACGACAGGTTACTGTTTACAGACTGATCACCCGCGGGACTATCGAAGAACGTATCCGCAAGCGTGCCCTCCAGAAGGAAGAAGTGCAGCGCGTCGTTATCTCTGGAGGCGGTGGTGCTGGAGTTGATTTCAACACCCGCTCCAGGGAGAACAGGACCAAGGACATGGCCATGTGGCTCGTCGACGATGACCAGGCTGCCGAGATTGAGAAGAAGGAGGCAGAATTGGCCGAGCAAGAGAAGAATGCTCCGCCAGGCAAGAAGCGCAGCAAGAAGAAGCAACGGGCGGAGGCTAACCTCGATGACATGTACCACGAGGGTGAGTGATTACGTCGCACTTGATTGAAAACATGTACTGACCAGGAGCAGGCGAAGGACACTTTGACGAGAGCGCAAAGGCAAGTGGTGCCGCTACACCCATCGCACCCACTGAAGCGCCTGCGGGCGGCAAGCGTAAGAAGGGTGGGTTGAGTAAAAAGGCGAAGACAGCTAAGCAGCGCCTTGCTGTCGCTGACGGAGAGGTATAATTTTTGTAACACCACGACGACATATTTCTTTACATGTCTATAATTCGATGCGAAGGCAGTAGGAGGAGTAGTATTACCGATGGGCTACCCGATTATGTTGGTTTTCTTGTAGGGTGTGGGGTTCATGTATGTGTACACTATCCGTCTTTCTCTGTGCGCTAGGGTCGATCACTTGAAGGCTAGTATTTACGAGGCCTCTCTGCATAGATTGGGGAGTTGAAAAATTCAAGAGAACACGTTACTGTTAGGTCACACGCGGTTGGTTGGTTTGTTGTGCAACGATGGGACCTCGTTTGACCGAGAACAGCAATACAAGATGAGAGAAGATCTTGACGCTCGGTGCAATTGGCCCTGGGATGTCAGCAGCTAAATTTCCGCTCGCAAGCAAGCATACCCTCTCAAAAGTCGGCCATGTCATCAACTTGAAAAGCTTTAGATACTACGTATATGCGCCCAGGACGCGCAACCAACAAGATTACGTGCAGCCGCAGGTAGCACCAATGTGTGGATGCGGAGGAGTTGCGTATGCTCTATCCGCCGTAACTCGTATTGGGGGAACGACAGTGGTGCGACGGGGGAGATATTTTGTCCGAATGATGGGCGGAGCAGAGCCGGATGTGTCGGCATTACAGAAGCAATGCCCAAACGATGCGACGACCATCATGTCTTGGAAATATGGGTAGGAGAGTTTGCGAAGGCCGTGAGCAGGATGCATCGACATTGCAGCATCATGGACATGTTCAGACATGCGCACTCCTGCTTGTCAACATCTGGATTCTTGACGGCACGGAACCGAAAGCAGTAGCGCTACCGCATCAAGGCCTAAAATTAACCTCGTAGATTTGGCTGACAGCGTGACGCTAGGAGAGAGTTGATTGGCCTAGAGACTGGGGCTGGAGGCTTGTCGTGCACGTGCCTGAACAACGAACCCTGCATCGTCTTCGCCCCCTTCAACATTCATTGGCCTTGGCGTCTGAGGATCCCTTTTGGATAGCATCTCACTCGGGTCTTCCGTCGTGTTCCCCCCTTGGCCCTCCCCGCCTCGTTTGCCCTTCTCGACATTTTCGGTCGCGCTTTCGCAACCGCATCTTCATCTTCCGGCTTCTCTGTTGTTGTCTCTCGTCACTGCAACTGCCTCGGTCGCTTCTGAAGCCACACCGGACGATCTGCTTGCACCGCCGCACCTCCCCCGGCTCACCCGCTACTACCGTGCAACAACACCATCAGCCCGCGCCTTCCTCGTCTTACGCCTCCACTCGCATTGCCAGCTCGCACCTTCCCACTGGCATGAAGGCATAGTCGACACGAGCCTGCCCGTCTACTGTCACTCGCTACATTCGTCATCCAGCATCGCATACCATGGGTACGTCGAGCCCCCGGACACCGCCTAGACCCTTGACACTTCGCGTGTCGACGGCATACCACTTGTCAGAAATGGAACACGTCAGGGACTGACAGACACGCAGTTGAGAAGCGCCCCTCAATCGAGGGTCTCGTCGACAATGTCGACCCCCGAGAGTCCCACGAGCTCGAAGAGCTGCCCACTTTCGAGAAACCCGTGATCGAGCCCACGCCAGTATCGCTCAAGGAGAAGCTGATAACATGTTTCTGGATTGCGCTCAATACCCTTTCAACCCTGGGCTTGATTTTTTTGAGCAAGCGGTATGGCAGCACACCTGTTCAGCCATTGTGCGACTTTACTGACAGCCGGATAGAGTCTTCAGCGACAAGCAGCTAAAAGGCTGTCAACTCATGGTCGTCATGTGGCATTTCACAGCCACCGGCCTCGTCCTCTTCATCTCGACCCTCCGACCTTTCCACGCCTTCAAGGCCGTGCGACTGAACGTCTGGAACATGCTGCCCGTCTGCGGCTTCTTCGCCGGATACGTTGTGCTTGGCAACCTTAGCTTGACCTTCAACTCGATCGGATTCTACCAGCTCTCCAAGGTCATGACTACACCGACCGTCGTTCTCATCAACTTCGTTCTCTTCCGAAAGCAGGTTACACGATACATGCTGGCTGCAATCTTGGCCACATGCATTGGTGTTTCCTTCACCATCAACGAGGCTGCCAAGACCCAGCTCTTCGGTGTCATCGTGGCCACACTAGCATTCTGCAGCACTGCTCTGTACCAGATTTGGATTGGCAAGAAGATTGAAGACTTTGCTGTTTCCCCACCTCAACTTCTGCTCAACCAGGCGCCAATCTCCGTCTGCCTCCTCATTCCCTTCGTCCCGTTCTTCGACACAATCCCGAATCTTTCAACTGTACCCACCGATATTCTCTGGAGCGTTTGCGCCTCTGGTATCATGGCTTCTATGTACAACTTGAGCCAGTTCTTGATCATTGGTCGCACGAGTGCACTCACATTCAACATTGTCAGCCACCTCAAGACTATCATGATCTTGAGTATAGGATGGTACAGCGAAGGCAAGATATTGAGTGGCAGAGAGTGGTTTGGTGTACTTCTCGCGCTTGGTGGTGGCTGGGTGTACTCGCACCTTGCTCTCAAGGCAAAGAAGCAGGGCGGAAAGTAAGATGCGAGACAAGATGCTCTGTTGTCTGTGTATGTGGACCTTTGTGCCGTTTGCGCGACGAGCATTCGTTGGGTTTGGAGCTTCCCTTACATCTTCATCGCTTTTGGGTACGCATTTTTTGGGATTGGGCTCGATAGCAATGCGTAGAATGGGCTAGGCGAGTGGTTACGCCTTTTTACAAAAACAACTTGACGACGATAGATTGGCACGGTTCGGACACCAAAGCGCTTTTCTTGACATCCGGTCACTTCTTCTTAGGGGGTCAGCAGCGGGGAGTTTGGAGACCCATCTTTTATGCTTGTAGCAAGCATCTTTTCTTCCCTATCCATCTGGGGTTTTCCTTGATCATGTTTATCGATACGGCGCTATATACTCCAATGATATAATTCTTAAAGTTCAACAGCTTATCGTGTATGGATTTGAGATACCCTAGCTGATTGGAACAAGTGTGCCTTGCCTTGGCCTCGGAGAAAGAATTGTCGTATGCCTCGCACAGGTGCATTCGTATCGCATTACAACATTGCTACGCAGGTCTTTGTACCCTATCCACATACTGTTGCGACCGGTAAATCGACACCCAAACATTCGGAAATAACCACAGCCACATGTCCCCAGCTACTCGAGCCATCGAACCCATAATAATGTTCTTCGCGCCTTCCACCGGTAAAAGGCGTTAACCTGTTCCAGCCACGCGAACAACAATTTCGGGCCGAGAGATAAAGATCGCAACCCACGTGATGTTGTCTGCACAGCCACACTCGGCTTCCCACACAGCCCTGCGCGCTCGATTACTTCCTCTTCGGGTAAGTAAGGACTGGCGATATGGTGAGCCTTATGAGCCTTATGCGAGTTGGCGAATCAAAGCAGCTGCGACAGATAAGGTGGGCAACACACGCTTGCATCAATCGGGTAGTGGTACAACGCTTCGACGGGCTGTGAATTCAGGCCGCCGGTCACGTTGTGGGCTTAGGCTGATGTTAGAGAGAGAAAAAGGTGGATTGCGACTGGATACCTCGCTTCGTCAGACCCAGATGGGAGTAGGAGATATGACGATTGTGGATGCTGTGTTTGGGGGGCCTAATGACTTGTGCCCTAGTCCTGCGCGTTCTGTAAGGCAGACTTTGGCTGCTGCAGATGATGTGCGCATGATTATGGTCGGGTAAGATGGGAGTCATGGTAGGTATATAGGGTTCGTGGTGTCCTGTGGTTCAGGAAGCTATCATTATCATCCTCGTCACGAAACCGGTTCTTACAAGGTCATACCAACACTTTCTCATATTGTAAAGTGTCTACGATACTTTCGTCAACATCGCATACGCATCATAGTCGAATACAAATCTCGAACACCCACGTATCTCATACAATTACACCACACGTATCCAACTGTCAGATACGCGTAATCAGCGACAGTTTTGCATAATCCAACAAATCTACACACATCAACGAACTATCGCAAAAATGGGCTGCGGCATGTCCAAATCACCTTCTGAATACCCTCCTCCGATGCGCCAAACAAAACGTAACAAGCGCCGTTACGGCGGCGGTGGTACTTATGGTGGAGGTCACGGTGCATACGCAGCAGGATATGGAGGCAATGGTGGTTTCTTCAGTGGAGGAGATGGTGGAGGTGGTTTCTCCGGCGGAGATGGTGGAGGCGGAAGCGGCGGTGGAGGGGATGGAGGCGGCGGCGGGGGCGGTTGTTAGATGACAGGATGGGGTATTCTGGGATTGGCGTTTTTTGGTATACCATTTGGGCATTTGGTAGCATGGATATACGATTATGACAGGAGTTTGGCGGTCGGGTAGATTTGGGCGTATTTTCTACACGTCGTTTCTCAATACAAAGGTGTTTCAAACTTCCATGTCATGCACGTACGTCTTTGAGCACATTGTATCGGAGGCGCACAAGACGATCTAGCAATTACATGTATAAATGCAGCTTACTAAAGAGGCGGTACACCCGAGTGTGTACATGCTCACGCCAAGTCTATCCCCTTGCGTGTTCAGTTATTCCTTGCGCATTCACGTTTTACATGCTACGTGAGTGTGCATGCGGTAGTGAGGTTGACAAGGACATCAATTGATGGGGAATTCCGATATACTAGGAGTTCAAAAAAGATTGATCGAAAATAATGCATTGCCATTCTCCAGAAGCGACCCGGTCTCACATACTTCATCCCGAAAGAAGAGGACCAGAGCCTTACCAACACAGACGCCCAGAACCAACATGCATCTAACGAACAGTTCAAGATCTCCGGTTCTCATCGGTCCAGCACTAATTCTTCACCGTCTCTTCCTCATTATCCACGAAGTCCTCCTCCTGCCCATCGTAGTACTCCAATTTGTCGTCGATGTCTTCTGCTGCTACTCTACTCGATTTTTTGTGTTTCTTTTCCTTTGCCATCCTAGCTCGTCTCAAGCTACTTGCTGTACCTTCTTGCAGGCTTTCGTCAATATCCTCTGCTATTCCCCTGGTGGATCTGGTCTGTTTCCTTTGTTTCGCACCCTTTCCATCTCTCCAGCTGGATCCTTCTATAGACCCTTTTGTGTCGATCGCAACACGTTCCACAAATTCTCTGGCCATTTCACCGATGTTCTCAGTCTGTTTTCTTTCATTTACACCGCTGTCGTCTTTTGAGCTGCTCTCTTTACTCTTGTCGGGGGTCTCGGCTTCCTTTGCTTCTAGGCGTATGTGTTCTGCCTCTACCTTTGAAGGTTCAGGACTGGGAATGTTCTGCTGAGCAAAGACAGAACGGTGGTTGCTGAAGATCCTCTCGTTAACATTCGGTGGCTGAGGTAGGCCTGACGGCTCTGCTTCTTTGCTGTGATTGCTCAGGTCGGGGTCAGATTCTGGAGTAGGCCTATCGTCGGACGGATGCTTTGATTCGTGTGATATGAGGTTGGCATCAGAAACGGACTGTTTGCGGTAGGACGTTGGATTCGGGAGATTAAAGCGATGAAACAGTTGTTCGCCCCGGCTTTCCCTGGACCTCGTTCCGCTTGATCCATCATCATCGTGGCTAGTCTCAATGGTAGACTCTACTACTGGTGATGTACTACGCAAAGTAGGCGTGCGAATTCCGGGAAGTGTAGGTGAGTTCAAATCCAGCGACTGTGTATGTCGGAGTTGCGGTGAAACAGATCGATGATCCCTGGTAGATGCAGGCGGGTATATTGGAGGATGTGGGACATTAGCTTGGTTGTTTGTTGGAAGCGACGCAGTCCAACTGGACCTATCATCCTTGTTCTCTACTAAGCCCTCAGACTCCAGCTTGTCGAGTACTGGTCGAAGCTCTCCAACCGGAACATCAAACGTAGACGCGAGATCTGATATGTTTTCGCTTATCCCAGGCAGGCTTTTCAAGTAAGACAGAGCACGTTCTGATAGGTCGCTTGATGATTTTTCGTTCGGGGCAAACGTTCCAGTGTCTCGCATGGCGTCTCTTTCCCCTCTCACTCGTATCTCGACTGCTTTTTGCTCACCCAAGTCGGTCAGAATCCACGTGCGTTTATCGTCTCTAAACGCGATGTATCCGTTCAATGCTAATTCGTTTATCATCATAAAAAGTTCTGGATCAGAAGCCTGGAGTTCGAGACTAAACCCCTCAAGAGATAGCCCCTGGGCTCTACTACTCAAGCATGATACTATTCGGTCAGCTAGAGCAGACGGACCAGCTGAAGTGAATGGGTAACCATCGCCTGATTCTGGTGGTTGAAGCTCTTGTTCGATTGGAGGAAGCTCCTTAGCCTCTTCCGAGATAACCCAAGTGTGATCGTCGACAGTGTTGTGCACGCGCCCCTCTATTGCAAGCATGTTCAACAAGCTTGTGACTAATTCCGTGTCGATGCCGGTTCCAGAAGCAATACTGCTGGTTTCCTGCCCTATATACGAGCCAGGCCGGGTCTTGAGGTCGTTGGAAAGATAATCGAGGATCTGTGCACGCGGCTTTGGCATGCAATTCTCATGCGTCATGTGTGCGTTCCTTGCAGTACGGCCTGTGAACTCCTTTCCACATGTAGGGCAGTAAGCTCCAGATACGTTCCCTGATTTCTCTCGTTGATGTCGTAGAAGATTACTGAACGTGGAGAATTCCCTTCCATTGCACCCGTGCTCCCAACACTGCGGCTTCGGTCGGGGTTTGTTACGGTTGACGAGCCGTTGGAGAGCGTCGAACAGCGCTGGAGCTTCAGGAGCTAATGCGTCGAGAAAATGCCATCGTTCCATCACCCGAATCCTCTCTACTTCCTGTGTTCCTTCCCCTTCCATTTCTTCCAATTTTCCCACAATCAAAGACGTTGCGTGTGGAGGTAGACGCACAGCGGAAGCATCGGGGCCTTGGACAATTCGAGGAGAAGGCGGTCGGTGGTTCGAGTAACCGTTCTTCAACATCCAGTTGTGATATGACAGCGCTTGTTGATATTCTGCGACTCTAGCCTGCGCCGGCTGGTTAGAGTAGTCCAATGTAGCGCCTCGCGTCAAGGACGAATTGGCGCCAGCGAGATCTATCGTCGCATACGGATTGCCTTCAGAATAGTTATCTGTACGATATAGCTCGATCCTGCTCTGATGGATATGGAGAATGGAGTGCACCCAGTCCCCCAATGTCAACGGAGCAAGGACTGACGCATGGATTACTGCAGGTGGCTCTGTGGTCGACGCAGTGGAGTTCTCATCTTCAACTGCGGGATGGTGTGACGCATTCTCGTCTTCATGAGCCGGGTCCTTTGGTTTTGCCTCGCGTGGTGTGACTGTCTGGAAGAACGGATATCCAAGGCCACTCTCCGTCTGTGTGCTTTGCGTAGCGCTTTGCGCGATAGTCGAGAGCAAAAGCATGGAGCTAGGCAAACGATCCGCTGGTACCTCCAATTTGTACCTATCTCTTCTGGCATGGACGTTTGCATGTGGAGACATTTCCACACGCTGCCACATGTCTTCTCCAAGACGGTAGCCCTGTTGGCAGAGTTCATGGCGCCTCTCATATAATCCATTATGACACGTATCACAGTCGTCAACATGCGATTCGAATTGAAAAAATGCATGTTCTTCACTCTTATCCATGGGGCGGGACTCGTGGGTCCACATCTGCGTCTGTTGGATGATTTTTCGGTAACGCATCTGTCTAACTTCCTCATTGACCTCGGACAGCTTCCGCAAGTCAGATGAGGCAGGAAGAATTGTAGCAGATGGCTTTGATGAAGACGAGTCTTCTCGGGTCTCATCAGTTTGTCGAAAAGACGCTGGAAGTGGGGTATCTTGTGCAAATCTTTCTCGTATCTCATCTTTTCTCTCTTCTCGCTCAGCTTCTATTCGCATGTGGTCATCTATGGTCATCGCTGCCTGGTGTTGAGCGGAGGTCTGCTTCTCGCGTTGTGATGCATCGGAAACCCTGCGTTTCGGCGGCGGAAAGTAGATTGGCAGAAGGCTCCTGTAAACGAACTCGTCGTTGGAGGAAAAGACCACGAAGATGATCTTGTCGAGACCATTAGCCGGTTCTGCGGATTCCAGGAATCGTTTCACTTCCTCCATGGCTAATGATGCGCAGTCACGTCTCGGATAATTCAGCATACCAGTTCCAATGCTGGGTATCGCGACGGATCTTGCCCTCAGTTCTACGGCAGTGTGTAGAATCTCCCGGTAGATGCCTCTCAAGATCCTTTTGGTATCCTTTCTGAATTGACCGGGCGGGACGACATGAACAACGTGCTTGGCTGGTAGGAGGAAAGGAGGAGTTACTTTGACGTCACCTTCTTTGCATGGTCCGATCTGCTCAGCTTCGACTTCCCAACGTAGTCCCGGCCCACCTTTCTTGAAAACCGTGCGATCCAAGGTACCCATGCCGGAAAAGGAAACGTCGGTAGAGTTGACCATAACATCGACTGCGAGTCTGGTGATATCTTCTCTTAGCAAACAGACAGTATGGTTGAATGAAGTGGACGGTTGCGCCATCGTTGGCTTGGCCTCAAGGTCGCCAAGTAGATAGAGCCGCGCAACGGAAGGTATCTGATGAACTTGGATGATTTCTCGATTGTTCGAGATAGGTGCTTCGGATTTGCGCACATGTATGACTTCGTCCAAATGATCGCGGATACCTTTCGCATCTTGACTTTTCTGTTTGACAGCGTAGTTTTCCAAGACTTGCCGTGCTCTTGCCATCGAATCCGGTTCCTTCCTATCGCCTCCTATGACGCCATCTAAGCTGTTCGCAAACATCCAGCAATAGTCGAAGAGAGTCGAAAGATCGAATCCATGGCTGGCTTGCATACCAGTATTGGCTTCGTCCCAGAAATTTTGCTCCTCCTTGGTGAAGCCTACTTCTTTCGCTCGTTCTGCGATCTCCGATATGGTACTACATGCGGTTGAAATGACAGAGCACAGTAGATTGAGATCTGCAAGACTCCGCTTAAGCTCCTTTGATCCCAAAAGATAGTTGCGCATGGACAACAGCGCAAAATCGAGCCTCCGCATGTCATGGGCACATGCGTTAGTCTCAGCAGTCTCCGACCTAAAAACGTAGGTGTCGGACATGTCAATCAAGGCCTTTTGAAGCTGTGAACGTGCCTCTAGTATCTGAGCCGATAACGCGGCGCGATTCGCTGACCAGTCCGATGTTCTCGCTCTGTCGAGATCTCCATGCGTAGGTGGAAAGAAGACTGGTAAGAAGTCTGTGTACGCTTTCTCATCAATCGCTGCTTTTACGCAAAAGATAATTCGCTCGGGGCGATGCTCAGGATGTGCGTCCAGATATTCTCTGATCTCCTGCAGCGCTATGCGTGCAGCAACACGTGGCGGAAAGTTACAACCTCCAGTGCCTAGGCAAGGAAAAGCGATCGTCTTGAGTTCGTAAGTAGCAGCTGTTTTCAGAGCCTCACGATAGCACGCGCTCAAAATGTTGAATTGACCGACACCTTTAGAACCGGTATATGTTGGCGCTGCAGCGTGTATCACCCACGAAGCCGGAAGATCGTGTCCATGAGTGAGCTCGACCTGACCCGCCTTGACTCTAGGTTTTGATCTTGCCTCATTCCTGAGACCTGATCCACCCCTTTGGTATATAACATAATGCAACGATTTTGGATCAGGTTGGGCCTTGAAGTTAGATGGAGCATTATTGACAATGGCATCCACTCTCAGCCTTGTCAGATCGTAATGACAGAACGAGATCATCTGGTTATAGGCATCGTTTGGCGCAAAGCTCTGATCGCGCTGCAACAGCCGCCGAGATTGGTATAGGGAACGCAATGTGGGGATGTCGGCTGTCGAGATGATTGCTTGTTTTTCTGAATCTTCAGCTTCTTGGTCGTACAATTCAGATCCAGTTGAAAATGCCTCAGCATCTTCGGTAGCCTGTGTATCCGCCGTTGACTGGCGAGTGAACGTGTGCTCTTTTTCTGTAGCAGTAATATCGTCAGTATGCTCAAACAGTTACAAGCGGCCTAGTCGCCATTCATTCATCCACTTACTATGTGGTGGGTTGATCCTGGTGAAGTTCCACTTGCTCGTGTCCTTTTTGGGTTTGAAATCCATGTTGGGGAAGCGCTGAGTATCGAAGACCTTCAGCGCCTCCTCACCAACCCAATCATCAGCGAAAGTTATCGAGCCACGCCAGGAACCATAGCGTCGATAGAATCGAACGGACAAGGCCCCTGGAAGGGTCAGGACATGTTGCCTGAATGCTTCCACATGGTCTAGGTGTTTCTTGTGTGAAAGCGATACGTCTTCGTCAATCTGCGGATCATCAGGTTGCTCATCTTCCGAATCCTCCAGATCATTCGATTGGTTTGCGATCATCGCTAACCGATTATGACTCTCGTCGGGAAGTTGCTGCAATCTCTCTGCGGACAGTAAATTCTGTCCAGGCTCCGTTATATGGAGGATCTCAGAGGGATCCTCCAGTTTTAGAGTATCTTCCAGCTCGATTTCGTCAGTGCTTGTGTCTGTGCGGACTGAGTCGGGTAGGGATTGAGAGTTGGAACTCCCACGGCTTGCGATGCTGCTTGCGCCGTCCGCGTCGTCTTCCCTCCCGTGAGGCAGTGCGAAGGTAGCGAAGCGTTCCAGATGATTTGCGATGTGGCTTTGTAAATCACCTAGTCCGGCAGTATCTGCGGGTACATAGCAGATCGGACACTTGGTGCGTGTATCCATCGCTGTCGTCTCCCCGACCTTGGCAATGACTGCTATCTGATCTTCAGGGAAGCTGCCATTATGGTCTTGTCGAAGATGATTCTCAAGACCAGAGACAGAGCTATACAAGGCCGCTGCGTGTTCTGGACATCGCCATAGTTTACGATGGGTCGCTTCGTGTTCGGCCCACTCCCGGCGACTACGGAAGAGCTGTTGAGAGCTCTCGCAGTCCTGGTATGTACAGATATATGGCTGTAGATCTTGCAGCAGATGCGTCTTCCAAGCTCGTCCTTTGCCATATCTTGCAGGGCAAACGATCCAACAATACGGACACTCGAAGTCTTTGTCGCCGTTGGCAGCTTTGGGCGGAGGCGGTAATTCAATGCCTTTCCCGTGCAGATCCCTCACTGTCACAGCGTAGCTTGTCACCGACTTGGTATCCACTATGTCATCTAGAGACTGATGATGGTGTGTCGCTTCCGTGCCTGACAAGAGAGTCTTGCCGGTCTTCTGGCTTGGCGTCGGTTTCGAGGTCGTGATCATCGGGGTTGTTGGAAAGGCTTCGAGGTTGTCGTTACGGGTTGTGTTAGGTGCCTCACGTGGAGCAGGTACGACAGGCTCCGGTGCCTCTTCAGGAATTGCGGAAGCGCCGAGTTTGTCACGATGTCGCTTCCAATACTTGAAATGCCGCCTACGTAGCGTGATAGAGGAGCTTAGCCTCTCAATCAGAGAGGCTTGTTCTTCTTGCGCCCCCGAAGGAAGTTGTTTTCGTAATTGGAGGAGTAGCTCCTGGACATGCTTTCTGTCCAACTCGGCATAAGCATCAAGGATATCCACTCCGGTCTCTGGATCTTTTGGCATATAAGAGGAAGCTTTAAGTGATCTTGAGTGTATGCTAGGCGTTCTGATGCGTACGCTAAGCTTGTAGAGATTGTCGATGATATCAACCACCTCCTCAAACCTCATCTTCAACTCGCTCCTGGGTCCATCGCTATCACTGTCGTCTTCTTCGCTGAAGAACCCATCGTCGTTTTCGTCTTCCTCGACTTCTTCCGTCGATGTTTGCGCCTCGAAAGGTAGACGAGCTCCGGATATGACTGCGAAGGTCTCATTGAGGTTGTGCTCGAGCTCGTTCAGAAGCTTGAGTGCACTACTAAGCAGATTAGGGGAGTCGCGTAGCCTGTAGTCTAGCGAGCTGTGACCTTTCTGCAGCGCACCCAGATTACCAGCCCATACTCTGAACCTTCCGATCTCGTCCTCGAGCGCATCGCCGTCTACTTCTTCCGTAGACTTACTGTCGCTTGCACTAAGAGCATCGGTCAAAATTTGGAAAGCGCGTATGTTAGCAGCTGTTGCGAGCCTAAGGGTCGACATTATGGAAGCTTAGCATGCCGAGGACGGAAGCGAGCGGGGACTTGCGGCTCTGAGGGGTCTCAGACATCGGAGTAGAAAGGTGTCGTGAACCCAGACAGTCGAGTCGTATATGCTGGTAGATTTTCTTTGTTCATTCTGGTCCGCAACGAGATGGCATTTGGCTAGTAAGCGCCTGTGCCATTGTGCAGCCTAATGACTGCATGGGGTGAGGCGATGCTAGGTTCTTTCCAGATTGGTGGGGGGCGCAGTTCAGGCGCCTCGCAGACAGTGGCACCTTTTCGCAACCTCGTGTCCTTCGCAAATCGACGGATTCGCGCGTCCTACTCACTCTTCCTAACAAAATGATGGTTCTCTCATAGCTAATAGTCGTGGCTCTTCTACGTCTCTTCGTGTGTCTACCGTGAGGTCCAGTCAAGAGATTCAGACTCGAACCCCGCTCGGCGTTCGTTTCTTCCACCATTCGCCAATGACGCGCAACATCGACATTTATCCCGAATCCTAAGTTAAAAGCTAGAATGAGCGGAATTGAGGTAGCTGGCCTTGTACTTGGCGCTTTGCCGCTGATTATCCAAGGTATGCAATGTTTTCATCTCGACCAACAATCAGTCAACGGCTTACTGATTTATTTTCTTAGGAATCGATAGCTACAGAGAAGGACTTAGTACTTTGAGGAGCATGTGGGATCGAGACATTGAGTATCCCGCCCTTCTCAGGAAACTCAGGGCCCAGTACGATCACTACGAGCTGACAATTCGGATACTTTTCGGCTCCATCACCTCTGAAGCTGAATGGGCAAGAATGACTACTGACCCTATGGCATCTCGGGGACTGTGGAAGAGCAAGGAAACGGCGCTTCAAGACAGGCTTCAAAACGCTTACAACTCGTATCAAAGTATCATGGCGGAGATCGAACAAATCACGAAGAGCATCGCGAGTAGACTAGATTTGGACGGCGCAGCCGAGGTAAATACATGTGGTATATTCAGTACATCATTGACTGACGCCGTTTGTAGCTTACTCGTAATAATCTCGACACGTTGCTTGCCGCGAACCCTAAGAAGTCCAACGACAAATTCGAATTCCGCAAGCGTGTTCGTTTTGGTATGAGCAAGAAAAAGTTAAGCGCACTTCTAGAGAAGCTTGATGAGTGCAACAGGCAGCTCGAGAGGTTTACGGAAAAGAGTGAAAAGATTGAAACCTACCATAGACCGAGCAAGCCTTCGTATGCTACACGCTTGCAGAAGCTGCAGCGCTATGCCAAGATTCTACACGACGCACTTTGTGTGTGCTGGTCATGCTCATGCAAGTCTTCCCATACAGCAAGTCTCCAACTCGACCCTCGCGGAGACATATTTGCGCCGAGATTTCGGGAGGCGCTCCGCAATAACAAGACAAGTTTCAATATCTCTTTTTCGACCATTTCGCCTGACAGCAGTGGTGTTTCATGGACTTTTCAAGCCGCTAGGATCTGCGTCGATGAGGAGGACGATGTCTGTCTTTCACCGATGGCCTCCCCCAAACCGAATAGGATGCAAAGGAATGTCAGCTTCGGATCGCTTCCTCCTTACGCAGTTCAAGATCCAGCGACCACTTCACCACCTTCATATGAGGAGGTCAAAGACCTTTGCGCATCTATTCAACAACTCTATAAGAAGTCCCCAACCATCGGCTTCTCGTTAGACAGTAAAAGCAAACTACGAGGGGCTTACTCAGTCGACACGGCAGAAGCACAGATTCCTAGTACAGAACTGATATCTCTGGAGACACTGCTAGAGAGGCCACCGGTCATCAACGGAAAACGCTCTAAGTTGAGCAGAAAAGAGAGATATAGCCTAGCGTTGACATTAGCGTCCAGTATACTCTACCTTAACTCGACGCCCTGGCTTGCCAACGAGTGGGCTGCGCGAGACATTCTTTTCCACCGAACATCAGATACCACGTGTCCGATCGATCTCGATCGCGCATACCTCGCTCCGAATGTAGCTGACCGTTCGGAAAACGGATCAAAAGGCTACAAGCAAATGGTTTTGAAGAACAATTTCTTGCTCGCTTTAGCCGTAGCATTGCTCGAGCTTTACTTCGGGACGACTGCCGAAAAGTACCACCAGTCGGAGTTTGAAAACGAAACTGGTGACACTTCAGCAGATCAGAAATATAACCTCCTTACATTGGTACATAACTGGATAGAAAGCGAAGCTGGGGAACTGTCTGCTGCTTATCAAAGTGCAGTCAGTTATTGTATGAAAGAGTCGGTTGATCCCACGGTTAATTTACAGGACACCAACTGCCTCCAAGCTGCAGTTGAGAATATCGTACTGCCGTTGCAGGAGGAGCTAAACCAGTTCTTGGGCAAGACTTTGGCCTAATGTTTGCATGGCGAGACTAAACCACGAAAATGCTCAAAGTCCAACAACAGACCATAAGAACTATGGTCACCAAGCAACCAAATGATACACAACATCCAGTTGAAGTTTCAATAACAATACTCGAGCGAAAGATTAGAAGAAATAAACCACGGCCGCGCCTCAACGCTACAGTACCGGGTCGGGACGAAGGGCGCTTACTCAACGCACATCACCTCGTATCTGACCCACGCGCCAGGCAATACGACGTGCGACTCTGGGGTAAACCAGGCAAGGCTAGCGCAGCAAATCTCCGAAGTCAAACTGAACGTCGAGCGATGGGGTCGTAACGAGGACATGAGTGTTACTCCACAATAGCCACATCGGTTACCATGCGATGTGGCGAGAGAGTTGCGCGGCGGCTAAAAGTATCAACAAACAGCCTTGCAACACCCCGCACCCCGCCGGCTCTCACCACATTACACAACCCACAAACGCCTGTTCCCGGATGCGCGGCAATATCGTGATCCGAGAGGGCGCAACACGAAGCTTTACTAATGGAGGGACACGCACTTGGCTAGGTACAAAGTTCAAGGACAAGCTCTGTAGAAGACGACGGAAACTTAGGGCGAGTCGCAATTGGTGCTACAGATCAGATAATTGATCGGAACTGCCCGCCATGTTAATATGAAACATACCCAAGGTCATAGCAATTAACTCTGGGGTGCTGCACACCATGCATGGTCGTCAACGTTACGCGGGCGATACGTGCTTGCCGACTATCGGTCTACGTCATGAAGACAGGCAGCTGTACTGACCGCATCATGGTCCAAGATTAGACATAACCCTTTAGGAGATTATGGCGGAAATTGAAGATCTGGTGCAGGACTAGCGGGGGATGCGCATTATCTCTATCGAAGGATTCCATAGCTGAAGATTTTGAGATGGACGATGTAATCACGAAACAGAAACGCGCGCGCGCGCGTCAAACTACTGATGGTGTTGTCAAGGAATTGCGTGTGTACGTGGCAGAAGTATTGAATAGATACGTCGTGTTTGAGGAAATATGCCGCACATGTGTCGGATTGTTTTTGCTAAGACGAGGTAAGAGCATAAAAGTGGCACGTTTCGTTTTACACCGCCTTGAGGGCGCCATAGATGCAGAGGCAGCTCCTAAGTTCCAACGGGGTAGGGAGCGGTAGAAGCTAAGGCAAGCGAAGCCACCCGGTAAAGCCCCTCGTTGGCGCGCACGACGCCGCCGAAGCCTGAAACAGGCCCATGGTTGGACGAACGGCGCCGATGTGAGGCGGCGAAAATGGGCCGCATGGGGATCGGCTAGGGAGTGAATTGGCCACGGCAAAAGCGAACAGGTATTGCGCGACCAAATGGGGATGCTGTTGGTTAAGTAGAAGGAAAGTCAGTATGATGTGGGTGGCAATGGCGATACATAGGGGTGCTAAGAGGCTATTAATAAACGCCAATGGCCGGGGAGTCAGTTCAAGTTGGCTCCGTGGTCGAGGGAGAGGGGGGTTCGAGTGGAGAGATTGAGGAGGGAGTAGATAGGTCGCGGCTGCCCAGAGGCCGGCGTGAGTGGTTGCAGGTCTTTGTTATGCAGCCGACGAACCATAACAACAACAACACGACTGGTACCATAATAGTTGCGGGCGCCGGCCACGACAAGCTCTCGAGCGCATTCACCCTGAGGCTTTCACCTGCTCCTCGTCCTTGTCCTGAAGCAGTGGGCCAGCATTGCGCATTCAACGCTCGTCAATCTGTCTAGGGCCATCCCGGTCGTGCTTTAGTCTTGGCGCGTCGGCACCCCTTAACGTCACCTGGAATCCGTTTTCTCGATTCCCAATCCAAGCTCCTGCCAACGCTTACCAAACCACAAGACTCGACCCAGACCGCTGCTCCCAGCAACAAGCACTTCGACACTCGCTGAGTCCCGGAACACCGCCCCCAGGTTGACAGCGCAGAGCGCACCCATACGCTCTTTTCGCTGTTCCGCTCCCCCCAAGACTTGTCGACACCATGGCACAACAGTACGACACCCCGGCCTCACATGCCTCACACGCCTCCCTTGCGCCGCTCCCCGCGCACATAACCACCACCACATTGGCAGCCATGGCTAACATTTGCCCAGAATAACTTCGTCCTTGAAGGACTTCTGGCACACCATGACCTCGTACGACCGCCACGCCTCGCACGACTCGCCCTACCGCACCGGCCGTCACATCCCCATTCCCCAGAGCCGCCACGCTGCCCTCAGCTCCATCACGGCGAGCGGCGCCGAGTCCCGCGCCGACCTGCACTCGCCCTACCAGCACGACGAGCTCGCGACCAGCAATGGCTTCATCGGCTCCCCCCAGGGCCCCATGTCTCCCAGCTCCCCCTACTCGCCTGGAATGCGTGGCTCCCTGAGCCGCCAGGCCACCATGGACTCGGACACGTTCGACAAGGGCGCCAATGGCCAGATCCAGATGCAGGACTTCAACGAGGGCCTGCCCCCGCCACCACCTGTTAGCCACTCGTGGAGGCGTATCGACCGCTGGGTCGAGGACCACTACCAAGAGCTCTTCGACAACTTGTGCGAGGGCTGCACATCAAACGACGTCAACGAGCTGGAGCACGAGCTCGATGCGACGCTCCCCATGGACATTCGCGAGTCGCTGCAGGTCCACGACGGCCAGGAGCGCGGTGGTCTCCCGACCGGTGTCATCTTTGGCCTCATGTTGCTCGACTGCGAGGAGATTGTCATGGAGTGGAAGAACTGGCGAAAGGTCGCTGAGGAATACCTCACCACAAAGGTCGACTACCGAACACCGCAAATCCCAGTCAAGGCTTTTGCCGGCTCCTCTACAGCTCCTCCTGTGGCTACAGTCCAGAGCACAGGCAACCCCCTCTGGCGACAAGACCTCCTCGCGCGTCAGGACTCGCAGCCCCCGAATGCCGTACAAAAGGCCTATGCCCACCCAGCATGGATCCCTCTGGCTCGCGACTGGGGAGGCAACTACCTTGCCGTCGATCTCGCTCCGGGTCCCAATGGCACATGGGGCCAGATCATCATCTTCGGCCGCGACTACGACTGCAAATATGTCGTCGCACGCTCGTGGGGCGCTCTGCTAGCCATGGTCGCAGATGATTTTGCCTCCAAGGACGTACACATGGATGAGGAGACGGGCGAGCTGAAGCTATTGGCATTCAAGAAGCAGAACGTTGAGCCACCCTACCTAGAAGTCCTCCGCTGGCGATGCGATCAGAAGCACGGTCGCCGGCGGCCCAAGGGACGCCCGAACAGCGGTCTGCGTGTCAACCCCAACGCGCCGGGTATGGTCGTCCCCAGTAGCACTGCGAGCAGCCCCTACCACAGCCCTGTAATGGGACCAGAAGACCGCGGCCGAAGCCCCCACCGCCTCTCCAAACCACCCAAAGGCGTCAGCCCGCGTGGCAAACTTTCAAGCCCGCTCGCCCGAGTTGCGGAAGAAAACCCAGCACCGATCCGCGTCCACACGAACCTCGATGCCAAGGCTGCCACACCCTCGGAGAACCTGATCTCCATGGACACACCAAGGCCCAGTGACGAGCTCCCCACTGCCCGCCTACCTACTCCCCGCGACAGTCTCAGCAGCGATAAGGAGAACAACAAAGAGAACCAAGACACCAAGCCTTCTTCACTGAAAAGCCCAAAGTCGGTGAAGAGCCCTATCGCTGCCACCGCCGAAACAGAAGATCTCAAGACTGTCGAGATATAGGAATCCCGCCATAATCATTTCTCCTCGTTCCAATACGCTTCCCATTGATGATCTACTACTAGAAGGAAACGGCTGGATACTTTATACATATTCAAGGAGTGCAAGGCGTAGGGTTTTGCGGGGTGGAAGCTTCATGTGTTCAAGCAGGCGTATTGACCAGCATTTCCATTCCTGACAAGCCAAAGGCGTTTTTTTCTCCATCCCATTCGAACAATGCAAATCTTTAGCTTCTCTTCCTCAAAGTACACGGCTGTCGAGGCAACAACACAGTATCATCACCATCATCCTACGCAACACAACACACAAACATCAACAACCATCACCAGGACTACCGGACTCGGTCCCTCTGTCACCCGCACGCCAACATGTAACAACACATATGTTCGTCTTTCTTTTCTTCTTCTTTCTCTGCTTCTTTCGGCTCCGAGCGCTTGGCTTTTGGCTTCCCGGAGGAACTAGCTGATAGGCCTTTTGCTTCTTTGAAATGTCTTTTTTCTCTTTTTTCTCCTTCCTAGCTTCGATCTACCGAGTCTACATGAAACTTGTTTCTGACTATTCTGGGAGCGGAGCGGAGCGGGGGAAAAAGGATGAACAGGTGAGGCTCTGAGAGTCACCCCTGTCTTACCTTTGCGTCTGTGGCGTGGTAGTAGCGGGTTCGTGCATTGGTAATGTCTTTCTTTTTTTTCGATCATATATTCTGAGTGTGTCGATGGTTTTGTTTCGGGACTTTTTTGTTCGTTCGGCTGATGGGTTGGCGGAGAAAAGGGGATGAGTGGGGAGGACGGGATAGGCTTCTGTATATCCTTGTTGGTGTGGCTGTTATATCGTCAGAACACGTGGTGTGGAATACGTAGGATGGAATTGAGATTGTAACAAGAACACGGTCTTTGATCACATGTCAAATCATGCTGTTTGTGCAACACGTTCGAGCGAAAAGTGGAAGAAGCCCTGCTGACTTTGAGGAAAACAGTTTACTGTGCCTCTTCACATGGCATCCAGGTGCGTATCTTGTTTTGTTCGCATCGCGGACGAAGTATGTGCAAACGGGTTGGAGAGCCTACGAACGATTGTATGGATCGACTTTCTATGTTCGTTATGGTAATCTCGCAACCTCTTACTAGACATGTATACTTTTGCCATCTTTTACTACAACGCATGTACTTTTGTCAGCGATCATCGCTCGGTGTTTCACTACGATCCCCCCTTCCGCGGAAATGACAAAGCCGTCTGACCTAGAAAACCGTATAGCTGCCTCTGCTACACCTCAGCACCGTATGTCCTCATTCTCTTGGTCTTTTACCACTAGCCAGCTTTCAAAGGCCCCCCAGCAGCTACACATCCTATACCTAATTCCCGTTGTACCATCCAGTCCTCCCACCAAACACAAAATATAACAAGCAAATTTCCCCACAGCGAAAGTCCACTGGGCAGATCGTTTCTGTATCGACACCACCTCGAACTTCTACTCCGACCAAAACTACCAACAATGACAGGGGGCATGTTGATGCTAGGATGCAGGGTCGTAGAACTACAGATGAGGAGGATGAGAAAGAATATGAAAATGGAGATGTTGGAGGCCTATGTGAATGGAACGGGTGGAGTAAGGAGAGCGAAGGCAGTTACTTCGTCATACTAGCGCGAGGAAGAGATGGGATGAGTATGCTGAGGGGGGGCTACGCGAGGCTGCGGGTGATATTGCGAGATCTCGCTCAGGGTTGTGTGTTGGCAGTGTGGGGTAGGGGGGTTCTTGAAAGGGGATGCCGGAAAGGAGAATGGTGATGAAGATGGGGTTGAAGACGAGGAGAAGTAGTACTTCTATCTCCAGGACTTCGTGCCTATGGAAAGGTTCAATACCGCGGATATGCATGCGATGATGCAGAGGTTGGGAGACTTGAATATCGAGAGCGCGGTATTTTTTCGAGGAGCTCGCATGAGATCATGAGCGTCGGCCCGCGGACGGCGAGTTTGGTTACCGTGTTACTACACATGATGGCTACTTTACTCAAGAAAATGTCTGGACATCGACCTGGAAAGGAAATTTTACGCAAAATATGGAAAGGTTGCTGCGGTATGACCTTGAAATCAGTGGGCCAAGATGAGCAGAGATGGAGGAAGTGGTCGAAAAGTTGTTTGAGAAAGTGAAGGTAACATTGGTGTTACAGATGGGAACAACATGGTAGTCTTTGATCCTGCAAGGTTTTGGGGACATGGGGAATGTGAGTTGAGCAGTTTCAACTATAGTGCTCATGCCCGGTGTTATTCGAATGCAATCGTGCGGCCAACGTATGATGAAGATGATCTCAGGACTCTCAACTAGCAACAGTATGGTGCTTATCTGCAGCGCATATCGGCTACCTGCCCTAAAGAGGACTCCGAGGCAAGGGTTATGCTATATCATCTGTATGTCTTTTGGTTTACCTGACAGTATACCTCCTATGGTTTTCCTCTCGGTGCTGACTTAGGAATTTGTAGGAGGAGGAGTTTGCGTGATTGTGCGCTGTTCACTCGCGATCCGGAGAACAGGACGAGGTAGGTTGACAAATGACAAAGCTGATCGCAAGACGATGGACGCTGGTAGGCTGAAGTAGATTCCTGAACGAAGCTATAACGTTAGGATCATGTTCCCAGACAAATTGGAAGAGTGGATGAAGGCAGAAAAGATGCAAAGCAAGTATTGAAGTGAGTGGTACGGGAAAGGATGTACGATAAGCCGAGCGACCTGAACAAATGCAGCAGATCGCCTCGAAATGAATGATTCTGTATCACAGCCATTACTCCTCCTTGATATGAATAGCCAAGCCCTTCTCTCCCTCCCAGAATGCAATTGTCCTCTCCGCAATCGTCTTCGGGTTTAGCACTTTATTCTCAGGCGCCACAGATCCCTCGACATGTATCAGCCCAATGTGCACACCACTGTCACCGAAAGCACGGTTGAAGCTCTCTACCATATTCCTCTGCGAAGCCTTTGTCAAGCTCAACGAGAGCAGTTGCGGTATAGGATCCCAAGGCAGATGGCTATTGGTGACGAAAAGCGCAGGTTTGGATGTAGAATTAGACTTTGCCAGGCTCTGGAGTTTGGGAATATAATGCTGTGCTATGACGTAGAGGGCGAGATTGCTCGTCTATGATCTCCATTAGCATATCCGGTATTGTTGATGTTGGAAAAGGAGTTAAGCACTTTGAAATCCTCGTCGATCTCCTCAACACTGACACCGAGTACTTCACTTGGCTTTACGCGAGCAGCATTGAAAAACACTACTTCTATGTCTTCGCCTGAGGTCATGCTATCAAGCTGCTTGAGTACACTTGGGATGGATTTTGTGTCTGCAAGATCGATACGGAGTGTGTCGACTTTGACAGGGAATGTGCTCCTGGTGACGAAAGGCGCATCTTCGTTCTGAAGGCGTTCTGTGTTGCGCGCAAGAAGAACAATGTGTTCGATACCTTTGGACGCGAATTGGAGGGCGACATTGTCGCCGATGCCGGGTCCGGCGCCAAACAGGATAAGAGTGCGTGTCATCTTGAAATGCTTGAGGTGTTGAATATCGAATACTTTGCTCGATGGAAAGCTAGTCTCTGTTTATGGCGCGAGGCTTCGACTTTATACTTCTCACTGGTGGTAGTACACGCTTCCAATCACAATGTCGTCAAGAGCTCCGTTGTCCTCGCTCACTATTATCTAGCTGCACATGAATCATGGCTATATTGTCCGTCCGTATCCCATTGGCTGGGTTCATGCATGCCTGGATAGGGCTTACATACGACAATGCTTACCCAAGCTAGCTGCAGCACCACATTATGGCGACGAGAACCATCATCGGTCGTGGGGTGTAGGATAGAAGATTAAGCCCGTATCGAAGAGGAAGATGACATTTTCCCAAACGAGTGAAAGGTGAACCCCACACTTCAGTCACGCTAGATTAGCGCGGCACGCCATACGCCTACCTCCGCTTTAGAACCTCACGTTTGCGCTGACGATGTTTCTTAGAGACTGAATATCGAGCACCCAAGAACATCTAAAAAAAAAAAAAAATGGCGAGACGGTTTGTTCTATGGCGAGGTACAAGAAGCGTTGCTCGAAACAAGTTTGTCTTTGAGGATGCGGCTCAATATGAGTCATTTTGAGTCGGCCTGAAGGATGCACATAAGGCGCGCCAGTATATCAGGGGGCGGCAACAGCAATTGTCGAAATGTTTCCATCACGAATGTTCGGACCGATCACTATGTCACAACGAATAAGAGATACTACGCTCGCCAGCGGCTTCACAAAGACGATACATAGCAAACCCACTGCTGCCCTGGACCCGGCCTCCAACAAACTGCCAAAGCCACTCAACGTACTCATAGTTGGCGCGTCTCGCGGGATAGGAGCCGGTATTGCCCATGCCTACGCGCAAGCAGGTGCTGCGTCTCTCCTCCTGGCAGCGAGGTCATCTTCAAGCCAGGAACTAGCGACAGTCGCACAAGAAGCCAAGAACTTGAACCCGTCGGTATCAATCAAAAACTTGGAGGTCGACATACATCAAACGCGAGTGTTGCGCAGCTTGCGAAGGATGTCAAACAAGAAGTCGGAAGGCTGGACATTGTCATTATCAATTCAGGATACTCAGGACCGGTAGTGCTGAAAGTCGAGGAAGGAGATCCACAGGATTTCCAAGATGTGTTTGACGTCAACGTACAGGGTACATACCTTGTTGCGCACCACTTCATTCCGATACTGAAGGAAAGTGATGGTGCTAAAACCTTCATCGCTATCAACTCCTTTGGAGCATGTATCGTAAACGGGCACATTGCGAACACAGCATATTGTATTTCGAAATTCGCGCAGGCACGTCTTGTCGAGTTCCTCTCGGAGCAGTACGGTGCGGATGGTATATTGGCTGTTGCTGTACACCCTGGCGCTGTCAACACGGAGATGGCAGACAAGACTACGCCCGATAGCTTTCGACCTTGTAAGTGTATCTTCACTGTGAACTCAATGAAGGATACTGACTTTCTAGACCTCACAGACGATATTGGTCTCGGGGGCGCTTTTTGTGTTTGGTTAAGCACCGAGAAGCGGATGTGGTTGAACGGCCGATTGCTGGGTGCGACATGGGATATCGACGAATTGCTAGGAAAGAAGACACAGATAGAGGGACAAGACTTGCTCAAATTTGGTTATAGGGTAGGCGGAGTTTCGGCCGCAGGACAAGGCGCATAAATTTGGGTTCAATGATCACAAATTGAATGCTAGTCCAAGCGGTTTCTCTAATACGAGGGCAGTGTATCGTGTCGAGATGTTCGTTTGCCATCAGACGCTACATGTTGTTGGACGAAGTCGATGTACGTCGCACTCTCCGTCTTTTCCTCATCACTTGAAATTCCCAACATCCCCACTGTAGGTCTAGCCTGCCAATCTCCTTCCCAAGCCGTTAGCTCAACAATATGTCCTCCATTCTTTTGCAATCTACACTTTGGCCAGTTCCACCACAATGCACTGTTTAGCTCTTCCTGCAAGTCTTCTGACCCGTGGTAATGTAATCCGTTCTGAGCATCTGGATTGCACACGCTCGTACCTAGAAGCAGTACATTCACCTTGGGGTTCTTCTTTCGGGCCATGCTGAGGTTTTCAGATATGAAGTAAATCAGGATGTGCATTAGCGGTATGTGGTCCTCGAGACATGTCTCACATAACTTTGGTCCCATACCTGGTTGGCTGATCAATAGCTGGACTCCAGCGGATCTCATTGGTGGATTCGGGTTGTCTGCTGCAAATCGAGCCAAGATAGGATGGACCTTCATCTGTCCAAGATAGAGACCAGCGTGTTGTGCCCACTGGATGAGCGAGAGAGTGATGATCAGTGGAATGTTTCCCTGAGCGTAGTATACCATTCCTGGTTGGTAATAAACTATCTCACCAGAGCTCAGTGTTGCTATAGACTGTTTGTGGAGCAGTTGTCTGGCGATCTGGAGAAACTTAGCGAAGCCTGCTCCTATCTTGAAAACATCTGGTGCTGGTATGATAAGTCGAGGCGGCCGATAGAGCAGCTCGTACATCTTAGGCTTGAGCAAGGCGTACGCTTCATCGTGAATCATCTTGGACACTCTCAGGATAGCAAGAGGAAGTACTTGGAGGACGAGAACGATACTGCCCTTGTGGTCCGGAGTATATGGCATAATCAACGTGGAGTGTCGTCTGATGAAGGGGAGTTGCTCGTAGACTATTAGTCGGATTTCTTTTGGTAGGTCGAGAAATCTGAAGGTATCCATCCTTGCTGCAGTGGTCATCTTGGTAGTCTGTGTGTGGGAGAAGTGACTGATCCTAAATCGGATGCAACCGTTTTATCTCAACGAAAGAAAAAAATAAGAGCTGCGCAGCATGGGATCTATGCGTTCTCAATAATATAATGGAAGCGATGTGGGTGGGGTACCAAACATTGCTACTTTGCGCCAATCCGCTACACCATTTTGCCGGTTCACTACTTGCACAAAATCGAGGATACCGAGAATATGTTTCCTCCTGTTCTTTGAGCATACTGCCTAGCCCTTCCGACGTTGGCATGGTCTTGCAGCATGAAGAAGGTCAGTCTCGTTTTGATAGCCACCCATTATTACACCACATCGCTCATGCTCGTGAAGCAGCCTGTGAGACCATTTGATCCGAGATCCTTCCAGAGGCCAGACGATAAGGTTATGGGTAGGCGGTGGAGGGAGAACAATGAGCGTGTTCCTTGGTCGCAACTTCCTCTCGATTTGACGCTAGCTTGGTTTGGTCTAGCCCAACCCTGGACTGGAGTCGTCACCAGGACCCATTCAACTGTTCCCTCTTCATTGCCACCAGCTGTCATACACTTAATGCTCGTCATCTACACAAATGCTGCCTCGTTCTACTATCGCGCGGTGTTCTTTGTCTTACCATGAAAGGGTAGAAGAAACTGACGCCGTCATGACGCGTACCCGGTCTGCACCACATTCCCGCGGGATTCACGCGCATCACGATACACCCACCACGCTTCATTTATACGAGCAGCACAGCTACCACTGAGAAGTCGATATTATATGCGTTGATCACAGAGTCTGCATCGCTGCCCAATTTCAAAGTCAAAGTGCCCAAGATGACAGCAGGCTGAAGCTCGTTGGCCAATTGATTGCGCCTCACTCTAGAAGCGAGATGGTCCTCCGTGATGCTGCGCCTACAAGTCGACGCCATGACAGTTACACGGTGAACATGATCCACGATGCCGACTTCCGCACGAATCATCTGCAAGCTTGCTATGATGGTGCAATGCTTATATCCGAACTGCTACGGAGTAGAAAGAATGTCTCGCCAGTTTAGGACGCCGCTGCGACCGGCTAACCTACAATTGATCGCGTCGAGACACCGTGCGGCTAGTTCTGTTCCTTCCGTATATCCTATCGTTGCCTGGGGCTCGGTAGTGTACACGTCTGGTGACCTCGGTGACTTATTTACACACTCGATTCCCCTCCAAGCTCACCATCAATACAAACCGTCCCTGAACGAACCATACCTTATCACGTAAGTACATGTGGAGAATTAAAGAGGCTAGATTGCTGTCTGCCGAGATCACGACGATTCGCTCGTGATCATCAGCAGGGTATCTCTGTCATGATCACGGCTAAGACGGCTTGTGATCTGTACTCAGAATCACTTCACAGAGTCTAGTTCACGAATATGATTATGCTGACGCTAGAGTAGCACGCTTGGGCTAGGAACAATGACAGTGTCTTCTATGTATGGTTGCCAGCGTCTCCTGCTCAAACATTACTGACACGCGGCATAGCTGAAGCACCAGTATCATATTCCAAGAGTCTTGCGATATCTGTCCGGATCCGACCTGTTTTATCTCACTCAGTCGCCGTGGTCTCTGCAGGCTCCTCGATATGAGATCTATCAAGCGGATACACCCGACGAGCGATGAAGCTCCGCCCTGGGCAGGCATGGCTTTCACTCAGCCAGTCGATTCTGATGCACTACACGAACTTCTGAAAAGCCAATATCCACAATGTACCAGTACGCGTCAGCGGAAGCATTTGGCCGCCATAGACTTTTTGAAATGCGAACTTGAGTCGATGCAGAACGAAGCTATGCTTTTCCAAGCGTGCCACCCAGGCCCTGAGGAACTGGATGTGTGCAAGCATCAAAGAAGCATTTCGCCTTCCCTGTCACATAGCAGTTCTTATAGGTCACCGGCACTTGTGGAGCATCATCCACAGCAATCTTCTACCATCACCAAGATTGCAACTGGTCAGCAACATGTGTTCAGTATCGTGGATGGAGGCCTTGCGATACAGCCCAAGAAGAAGCGCAAGATGACACTCGCAGAACGATCTGCCTATAAGACTACAAGAAAAATCGGTGCTTGTGATAAGTGCAAGCGCCAGAAGGGCAAGGTAGGGGACAGTTCCGCATTCGTGGCAGACCAAAATTAACATGATGTAGTGCACTCACGTCATTGCAACCCTCATGCCCGTAGGAAAGACCTTGCGGGATGACGACATTACCTTGCAAAGGTCAGTAGTGATGTTGAATGTCAGTAATCAGCTATCATAATGCTAAGCCGATGTGTTAAGACCCGAGGCAACGCTGCCGGCTATAATGGCCACGCACAACGATCGAGATCCGGCTCGAGCTCGCAAGGACGCGAAAGACTCGTCGCAGTCGGTCACAGCACCAAGCAGCCCGCAGTGGGCTCAAGAGACTCAGGGAATTCAGCAAGGCAATCAGTCGGAGATATCGGGGTACGTACCTTCACATGTCCCTGGGTTTTACCCCAGGTCTCCATACAACAACCATGAAATCCAATGGAACGATCAACCCCCCTTCGTCGAACCTCGGTCGTTTCAGTCCGATTATGATGGTTTAATAGACCCTCAGGATCAACCCGGAGATTCCTCTGCGTTCTTGCATTCACAAGGCTCGTATGAACGACCTTGGAACCCATCTATAGACTACATGTCTGCAGCTAACCAAGGGTGAACTACTACTGGGTGCCACGACCTTTCACCGCGGACTGGAACAGTGAGATAGGCTATCCTGACTATCTTCACTGCTATTCATGTTTACGTTGCTTCTTGTCATGCAAGAAGCTTTTCTTTATTTCTTATATCCAGCGCGAGGACTGACTCCAGGACTTCTGACCCAAGGAAGGATTTTCGGACCACAGCATACCAGGGTCCAAAAAATAGCCCAAGGATACGGAAGTTTCTGTCATTGGTTGCTATGGGCATCAAGCCGGGATGTACATGCATACCCAATTGAGTTTTGGAGAGCTCAGGGGGTTCGCTGCTACGCAGTAGTGAACCTGTCTATTGGTTATTAATGGGTACGTTCAATGGCTAAAAGCAAGCAGTTATCGCTACAATCAAGACGTTCGTATCGCCCGACCTTTGCTCCTTTCCTGTTCATTCAACGTCGTCCCTCTTTTCCAGACATCTGTTTGCCGACTGGCTTTTCCCTGTTAGGCTTTGGCCCTGGCCCATGCTGCCGTCATTGCTAGTAGACAAAAGTCCTACTAGCATGTCTTCAGTATGCTCGCTGAGGAATCGCCCTGTTCATGTTTTGGCTCAACGTCACCGGCTATCCTGCTCCGGTCTTGCTCACTTTCTTTCCTACTTACACCTAGCATATGTTCCGACTGGCATTCTCCTATGTTATGGCCAAGCCTGCAAAGCGAAATTGAAATCCACGCACAGCTTCTAATTGCCTCTACAGGTCGTCAGCGTCAACTAGGTCGTCCAGCTCAGAAGCCTCGTCTCCGATTACGAGTACGACTTCTCTTTCTGATTCGCCCGAGACAACAGTAACAACACCAACTGCGACATCTCGCCCGCTTGAATGACGCACTATACGTTTGAAGGATTACGACTCACGACTCGCTTAACGACTTGACGTTTTGGCTTCAGTTTTGTTCGACTTGTCTATGCAATAAATACACTGAAAGACGCGTTGCTTTTCTGTTATCACGAATTGGATGCAACATGCGATGAGCTGCGATAGAGGGGAAGGCTGCTATTATAGTACTGTTTGATACATAATACACTGCTACCAAAAAGGCCTTATCCTTTCGAGTTGGAAGATGAATTAGCGTCTGGAAGCGATGACAACATGTGCGGAGCGAAAGCGGCGCTGGGCTTGGTCTCCCCTTTGGGCAATGGACCTCGGCCCAATCACGAAGCCTTGGTGTAACCCGAAACCAACCTCGCATGCGCTGGACGTTGAAGGCCTGTACCTGCTTTATCAGTCACGACTAATCACTTATTACGACAATTGCTACGACAAGAGTATTTGAAGAAAGAGATTCCTTGTATCACGCATCGGTGCATTGACAGGCCCGTGAGCAGCAGCCGGGACCCTGGGTTATCTTGGGTGGTCTTCCGACATTCCCCACACGCGACTGACGCCTGCTCCACCCCCAAGTACGCGGGCTGCATAGCCCTCTCAACCATCAACATGATACAAGGAACGCGTCGCTGGCTCAGGCGCAACCGCACAAACTTCGCAATCGGCGCCGGAGTGCTCGGCGCCGGCTATCTGGCGGGGCAGTATGTGCTGGGCAAGCTCGGGGAGGCGAGGCAGCGCATGAGCGATGATCGCATCGCGAAAGAGAAGTGCGCTCCATACCTTCTTATCAAGGAGCACGTTCTAACGGCTCTACAGTCTCCGCCGCCGCTTCGAACAGAACCAGGAAGACTGCACCTTCACCGTCCTCGCCATCCTACCGACCGCGACCGAGAACATACTCGACGCCATTCCCGTGGAGCAAGTGCTGGAAGAGCTACAGAGACAAAAGGCAGAGCGCCTGTCACGTAGCGTCGGGCCCAGCGAGATTGCGAGTACAGCGCCTCCAAGTGTAGCCGACACGACCGAGGATGACGCAAGAAGCTCGAGTCTGCAGACAGACAGCTTCATCCATGCCAGCCAAATCGCTACAGAGGGCGATAGCAATACGGGACCAGCTGAGGGCAGTCCAGAGCCCCGAGAGGACAGGAGGTCCAAGAAGAGCAAAGCACAGCTATGGAGTGAGATGAAGATTAGCTGTATGTGCCCCGTACATGGCATCGGGAGTTGCGATACTAACATGACCAGCAATAACGCGAGCCTTCACCCTCGTCTACACCCTGTCTCTCCTTACCCTTCTCACTCGCATTCAACTGAACCTCCTCGGCCGTCGAAACTACCTCGCATCCGTCGTGTCCCTGGCCGCACCGCAGCCGACCACTGAAGGCTCAAGAATCAACCTAGAAAACAACGACGACGACAACTTCGAGCAGGCGTACGGCAATGATTTCGAGACAAACCGCAGGTACCTTAGTTTGAGCTGGTGGCTGCTACACAAGGGATGCATAGATCTCATTGAGAAAGTGAGGGTTGCAGTCAAGGACGTCTTCGGCCTTGTGAACCCAAGAGAAGAGATGACCTTGGAGAGACTGTCTGAACTTACACTGGAAGTGCGCAAGAGAGTCGAAGGTGCGACCGAGGAAGAGCGAAGGTATGAGTACACTCCAACGCGTAAAGACATCAGCTAACTCCCCACAGAACATGCAAGTGGCTTGCTTTCCTACTTCCACCGCAAGACCAGGAAGACTACGTCCTTCAAGAGTCCGGCATGACCTCATCATCTGAATCGACATCCCCCACAACAACTGCCTCTCTTCGTCGCCTCATCGACGAAACCTCCGACCTCATCGAATCGCCTGCCTTTGCCCATGTCCTTACACAGCTCCTCGATGCGGCCTTCTCCCACCTCGTCGATGTGAAGATCTCGCAACTCTCATACAAGATCCCGCCCATCTCTGATAGCAACGCTCGTGTGCAGGAGATTGTTGGCCACGACGTCAAGGCCAAGGTCGCCAACAGTCTAGCGGTGTTCTGCAGACAGGCGCATAGTATCGGAAGCGGAGCGAACAACGAGTACCTAGCTGCTATCGAAGCTGTTGGTGGTCTGGAGGCATTCGCTGCTGTGGTCTACTCTAGTAACTTCGAGTACGAAAGCCCAGAGGCTGCTGCCTTGGACCGTCCCGCTCCTGTTCAATTGACGAAGCCAAGCGTGGTGCCTGAAGTTGCAGCTTTACAAGATGTACAGCAGGTAGATGCTCCTAAGTCGGACGACCCATTCGAGAGCGCTTGGGGAAAGGCGTTAGCGAAAGAGGATGGGAAGAAGATCTGAGGACATTGTATGATAAGTTTGAGTAGTGAAATGGCTGTTGTCGTAGTAGGATTCTTGAGATACCCGTAATTTGAACTTGTAACACTATATATCTTCGTGAAACCTACTACGACAATTTACACAGTACATTCCCTCTCCAAAATGTGTACGTCCTCAGTAGGCTCCGATCACAAGAGTTGTGCATTCCGGCCTCGGAACGTGAGTCGTGACGTCAGCGCGTTCTTGCTTTGGTGGGACTCGTGTAGACCTCTGCGACTGCATGTACCTCTCGATATCCCTGTCATTATATCTCTCAAATTGAAAACATCAGAGAACAATAACGGTCCAGGAGCCCGTCGGTACTCATAATGACGGACCAACAGGGAAAAGATGCATATGTAACTCTCCTCACTCGACCCAGTTATCTCGCCGGCGCAATCCTCCTAGCCTACACACTCAACAAGCATTCACCAAACACGCCCCTCATCATAACCTATACGCCGGAAACACTGCCAGAGGCCTCAGTCAACGCTTTCAAAGCCGAAGCCAAACATTCCAACATCGTCCTCCACCCTGTAGAACACCTCCGCCTTCCTGAAGATGGAACAGAATCTGGCATGGTCGCCGAGCGCTTCATCGACACATGGACCAAACTGCGCGTCTTCGACCTTTGGGACATGCCCCAGAAGTTTGAACGAATCTGCTGGCTAGACGCCGACATGATGATCTTCTCCAACCCCTCGCCCCTCATCTTCAACAAGCAAAACGACGCCTACCTGCAAGGCGGCGACGGAATGCGAACAATGGCCGTACACACCTGTGTCTGCAACCTCGACCACGACTCTTGGGCCCCCGCTGAATGGAACCCGGAGAACTGCGCCATGGCTAAACTCACAGCCCCGGATCAACTCGCTGAAGTGCGACCAGAACCGTACACGCTGTCCAACTTCAACTCGGGGACTTTTCTCTACCGCCCCAGCAAAGCTCTAGCTGAGTTTGTTCTCCAGAAGTTTGAGGACATTGGTAACAATAGACTCCGCGCTATGAAGTTCCCTGATCAGGATTTCTTGAACGAGGCTTTCGACGGCCGCTGGAGTACTTTGTCCTGGAAAACAAATGCGCTGAAGACGTGGAGGTATTGGCATACTAATATCTGGGTCGACGACCAGGTCGCTGTGCTGCATTACATTGTGGATAAGCCGTGGGCTGCGCGTGTAAAGGAAGATGGCACGGCAGGGTACCTAGGAAAAGATGGAGAAACGCATCGCTGGTGGTGGGACGAGTATGCAAACTGGTCTAGCGAGCGTGAGAAGCAGGGAGAGAAGGAGTTGTTGGATATTGTGGGGAAGTATGCTGCAAGAGAAGATGGTCAGGAGAATGAGGAGATGAGGGCTATTGGGGGTGGGGCGCAGGACTTTGCGAAGAAGTGGCCTGCTAATAAGGGGAGAGAGGCAAAGGAGGGTAGTGGTGGTGCGAACGAACCGAAGTTGACAGAGGAGGCTCAAGAGCAAGCTGACGCGTTTGGTCAGGGACTGAATGGCTCTGTGCTGAGGAAACCCATGTTGGGTGAGAGGGGTCATGGGCCGGTTGTAAGGGGTGGACGAGGACTTGGCGGAAGGAGAGGTGGCGAAGGGTGGAGCGTTATGCAGGATTGAGGTATATTAGATGGTCATAAAAGTGTGGTTCTAGGCTGGCGAGGGGGGTATATTCAACATGTTCTAGACCGGAAGATAGAGATGAAGAAAAGTAATGTAGATGTCAGAATCTACCTTTAGAATGCTCATAATGAGACATAACGTTCATGCATCAAACCGCGCATGTGGATATGTTAGAAACTTTATATGCATCTAGTCTCTTGTCCCATATGGTCAGTACCTAGATGGTGCCAACTCAATCATGTAGCTCATTTCACACACAACCTTTAGTCCTTGCCCCCAAGGTGGACTCTAACGCGATTGGGCGGCATGCTGGGGTTGAGGTTATGCAGAGGCTTGGAGGTATCCAAGTAGCATACGCGACGCGACGGTAGAGTAGCTAGGGCAATGTAGCCGTCCTGTTGAACTTTGGACACAACCGTTTTTACCTCCGCGCCCCTTGTCGCCCTCAAACCTCATGCCCCGACCCTTCCATCCAGCCATCCCAATGCTCCCCATCCACACCGCGGCCCTTCCATCGACCGACTTACACGAAGTCAATCAAATTCACGACAGGCTCCCCATCCTTGACGATGGGCTGTTCAGTCTTCTTGGCGGCTGGTGAAGTGACGTTATTAGCGAGAATGATGTGGCCGTTGTGTGTAGCAGAGGGACCGCGAAGCTCGGCGGCGAAAGTGGGACGCGCAAGTTGCATCCTGCTGAGTGTAAGCGTAAGTGAAAGATGGAGTGATGGGTGATTTACCTGCTACTTGTCTCCTCTCGCTTGTGAATCATGGTATCATTGGTATACCCGTTGACCTTGCCATTCATGTCGCGGGGCTCATCAGCGACGTTGGCAGTCCTGGCATTGACGACTAGCTTCTTCTCAACCGTAACTTCCCTCTTTCCCACATTCTTCGTCTTCTCGACGCTATCTTCATGCTCCAGGCGACCGACCAGCTCGCCAATGTTCCAGAGGTTGTGTGGGTGATTGGCGTCGTAGAGGAAGTTCAGCTCGGGGCTATCACGATCGATCAGACCCTGGCGACACTTGCTCAGGGTAATTTGAGTACGGTGACAGGCGCCATAGCCCTCTAAGAAGCCTCGCTGGCGAGACTTCTCTTGTGCTTCTTTGCTACCAATCTCCTTGCCTGCACCATATCCGTTATTGTACTCGATTTCGGCGATTTCTTCGGCCTTCTCGTCGGTCAGGGAGTTCTCGAGTTCGTCCTTGAGCGAATCGCGGATGATAGCCTTGTACTGCTGCTCGCGCATCTGCTGTGCTGATTCACGAAGATGTAAACCTTCGATCTTAGTGTTAAGCTTTCCGTTGAGGTCAGCCATGGCCTTTTGAGCGTTCAGCTCGGCTTCTTGTCGGGCGTGCTGCATATCCATTGCACTCATAGGACGAACGCCATTTGCTTCGAGAGAAAACCAGAGCTGCTTCTTGCCTTCGGAAAGGTAGACTTCCTGCTGTGAAATCCTTTGCTCTCGAAAGTCAAGTTCACGCTCCCTAGCTTCGACCTTGGCTTTGAGCGTGAGAGCTTCAGCTTGCTCTCGCAGGAGGTTGGTAAGCATCTTCGAAGACGCGGCTTCAACCTTCTGCTGCTGCTCGGCCTCGATGGTTGTCCGAAGTCGCCAGTTCTTATTGCGCTCGACATCAAGTTCATGCTTGATCTTCGTCAGCTGGGCGCTGATACGGGCAAATTGCTCTCGATCCACGTGGTCGCCTCTAGGCTGATATGACATATAGTGGGAGCGAGATGCTCGAGGGCCTTCGTTGAATCGGGCGACATCGTTTGGTGGTACCATGTGCTAGACGTGTCAGTCATGAATGTATCCGAAGGTCTCTACAAGAGCATACCCTTGAGTCATTAAGACCGAATTGGCGCGCTGGTGGTGGTTGAAACTCGGGTCGCATGTGCGGAGGTAGACCGGGGGCCGGCTTGAAGGACTTCGGTGCGTCGATAGTCGTGTCTGTGTCAGTCTCAGTATCGACCTCGACGATCTCGCGCCGAGCTTGCGGGGCAGATGTCATGAGTGATTCCTTCTTGGCGACTGGAAACGCTTCTTCTCAGATCAGTCAGTGCTTTCCGTGATAGAAACGAGACATACCATGCTTCAACTCTGCCTTTCCATTGGAATGCTCTCCCTGGCTTTGTATAACAACCGGGCTCGCTACCTTTGATCTGCTATGCATGTCCTTCACAACATCGCCTCCACCAAGAGAGACAATGCTCCCGCAGTCATTCGCGACGAGCTTGGGTGATGAGAAGGCAGAGCTCAGAGTAGCTTTCCCAATGTCTGCTGAATCTTGGACGCGCTCTAGCTCTTTGGGTTTCCCAGAACTCTCGGACTCGGGCACAGAGCCTCCGGATACGTCAAGCACAGAATCGGATACCGAGGCGCTGTCCTGACTCGAAGGCTCTCTCTTGGGAGACCTTATATTCAAGGTAGCTGTCTTTTCGTCAGAGAATGCCGTGACGTCCAAGTGAGAGGCCTGATCGCCCGGGATAGCCATGTTAACAACTCTTGATGCTGCTGCGTCTGTCAGATCCATATCCTGAATCGATTACTTCTCGAGCAGATGGAGGCTGACCAGGTGGCGAGGAAGAAAGAAAGCCTGGAGCGATAGAAAAGAAGGCTTATATGGACGTGCGGAACCCAGTGAGGGGCACTGGCACGTGAGAAAGTCCCCGGCCGCAATGGTCACTACTGAAGTAAAGGTGGGATCTTGTCGTCGGGTCGACGGCAGCGTAATTGAGGTAAATCTCCACGTGGACCTTGGTATAGGTTGCCTGCATCTGTACCGCCCAGCGTTACCAACACTGCCTCTCAATTAAGCATAGAATGACAGCGTGATACGTGCGTTTGAGTAGGTCGTGTTTGTTCCCTCATTCAGTGTACATGTCGCAGCTCCCAGAGGCGGACGTCGTTACTATATTCGACCCTTCAACCGTTTGCCATCTTCAAACCCGTCTAGTCATATCCTGATACCTCCTTAAGCTCAAATTGCACACCCAAGTCCAAAAAGGCCTTCGTGATACCAGGGTCCTCTATTTCAACGTCGCAGCTTTCGACGATGAAGTGTTTCAGGTTTAGGCCTGACGAAGCATACTTCTTGACCCAAACCCATAGGTCGGGCGAAAGATCTGTGCTTTCACCTAAAAATTCGTCGGATTCCCCGGTCAGCATTGTGAAGCTTGTCAAACTCGGTGGTAGCAGCTCAGCCATTAAAGTTGTAGGCACTGTCTCGTCGTAATAGGGGGTTCTCTCTTCATGAATTAGATTAGAGAACGCAGGAAGACAATAGTCCGAGACAGCCAATGTCTTAAGAGTTTTGAACGGCAGAAAGCTACCAAAGCATTGAGACTCGTCCGAATTGTCGTCGGTTCTGACTTGACGCAAATCGAGACGTAAGCTTTCCAAAGTTTCGGTGTGATGCATAAGAGCAATGAAGAGATCTGGTATTGTTCCGGCCGTGTCATCGAGGAAGGCCCATGTGCAAACAACATGCTGTAGCTCGTTACACGCCAAAAACACCTTGGCGACCTCCTCTATCTCGAGCATGCACTCAGTTATCTCTAGACGCTTGAGCACACCGAAGATGCTAAGCTCGGGCGGCTGTGCTGGCAGCGCGAATGTCGCCACACCATGAGCTCGGAAGTCAGAAAGCACGGGAGCCCTCGACATAACGGAGCAGATTTGGTCGAACGATCCAGAACTATGGTTGGTGGAAACGTCTATATGCATCTGAACACATAGATTTCGCAGCTTATGGAAGTTCTGTCTAGTCACTGTCGTTTGTGTGGGCGCAGCCGTTGCATCTTCTTCCGTTATAATGTGTTTCCAAAAGGAAACATTGTCAGTCTCGAGGACGACAAGAGAAAGATGTTGTAAGTTTGGCGCGCAGCTTATGATATGTGCTAGTAACTGAAAGTAATATGCTGCCTGGTAAACGGCATCCGGCTCAAGAGTATCGGCGCGAAGACTGTTGCCTTGATCATCTTCGAGTCGGACTTCTACATACTGCAGATACTCTATGCATTTGCGACCCGAAGCATTAGAGGCCGACGTCCTTTCGTGGAACAGGTTGAGAGGCGTAAGACCGTGTCGAGTAACAGCTCCCGTGAACGATGCGTACAGAAGTGGGGTGGCTATTCGGCTAACATGACGGGACGTTAGACAAAGATTGCGTAGCGATCGTTTAAGTATGCGATTTTCGGATTGGCGTGTTCTCTCCTTTTCTTGATCTTTGAAGGCTGTGGATTGCGTCTCATATGAGCGAATGGTATGGAAATGATTCAGAATTTCCAGTACCAGCTCGTCTGGTAGCCCGCCAAGCCACGCTGTCTTGGCCGCCATACAAAGATGCAATGCTTTTTCACGAAGAGCGGACGTGGAGAGTGCAGGCGGGGGAGATTGAAGCTTGTCGTCGCGTGTAAGAGCAAACTTTGGAAACTACGACACGTCACTGGAGTTCGCGACGCGTCAGGCTGCGGGGAGTTTAGCCCGTGGGGAAGCTAGCCCCCAATGGGAAATGGGCGAGCTGTTAAAGCCGCTCCAAGTTAAATTATCTCCAAGCCTCAAAGAACACAGAGCGGTTGCGCACGTCTGCTGGGAGAGCTCATAAGATGTTGTTACATTATCCTGGGTATAATTTGCAAAACTCATTAAACGACCAAGCAGCCAGTTCACACAATCCGAGTTGTCTTCCCTGTCTCCACGTCATAGATCCAGCCGCTGAACCTGATGTTCTCCTCAATGGCTTTGATCCGAAGCCATTGTATGTCCTTCTTGACCTGTATCTCTAGATCACGGAAAGCGTGAAAGTCAAGTGTCTCCACCTCTCTTGCAGCCACTTCTCCTCTCTTCTTCATGACCGTGGCTCTCGCAATATCGTTGTCGAATGTGAGCATACCGCATCCTGTATGCTTGACAAGTATCACTTCTCTTGTTCCAAGAAGTTGTTGCGATATAACGATCGATCGGAAGGCATCCTTTACACAACCGCCGGCGTTGCGTATTACGTGGGCGGCTCCAAGAGGTATACCGAATGCAGCGGTGGGATCGATGCGAGCGTCCATACACGTTACTGTCGCATCAAGTCAGTATATGACGATAGAGACCGTTGGTTTGTGCATACCGATAGTGTATCTCTGGCTAGGTGGAAGTGCTAGATGGCCTTGGTCGAAAGAGGCAGCATACGCCTGATTCCCGAGTTCCAGGTTTCTTTCTCCGTGGGTCGGCATCGTCGGTAATAGGGCTAGTAGAACGTATGGTAGTTTTGATGGGGGGTTATTGTGGAATGTACGATTACAGCCTCTGACCTTATATATCGTCATGCTGTCCTCTGATTAAGCGCCGTGTAGTTTTCGCATCTCGGTAGGGTCGCGACATCGCGGGGGTGAATTTCGCCATCTTACTGAACTGATACAATTGGCGTTGATGGAAGAACGACATGCGACAGACTCTACGGCAGCTCCACGTCTCCCGGCACAGTGGCACCAGGGCGAGCATGATTTGATTGGTCACTTCGGCAGGGTCCTTAGGCGCATCTCAGGCATGTCGCCAAAAAGTGGGGCAACACCCCTAGCGTGTGGCAGGCCCATCTTCAGATCTTCCATTGATCCCCGTCCTTCATTCCTTCTCTCATAACGGTTCAATGCTTCGCGCCGTTCTATCCAGCTCCCGATCTCTCCCGTGTCTTGTTGTCATGCCGGTCGCAGCCTAACTGGATATCATGGAAGGGAGATCCTCGGACTGACTCATGGCTTCTGAGACGTGAGTGGATAGATCTCATCTACCCAGCCTAGGCATGCCTTATGAATGTAGTTGAACAAGACAGCGAACGAATTGTTGGTTGCTGTCGCTGCAAAGGATGGAGGTTAAGTGATGTGGCCTGGTGGCATAGCACCTGGGTAGGAGCCTACATCGCAAGGCCGAAACCAAGGGAAGAATTCACCGACTACCATACGTCTTTGTGCGATGGATCCCGAATGTATAGAAGTAATGACAGCGCCAGAAGTTTGCGAGGAACATACCATTTCGTCTGCGACTTCGACCAATCCGGAATGACCATACCAAAAACGGAATGGCGCATACCACGCAAGAAGAACGCTTTGGATCTGAGTAAAGCTACTGCTACGATACGAGCCACTGCAGTCCCCGAGTAGAAGTTCACCCTCTTATAGCAGTAATCTCCCAGGTCTTGTCCCAAGGACAGTCACCTGATTCCGGCGTCGAGCCATGTATCTCGCATCTTGGTATGACGCTGCAAGAGCGTCATGTCTTACAAATCCACGATGGGTTTCCACCACCGGGTATAACCAAGTGTATAAACATGTCTTGTCGATATCTCCATACCTCTCAATGCCCTCTTCATCCTAAGCAGTTTCACATATTATGTCTACTCTGCAGCCTCCAGCGATTGATACCTCACGTTGGTGTCAACGAATCGCTTCAATCACTACAACTTCAGGCGAAGAGATACGTTTGAACTACATCGAGTGTCAAGCGATATCTCAGACGGAAGAGAAGGGCGTCATACTGCTCATCCATGGCTTTCCTCAAACCTCCTATCAGTTCCGCCATGTCATCACGCCTCTAGCAGACGCCGGCTACCGGGTTATCGCGCCCGACTATCGAGGCGCTGGACAATCCTCGAAGCCCTTAACGGGTTACCAAAAGACACAGATGGCGGAGGACTTGCACATATTGATCCAATCCCACTTCGGCATCAAAGAGAAAATCCACGTCGTAGGCCACGACATTGGTGGCATGATCGCATTTGCCTATGTATCACGCTACCCCAAGGACGTGAGAAGCGTCATTTGGGGCGAATGTCCACTGCCCGGTACGTCATGCTACGAGGACGTCAAAGGCACTCCCGACGTTTTCCACTTCGTCTTCCACCGAGTACCCGACCTACCGGAATTCCTGATCGCTGGGAAAGAGCGAGGATATCTTAAGCACTTCTTCGACAAGATCTCGTACAATAGCGCAGCTATCTCACCTGCTGACCTAGAACATTATGCGCTTGCCTACTCGCAACCTGGTGCTATCAGAGCCGGTCTTGAGGTCTATCGCGCTTTTGAGAAGGACGCAGAAGAGAACAGAAGTTGGGTGGCTGAACATGGGAAGGTCAAAGCACCCTCACTGCTGATGAATGGAAGAGAGTTCATGCTGACACAGTCTGCGGCAAGCATGGCGGAGGAGTATCATGAAGGTGCCGAATTGTTAACGATCGAGGACAGTGCGCATTACATCGCTGAAGAGAACCCGGAAGGATTCGTGAAGGGTGTATTAGAGTTTGTTGGCAAGTATTGCTAATGCTTCGGTCTTTTTGTAGTTCCTAAATTGCCTCCAAGTTGGAATAGTGGTGAAGCATATCTTTACACCAGAGTGTATGTATGAATCCGAACTTAACCAGCGCATTAATCGCTTGTCTCTCAACTATCCTCAAGTTTGAGTACCCCAAATCTCTCATCATAGATTTGTTTGATGGTAGAATGGAAGATGGTGCTACAGCTTGTGAGAACGACGAGCGAGGGGTTTGCTTTGATCCAATCAATGCCTGTAGAGTGCCTCCAGGCTTCCCTACGTCCCTGCTTCGTCATGGAGAAAATGAGTAACACGGGTCTCGACTGTTGCAATGTCGACCCGACAAAGAACAAATTGAGGGCGAAATATTGTTCCACCGAATTGAGCTCCTCAATCTCACATACATGATCCCATAAGGTAGCTCCAAGGGCGTCTTTCATTACCTGGGCTTCAGGACAATCCGCTGCCCACCAATTATATTGGCCGGTTTTGTATTCCAACGGTCCTCGTGATTCAAGTCGAAATTCCCATCGAGAGAGAAACCGCACCCGCTTGAAGACCTCCGGGCCTTCTTCTGTGTCGGACATGGAAACTAGATCAGCTGGAAATGCATCCTCAAAATCAGGATGCGTTATGCTGCCATCCGTACTGAGATTGGGCTTTGGAGGGTTGCCGTCCATTTTGTCATTGAGAGTTGTAGTATCATGGTGTAATTCCTCGATGCGTTGGATTTCCATCTCACACCTTGGATCTGAGCTGACTAGAACTTTAATACGATCAAATCCATAGATTGTGAAATCTTCAATCAGAGCACTCACCATATGAAAGCTAGGTTGTTTGCGCGGAGAGTGGACTTTTTACATCTAGGGCACGTCATTGTGTCCTTATCACCGGTGAAGTACACCATGCACATGTTGACTTTCTGACCAGGACGGAGCACATAAGTCAGCGGTTTATTCTGACGGATGTCTAATCCGCTGACGTCGTCTCGTATTGCATAACGGCGGTCTCTGACGAAGCCATAACCTGGTTGCTTCGAAAATCTATCTATGAGGATAGAGTGAAGTGTCTGTATATTGTCAGGTTGAGATATGTAAGTCATATTTCTCTAATACTCACATCCCAGGAACTGATCAGTTCTAGAGGTATGGAGAGTTTCCAACCAAGAGCATCTTCTACAATAGCAGAGTTCTGGGCAAATGGATTAAGACTGAACAACAAGAGTCTTTGAGACAACTGCTCGGCATGTATCTTTGCCAACATGCTTGGAAGGTCTATGACAAGATTTGCGATTGGAGCCCTGGCAGAAGAAGTTGTCAGATATGATTTAGTCTTTCTGAGTTTGACTTACATAGTTGAGCTAATGCTTCCAATACTACGAGAGATTAGGCCGAGCGCCTCGCCCTGTTTCTCAACTTTTCCTCCAAGATCATCGAGACGTTCATTGAGCTGTCTTGCAGTGTCGGTTTCAGCGTCTGCGAGAGCGTCCATTCTCTCAATCACAATAGACTGGTCTTTCTCCTCTAAGATCCTTTGAGGAATTTTATGTTAGATTTATCCGCTCACACTTTAGAGCTGATGGAGGGAGCATGACGTACATATTGGCTTGACTTTGAACCATCAATATGATTTCCTTGCTCTTCCGAAGCTTGTCTTGCAATCGCGCAACGTTGTCGCGTTCCAGCATATGCCATTGCAGCATCTTTCCCACAGCTTTCGGGTTAGGCTTCGAGTTAGAGAGAAGACTCTTTCCATATCGAGATATAATATGCTCCAGAAATGAGCTTATCTCTCCTTTTGTATCGGAAATGGATGGCTGCAAAACATTGAAGAGGCCTTCGAGACTAGGGTCCTCTTGGCGTGTTTGCCAGAACGAGAGAAGCTGCATTCTGTTGGACCTAAAACAATAACCAATATGGGTTCTGGAGATCTTACCTGTTCGAGATAGCGATGGAAAAGCCTTAAGTCCACCAGAAGATCCCCAAACTCGAGTTTGGCACCTCTTTGTGAATTAAGCACTTCAATCAGTTTGTACACGACCTGCACTGCAGCGATGATATCGCCAAAGGAGCCGAAAGTTATTGCCATAAGTGAGATAGAAACACAGGAGTGAACCAGATATGACGAAGATGGGAGTTGATGGCACACATCAGGCTGAGATGTCAGCGCAGTGTGGCTATGCGCTTTCGCCACACTGAGTTGGCATCGCAGCCTGGATTGCGCCTTGAGCTCAGCCTTGAGCGTGCGTTGAGCTCAACCATCGACGCATCTTTAACCCCGCCTCCAGCGTACCTTGAGCGCTATCTCGTCAGCGTGGAATCCCAATGCGATGTAAAGAGGAGTTTATCGCGAGAAAAGAGTGCTAAATAACACCGTAGATTGTGGACACATGTGTAGGCTTGTCATTACAAAGATTACGGCTGGAACTTGGCAAGCGCGAAGGACGCCTGGGCACGCATCCTCAATCTAAGCGACGCGGCTCGATTGGATGCCTTCCTGACGGTACATGCCATTGATGCGATACGGAGCTATCTACAATCGGCTACCGCAGTTCGGGTCGTCATCTGGTGAGAACTACGGTAGTTTCACGTCAAACTTCCCAGTAGCCTTCGGCTTAGAAAGTGCCCAAAGTATGCCTCCGTCGACACACTCATCCCAGTGTTCAGATGCCTTCAGAGCCTTGCCAAATCGCCTATGACCATGCGGAACGCCCTTAAATACTGTAATGTCTGTCGGCACGTTTGCCTCTGAAAGTAGCTTCGCATAAAGCAAAGCCTCGTCGCGCAGCGGGTCCAAGCCCGCGATACCAAACACTGTGGGAGGCAAACCTTTGACCTCCTCTGCTGTCGCGTTGACCATGTTGAACTTGGTGTCTTTCAAATCTGGTGAAGCAGCCTTAGCAGTATCCAGAAGCTTTGTGAAGAAGTCAACAATCTTCTTCGGCAATATTGGTGCGTTTTCGTTCTCGACATAAGACGACGTTTTGAGCAGCTTGCCAGGCCCTTGATCGTATGTGGCTGGATGAGCAACCATGGGGATGATCAAGATCTGTCCGGCTAGAGTGGGCAGACCTGCAATCACCTCACTTTTTCCAAGATGTTGCTCGAGTGTGAGGGATGCTGCTAATGTGCCACCTGCTGAAATGCCACCCGTGACGACTTTGGACGGATCTCCCCCAATTTCGTCTACGTTCTTGTGTAGCCAGGCGAATGCATCTTGAGAATCGTACCAAGCGGTCGGGAAGGTGTGTTCTGGCGTATGGCGGTAGTTGACGTTCAACACTATCGCCCCTGTCTTAATCGCAGTTTGCGCACATAGAGGATCCTCGCTGCTGAGTGTGCCTATGTAATCATTAGTTACACCATCTTGCAATCTACACACGAAAAGACATTACCAAATATGAAGCCTCCGCCGTGGAAGTAGAGGTACACGGGAAGCCTTTCTGACGCGTCTGTCTTGACCGACCTATACGATCTAGCTTCGATAGTTGAGCCATCGCGAGTTGGGATGGTATAGTCTTTGACCTGAACATGTGGTGCTAACAACGGCATCACCTCTGCGGCTCGGCTTTCTCTTTCGGCATTGACAGCTTCTCTGAGCACATGCGGATCCATTGTGACGTCGTAGGTTTGCGCGGGCAATGTCTTTTCCACTGCCAGCCACTCCTCGGAGGGCCCACCATACTGCGAGAAATCCAAAGCCATTTTTGATGTGAGAAGAATGATGAGGTTGAGAGGGTATGGTCCAGCGAGACGATGTCAATAAGTGATTTGACTTCGTACGAGCCTCGCATGAACGCGTCACGTCTACCTAGGTAGCTGTGACATATGCGCCCTGTTGTTAGCGTCACCCCGCATGTACCGAGGTTGACACCTACATGCCACCAACACCACTATTGGCTGTTGTAGGTTCTCAACGTTGTTAGTTCATGGTGATAAGCTTGTGCATTGACCACGACATCTTCGACCTTAAGGTTGTTTCTTGCAGATAACGACGACCTTGGACGGCATCTACGACACTTTCCTGGAGATAACGTCATATCCCCACCTGAGCTGGACCGACATAATGGCGGCAGTTCCATCAGAACCTCCCCCACGCGGTCTTAAAGACAAAGTCGCGATTGTGACTGGGGCAGGATGCGACGGTGACGGCATTGGTAATGGGCGTGCGATATCGATCATGCTTGCCGATGAGGGTTGCCATGTCCTGTGTTTGGACCTGAAGATGCCTTGGGCGGAGAAGACCGCAGAGATGGCAGCGTCGAAACCACACCGGGGAAGAGCTATCGCAATGGAGGCAGATGTCACCAAAGCTGGTGATTGCGAAGCAGCAGTGACTAAAGCACTGGAAGAGTTTGGGAAGCTGGATATCCTAGTCAATAACGTCGGGATCGCTGGTGCAACAGGAACCGCGGTCGATGTTGACATGGAAACTTGGGCGAAGGGACTTGAGATCAATGTGACCAGCATGGTACAGATGGCGAAGTACTGCATACCGGCTATGCAACGAAACGATGGTGAAATGAAAGGCAGCATCATCAACATGGGCTCAGTGGCCGGACTCAAAGGAGGAACACCACACCTGTTGTATCCAACCAGCAAAGGTGCAGTGGTAAACATGACGAGGGCAATGGCTGCGCATCATGCACCTGATGGCATCAGGGTAAATTGTGTTTGTCCTGGCGTATGAACCCTATGACTATCGTACGACAGCGGACTGACGCCGGGTAGATGCTTTACACACCCATGATGTATGCAGGCGGTATGAGCGAAGAAGCTCGCGAAGCTCGGAAGAAGAGGAGCTTACTCGGCACAGAGGGCAACGGATGGGATGCAGCCTGCGCCGTAACATTCCTCGCTTCAGACCATGCGAGATGGATGACGGGTGCAGTACTGCCTGTTGACGCTGGTGCAACAGCTGCGGTGGGTATTGGTATGCCGAAGAGTGCCAGTGTCAACGGTTAGGGCGTAAGCACATGCGACTAGGTGGCGGGTAGAGGATGATGGAGAGTGCTGAGAAGCGTGGAAACCTCGATCGATCGGCACTTCTCGGGCGAGCGATATTCGGTTTGTGCAGCAGCCTTGCGTTTCAGCCCCGGGATTTAGAATCCTCTGCATGCCCATTGAGAGCGCCCCCAGCCCTTCCCGACGCTTGACAGCTGTCTTAGAAACTACCACGACCGGCGCATGGAAGGGACTTTTTGTGTGGGGCAGAAAAGTGCCGGATGCGGGCATGCTACAGCAATTTGCACCAATCGGAGCATTTCACAGCAGTCAAGATTGAAACACCCAGTGGTCCGCTCCTCAGTCTATTCTCAATTCCGCCCATTACCCCGGATCGTTACTATACGTATCTTGGCAGCTTCCTAGTCTTTCTATTTATTCGTGGAAAGCTGGGTGTACCTGACAATCCCAAGCATTGGGCGGAAGGACCGGTTTTGTGGCGCAAGCCTTGATCTCCTAGTGCAACGAGACCACGATGTCAGCGAACTCTATAAGATGAACTTCCATGATCATACATCGTATCTTCCACCCAGTTGCAGTTTGTTTCTTTACTCTCCGCAACGATGAAGTTCCTCCAGTCCATTGGCACTTGTGTGCTCGCCCTCTCTTCCCTCGTCAGCGCAGCAAGCTTCAGTAACCCGCTCAAGCAGAAAGATGGCTCAGACCCTCACATTGCGTGGAGCGGAGGCTACTACTACATGATGACCACAACGTGGACGAACTTGTCAATTACGAGGGCGAAGACGTTGGGAGGCTTGAAGACCGGGGAGACAAAAGTAGTCTGGACGGATAGCAACCCAGACAGATGCTGCAACATGTGGGCACCCGAACTGCACTACATTGATGGTGCTTGGTACATCTACTACACCGCCGGCCGCAATGGTGTCGACAACCTGGATCTTCAGCGTCCTTACGTGCTCAAGGGTAAGACAATTTGACGACGGCATGGAACGTGTTCTGACAAAGTCACAGGTGGTGCGGACCCCTTCGGCACGTACACCTATCTTTCCCAGCTCACCAACGTGTGGGGTATTGATGGCTCTATCGTGCGTTTCGACAAATGGGGCAACTATTTCACCTGGTCTTGCATGTCCGGCAACCTTCAATCACTCTGCATCGCACCCATGACCTCACCTGGAAAGATCGGCGCCACTAAGATTCTTTCTACACCTACCGAGTCTTGGGAAAGGAACGGCAGCCCTGTTCAGGAAGGCCCTGTTGCTATGTACCACGGCGGCAAAACATTCATCGCTTACTCGGCGAGTTTCTGCTGGACACCGAACTACAGCTTGGGGCTACTCACCTGGAACGGATCTGGTGACCCAGCGCTCGCCGCCAGCTGGAAGAAGAGTAGCGGACCAGTTTTCACCAATGCTAATGGCAACTATGGTCCCGGTCACAATGGGTATGTAGAATAACCGACACCTCGAATAATCAGATGTTAACTAATATACAGGTTCTTTGTCAGCCCCGATGGTAAGGAAATCTGGAACGTTTACCACGCTACTGCTATCACAACCGGAGCTTGTGATGGTAACAGGTACACAATGGCGCAAAAGGTCAACTGGAACTCTGACGGCACCCCCAACTTTGGAACTCCAGTGAAGCCGGGTACCACAATTGCCGGACCTTCAGGCGAGTAAGCTCGTTGGCCGTTGTAGGTAGCTGATCGATCAGACCCAAATCTTCTTGTATTTATTTCTGCGCGGACACTATTCCGGTCCGCGCAGCTTCCGCCTAGGTCGGGCTAATGGTATCACGACTGACGTTGAGCCCATAGGTGCTGCAGAATGATAGATCGTACTAGCAGTTGTTTCGAACAGGTGATTGTTGATGTTGGTGATATGAGCTTCTCGTGAACGTAAGCTGACTGAGGCGTCGACACCCTATATTGCTTTTGAGGGCAGATTCACACTGTGCATGAGAGTCAGCAGTCGGAGCTAGACAATTGAGCGCGCACCGATAGGCAATCCGGACCGGAGCCGCAAGCGCATAGGCCACCGATTCGGTGGCTGCCGAGAAGTGCACAGCGCTGCACCTAGAGGATCTGAGATGATGCAGCAACGCGATTGTACGGTATGAATGCAAAGACGTACTGCTGGATGCGCGTACAAGATGGCAAGTGATGGACTTCTGGTGTTGTGATGAGCAGTATGGAGTGATCTGAGATGACGTTGGGGAGAGATACGCGAGTCATACAGCTGCAAGGTCCCGTGCTTAGCGTTTCCGCGTCAACATGCGTCAGCTGCACCCCGGATCTCCGCTTCTAGCCACCTGCTGCCTACATCGCCGCTTCCTCCCTCAACTCTCCTCCATCACCAGTCCATCTCGGTGTTCAGCTGGCTGGCATCACACAGAATCTCATCCTTTCCCCACCGCGTCCTTCCTGATCAAGTGTTTTCAGCTTTCCATCATGGCTGAAAAGGCGCCACTGCTCGCATCCGACGCGTCCGCCACCGTACAGCCAGGCCACGTGCAACGCTACTCCAAACGTCACGCGTTGGGAAGGGTGTTCGCTATCGCTGCGGCGGCTTCGATCATACTCTATGGTCTTCCGCAATGTATGTACATTGCTCTCTCAATCATACGTCGCAGCTAATCCATGTTTAGTGGATGATGAGCCTCTCGGCAACTACCCAGAGGAGAACGAACTATGCATGACTCCTGCCTGTGTCCATGCCGCTTCTGAGGTTCTTTACAACCTCTCGCCTCAATACAAGGAGCTCGACCCGTGCGATGACTTTGAAGAACTTGTGTGCGGCGGATGGAGGGAACGTCATGATCTGCGAGCCGACCAGGGTGATGCCTTCACCGGGACTATAATGTCTGAAAACTCGCAAATGCTGCTTCGTCATATTCTTGAGGCACCATACCCAAAAGACTCTGAGGTAAGTCTATCCTTGCTTGATATATGAAACAAGACTAAGACCTCATAGCATTCCTACTTTTCGCCTATGCAGCTCATGTCGGTTGCCAAGTCTGCGGATGAGGTCAACTTTGACAAGATGAAGGCTGCATACGATGCCTGTCTCAATGAAGATCAGATCAAGAGCATTGGCGTCGAGCCTCTCAAGCATGTTCTCGAAGAGATCAGGAAGGTGTACCCTGCTGTGACTTCAGACTCACACTCAATTAAGGACGCCATCCTTCTTCTCGCCAAGTACGGTGTCACTGGACTCGTCTCAGCTGGCACCGGCGCGGATGAAACCAACCCAGACACTGTCGTCGTGTCTGTTAGCGCGCCCTGGAGCTTCGGACTACCTTCCAAAGAGCGTTACGAAGACGACAAGCTTGTCGAGAAGTACCGTGGTGTGGCCGTTGAAGTACTGAGCGCTCTGTACCCAGATCAAGACAAGGCTGTGTTTGAAGGTATCATCGATCTTGAGAAGAAGCTTGCAGCTGCGTCCCCCAGCGAAGAAGATCGTGAAGATGTCACGAAGTACTACAACCCGATGTCTATTGATGAGGCGGCTGCGATCGTTCCCGAAATCGAGCTGAAAGCGCTTCTCGCAGACCAGGCGCCTCACGACACTGACATCAAACGTGTCATCGTTATGACCCCGCATTACCTAAAGGATCTATCAGCAATCCTCGCAGCTACACCCAAAGATGTTCTCCAAAGCTACTTCGTATGGAAGGCGGTTCAGTCTTTCTCTTCTTACGTCGATGCGGAAGCTGTCAAGCCCTACCGTCGCTTTGTCAACGTCCTCTCAGGCAAGGACCCCGACTCCGCTCCTGAACGCTGGCGCACATGCGTTAGCCACGTAGACAATGGGCTAGGATGGATTTTGAGCCGATTTTTCGTAGAGAAAGCCTTCTCGGCTGACGCAAAGAAGTTCGGTGACACTATCATCACGGACATTAAGACCGAGTTCGCCAAGAAGCTGAATGCTGCAGACTGGATGGACAAGGATACCAAAAAGAAGGCTGTCGAGAAAGTGCAAAATATCGTCCAGAAAATTGGATACCCCACGAAGAGCCCAGACATTATGGACCCGCCTACACTCGAGGAGTATTACGAGACTGTCAACGTATCATCAGATGCGTTCTTTGCCAATGCCCTTGCGATGCGCCGCTTCGCTGACAAGGAAGAGTGGTCTGCACTTGGAAAGCCCGTCGATCGCGACCAGTGGGACATGACTGTTCCAACAGTAAACGCATACTACAATCCTCCTGGTAACGAGATCGTCTTCCCTGCTGGTATCATGCAATTCCCGGTCTTCGATGTCAATGTACCCGCTTATATGTCATACGGTGCTTTCGGTGCTGTTGCTGGCCACGAGCTTAGCCACGCTTTCGATAGCACCGGGCGCCATTACGACCAGAATGGCAACTACACTGATTGGTGGTCCAAGGAAACCGTGGATGCTTTCAAGCACAAGGTCGAATGCTTTGTCGACCAGTACTCGAACTTCACCATTCCCGGACCCGACGATAAGCCTCTACACGTCAACGGTCGTCTTACCCTTGGTGAGAACATTGCTGACGCTGGTGGTCTGTCGGCATCTTTCCAGGCTTGGAAGCGCCGCTCAGCTGAGACACCAAACAAGAACCTGCCTGGCTTGGACCACTTTTCTCAAGAGCAGATGTTCTTCGTCAGCTACAGCAACTGGTGGTGTGGCAAGACTCGCAAGGACACTGCAATCAACCGTATCTACACCGACCCGCATGCACCTAAGTGGGCACGTATTCTGGGCACTATGGCGAACTCAAGGGAGTTCAGGGAGAGCTTCCAGTGCAAGGTCAAAGAACCCACTTGCCAGCTCTGGTAGTTGATGACTATCTGGTGTGACACTAGTGAGTGCATGCTATCACATCTCTACAAGGTGTCATGAATGGTTGTTTGATAAGATTTGTAGTGTTCAATCTCGTACCATCTATAGCATTATCGCGGTTCAGTAATTCTATCTCAGGCATGCAGCATCAACTCATAACTGCCCGGCTTTAGGGCTATCCTTGTTCCTTTGTTCTGCACCTCGTACCCCCCTTCACCAAGTCTCCTTAGATCAGCGCTACTATCCGCACTGGGAAGTAGTAGATAGGCTGTCGTGCTCGTGGGTACAGTAAGCCACATCTTCGCTTCCTCGCTGCCACCTTTACTTATCCTCTTGTACTTGACCTCAATCTTACCATACGGACACTCCACACTCCCCTCCACCATCCCAAACTCGCTCCCAAACGGCGGCTTCACCCTCCAGGTCTTATATGCCTCTGTCTCGGCCTGTACGCCCAGCACACCCTCGTAGAACCACTCATATATTGTGCCCAGCATGTCATGGCACTTGCTCCTACAATTGTCTTGCCAGAACTCATTCAGTGTCGTTTCTCCCCTCCGAATGAAGCGCATGTAACTTGGATGCTCTTCTTGTCGCGCCATCTCCAAGATGATGTCTGGTCGATTCAGGTCAGAGAGTGTATTGAAGAGGTACTTCAAGCCGATCTCGCCAGCTTGAATTCGGTTGCCAGCGGACGCGCAATCCGCTAGGAAGGCAGCCTGTACGTCCGCAACGTGGGATGCAGGAACGAGATTAAATTGAAGTGCAAAGGCTTGGGCGACCATGTTGCGGTCGTGTTTCGAGGGGTCGTCGCGGGACGTGTAGAAGGCGTAGGGATACTCTCTCTTATCGGTGATGAGAAGTCGCTCGTTGTATACGCGGTATATGCGATCTGCCCATTCGCGGAACCGCGCTTCCGCTTCCGGCTTGTTCAGCTCACGGGCCATGCGTTGGATATTCCGGAGGCAGCGGTAGTATACAGCAGTTTCGATGTTGGCCTGATTATTGCCGAAGGCTATATCGCGTCCCCAGTCACCCAGGCCGTGTTCAATGAGCCCACCGTCTCGCTCTTTGGTCTTGATATACTCCATGTAACGTACACAAGGGTCAAACAATTTCTCGAACACGTGCGTGGAGTCGTAGTAGAAGCGCAATATCTCGGGAAGTAATGCGACGGCGCCTCCCCAGGTGATTGTGTCATGTAGAGGACCGCACATGTATCTGATCTCGGGTGCCATAGTAGGGCAAAGACCGTTTGGTTCCTGCGCATCGAAGATATCATCGAGGATCTTGGAGTAGAGCGACTCCATGTCGCGAATGTATTGGGTGGCCGGCGCAAGAAGGTGCGTTACTTCGAGCCATCCAAATTTCTCTAGCTGAGGACAGTCAGTGTGGTAGCTGAAGAGGTTGCTAACGAAAGACCAGTAACACATGTCAATGAGCTGATTGACATCTTCTTTGTCCGTCTTGACATGGCCAAGGCGACGTGCAGCGGACGATACGTGTCTGCTGACCAACGAATGTACCACCGGTAGCTCTTGCGCTTCTTCGAGTGATACGCCTTCGACTTGGATGTATCGCGCACTCGTAAAGCAGAAGTCAGGTTCCCAGGTTTCCACTCCAGTACCAGCCAAAGTGAATTTGCAGAAAACGCCCGTCTCAAACTGCTTGAACAGTGGATCTGGCATGAGAACCTTGCCATCCTCGCCAATCGTCTCGGAGAAACGGATGATGACTTCCGAACCAGCTGGCCCGCTGACCTGAATCTTCACCATCGTCGTCATGTTCTGTCCGAAATCGAACATGACAACGCCGGGCTCAAGAGTCTTCTTCGATCGTGGCTCGAATGTCTCGTGGAGCACCACGGGTGGCTGACTCTGATACTTCAATTTTCCTCTTGGGCCTGTCACAGGCGTCGCAGACTTCCATTGTTCGTCTTCTTGGAAGCCTGGCGCATCCCAACCTGCCGGGTAGTTACGTAAGTCCTTGGTTTCTGAAGAGTAAATGTTTGCCAGCGTGGTCGCACTCTTGCGGATATTCCAGTCTGGCCCAGTAGTGATCGTCTCGCGGCTGCCATCGTCGTAGAAGAGATGCAGCTCCATGAAGAAGCAGAGCTCATTACCATAGCGGACGTATGTGTTGTCTTCGTAGCACGGCCAGAAAAACCGGTCGTCGCCTTGGTCACCAGCGTAGAAGCCATTGCCGATGTGTGCGCCAACTACGTTCTCCCCTTGTTTCAGTATGTTTGACAGGTCGTATGCAACGAACTGTACGGTGCGGTGGTAGTTAGTCCAGCCCGGATCCAGCACGTGGCCATTGGCCGCTGCGGGATTGCCATTGCAAACGAAGTTGCAATGACCAAGACCTGAGGCAAAGGCGATAGCACGAGACGGTTTTCGATCAAGACGTAGCGCTTTGCGCACGTACAGCGGCTTGTCCCCGTTATCGCCAATCCAAACGCCTTTCCATCGATTTGGTTCGTCTTCAAACCATGTACGAAAGATGAGACTGGTATGGGGCATGTAGGTCTGGTTCATGCTGTAAGGTGGTAGTAGCCCAGATGATCTTGGATATGCGGTGAAGAACTCATTCACTGTGCTTGTCGTCGCCTGGTCATCTGAATCCCACACCGTGACTCTCCAGTAATGAAAAGTCGCTGAGTGAAAACCTTCTTCGGGTGCACATAGCACATTGCGTTGCCTATTGCCTTCCACTTTACCGGAGTCCCATACCAGTGTCTCAAATGACTGCTGAGTTGAAACCTCGATGCGATACGCCTTTTGCTGGCTATCCTCGCGGTCCGAATGCAGGACCCAGAAGAAGCGTATCTTGTCCGTGTCGATGCCAAGAACTTCGTGAAAAGCATGTATGCCGCATCGTGTGATTTCCAGAACCATGTTGGTTGATCGTAAAAAGGTAACAGCTTCGTGCGGACTCAGATTGCTCCCCGTGAGCGAAAAACAATCGAGTCTGGATAGAGATATCGGGAAGGTGGAGATTTGGTGGCGTTCATGGTGGAAGGGCTCAACCGATCATTTACAGCTTCAGTTCATCAGTCAAGATACTGTTCGTGTCAAGATCGTCGCGAGGCTCGGGTGAACTCGCTGCGACTTCTACCAAACACAGTCTGGCAGACCTAACGCGACCGTTGAGCTAGATCTGGTTCCGAAGTCGTCCCGAAGTGGAGATCGCGCATCCAGCCTGTAAAATGTGTGCCGAAGAGGCTGCCGAGGCGAACGCGGGGACCCCACCAAGTGGCATCGCCGCTTGGCCTGCACCTCGATCCCGACCCTGGACTTTTAGAGCAGACCCTTGCTGTTCATCGCTATCTCTTCGTGCAAAATTGACTAAAGATGCGCATGACAAACTTTTCAGCCCCTGACAAAAAGTCTTCATGATACGCGGCTAGAGACATGCACGTGTCAGCCAATGCTGGCTTCGGAGTAGTAGAGCCCGGAATAGCATTGGAGACAACATGGGACGATGCTTGTCTTTGATACATAAGGCGTAGTCTCGCATGGTGATAGATCCACTTTTCCACAGCATCTGACATCGTTACTCAAGATGGGTCTCGCAGTCACTGTCTTCTCCGCTATCTTTCTAGCGACTGGAGGTAAGACATTCATGTGGCAGGTCGCAGGCCAGTGAGATCGGTAACTAACTTGTACCCAGGTTTCCTCTTCGGTTACGACTCTGGTATCATTACCTCGACCATCGCTCTCGACACCTTCAAAGAGTACTTCAGCGATCCTTCGGACGATGTCGTTGGTGGCATTGTGTCTGCCTTTCAGGGTGGCGCGATTGCAGGAACCATTTTCAACATGCTGTTCGCGGACATGCTAGGCCGTCGCTGGACTATCTTCGTCGGGGCTGTCATTTCTATATTGGGCAGTTCCCTTCAAGCAGGCGCTGTCAATATGGCCATGCTTATCGTCGGTCGCTTTATCGGTGGAGTCGCAGTCGGTCAGCTCACTTCGACCATTCCTATGTATGCCGGTGAGCTTTCGGAGGCAAAATACCGTGGCACCCTTTCGGGTCTATTACAGTGGATGTTGAGTTGGGGCTTCTTTATCGCCCAATAGCTCAGATATAGCTGCTCCTTCAACAGCACCCAATTCTCGTGTAAGTCATTTTGTACACGGCGTGCTGCTTGACCTAATACATGTAAGGGCGCTTTCCGCTTGCGTTCCAGAACGTCCCCGGCCTCGTTTTGCTGGCTGGCATCTTCTTCCTTCAAGAATCACCTCGATGGCTCATGGAGAAAGATCGCCATGAAGATGCTATGGCCTCGCTGAACAAGCTCCGCAAGGGCCACGACGCGGAGACTATCGACCTCGAATTCCGAGAGATTCGGGACGTCATCATCGCGGATCGGGCCCTGGGCAACATTAGCTGGACCTCGATCATCACCAAGACCTCATGGCGTAAGCGTCTCTTGCTAGGTTGCGGTGTGCAAGCTTTTGGACCTCTATCCGGAATCAACGTTATCAACTACTACGGCCCACGTATCTACGAAATCCTTGGAATATCGACCCAAGAATCGCTCATGATCATTGGTATCAGCGGTGCGCTTTCGATCGTCTGGTGTACCATCGGACTTGCGCTAGTCGACAAGGTTGGACGTGTAAAGCCCCTTCTCATATCAGCTGCTGGCCTAGCGACTGCCCTGCTCATCAACGCAGTACAGGGACAGTACTTCGATCCCAACAATGGCCCGCAACTGCGCAGTATGGTCGCCATGAACTTTCTCTTCTCATTCTTCTACACACCTCTGGGTATCATATCCTGGGTTTACCCCGCAGAGATCTTCCCTATTGAATGTCGCGCCCTTGGTAATGCCATCACGACATTCACAAACTGGGTCGTGAACCTGATCTTCGCTCAGTTCTCTCCGCAAGCATTGAGCTCCATAGAGTTCAAATATTTCTACGTCTTCTTCTGCTTCAACATTATCGCCTTCTTTTGTTATTGGTTCTTCTACCCAGAGACTAAAGGCAAGACTCTGGAACAAATGGACGAACTCTTCGGTGATCAGCTGGTGCCGCATGCACTGCAAGATCCAGCGGCGGCATCGGCGGCTATGGAGAAGGAGGAGAACCTACACGAGGAAGTAGCTTGATTGTAATTGGGGTGGGTTCGCTGCGCTTCGGCGCGTTACGGTGTGGCATGATGCGTTGGATCGTACGAATGAAGGTTGTGGGGAGGACCTTATGTCTTTAATGATCGTACCTGCATATACACGATCTATCTACAATAAAATCTACTTCGATAAGTCAGTCAATGCATTCTGAGCGATCGAGGGTGCGACGTACAAACTAGAATTACGAGGGTTCTATAGTGTGATACGCATTGTATTTCCTATGTTAGGGAGATGAGATAGCTCAGCAGCGTGCGGGGGCATGTCGAACAGAATGATCAAAGCCATTCGCGGTCTGTGTTTGCATGATAGTGACATTGTCGGCAAGAGGCAGAGATGAGATTCTGCGCGCCATGGTAAGAATGTCGCAAGGTATGCAGGAGAACGCGACGAAGCCGAATCTCGGAATCATTGACGTCGCGATCTTGCCGAATCGCGCTAGTACCTAAAAAGGAAAGGCTATGCTTAACTTCCAGGGACGCCCGCGAGAGCGCGCCATTTTACTCAGTCTGTCTTTTCACCATGACAGGTCCGCTTATCACCACTCAAGCTATCGACTGCATCTCGATGCTCATCGATATCTGAAAGGTTTCAACTCGTAGCCAAAACCGCATGCGGGTGTACCAAACCGATCTCAACACGTGAAGCTTAGCAGTTTTTGGAAGCAGAACCATGAACATCTACAGTAGAAGTGCCTAGCGACCCCGCGGTATGGATGCCGGCCGGCGCAGCGGATTCAAAGGAAGCTCCACGATATTGCCAGACAGATATCAGAGCGCACCCGCAAACCGCCCCAATGAGGGTTCAAGTCTCTCGTTTGGCGACGATGAAGGGGTGTCTATCAGGCAGAAGGTGCCGCGCCACATCCTAGAGAAGTTTCCCGCAGTAAGGCCATACGCTCATCAAATCCTGGGTTTCTGATCTTTTGCCACTTTCGTTAGTTTCGTCATCCATCAAACGATCGCTTTGCTGCAGCTGCTAAACGGGTTGCCATTGATGGCAGTGTTACACCCAAGAGGCGTACCAAGAGAGTCCAGCAAATTTCCGTGAGCTTCGCGACTCAGCGTGGATTCTAGGCAATCCCGGAACTCGGGCTCGTGCGCGTAACGCGGACCTTGCAGATCTGATTGTATCTGTAGGCAACTCGAAGCACGACCTATCCAGTGGAAAGAACGGACGTTGCATATGAGGATTCTCGCCACTTCCAATAGAATGAACCAGAAGAGGGCTTCCGCGGGTCTTGTTCAAGAGTCTCCGCTTCTTGTACAAACTCTTGCTTTTCTAAGTTGTTATTTCAACCTTTCACGGAACACACAACTGACCTGCCTGGATACCTTGAATAGTTGCTGGAACACCCAAATCTGAAACGGTCAAGCCAGTATCATCATTATAGCTTATCCGGTTGATCGGAAAGGAAGGCTTCACGTAACCATCGAGCGACAAAGACTTCCATCCGGAACACACTCATCGGTAAATCTCTGAACGACAATATCACGTTAGCAGTTCTACAGAGAACATGGCAGCTGGCTCCCGTCGCCACAGTCGTCAGAATGAAGAGCCTGATTACCACGATTCTGATCTCCAAGCGGACGTCAGGGATCTAGATTTTGACAACATCGATATCCCACCACGAGACGTAGGACCTGGCCCAGTCACCCATTCGCGTATGCAAGCAGCTGTCAAAGATCGGATGGGAACTCCTACACCGCAGACCACCCGAGGAGATGACCAACAGTCGGATAGTGGAGTTTGGTCGGACGACTCGTTTGCTCCAGAAACTAACCCTATCATTCACATCGAAAGCATCTCGGCGGGCCCTCATGCAAGTTCCGCTCTTCGAAAGCACATTCCCGCACGTCTACTTGCCAAGCTACCCTTTCTAAGCGAGCTGAAGTTCTCAAAACACAGTAAGCCTGTGGCTATAGCGAACATACGCTTATTGCTCGGTACCTTTGCAGATAAATCTCTGGCGAGATGGGGAAACCCTGTATATGCATATCTGCGTCCAAACACAAATCGCTCCATAGGACCCATGTTCACCATGGAGGGCGATGAAGAGTACGGACGTGGGCATAACATCGTGAAGGTTAGCTGGGATGAGGGCTCACTTAGGGAGGAGGTTGCACTGAAACCTCCCTTCAAACAAGCCCTGACACACGGTGAACTGTATGCTGCAGTGAAATACTACTTCCTACTGGCAGGAGAAGCAAGAGTGGAGGGCTTTCAACATGACTTCATCCCAGTGAAAGAGTCGTTTGTACAGCATCTGACCAGCTTGTGCCAGCATTATGATCCAGATCTGCTCACACCTGAGTCTTCGTTTTCGGGAGTATAGCGATGATTCGAAAGCACCTCCGAAGCGTCGAAAGGAACGTGACTGCCGGCGTCCGCCAGGCTATGCGGAACGACCCGGCGTAGCAAGGGTTGGACCAAATCGGGAAGACAGTGATGACACATCAAATCTCAACCCAGCCAAGAGTGATAACGGAACTAGTGTACTGGGAATCTACCCGCTTGGAGAAGATGAGAACAGGTCGCTAAAAAACTGAGCTATCTACTGCTTACCACGATGCTGACAATGCGGACTATCGAAGGAACGATGACGAGGGAGATGGCTATGTCTAGACAGCGTCCGGATCTCACACACGCGGTACCTCGTCCCCAACACCACCTTATAACTGGCGCCATCGAGCTACTGTTCGTGAATCATTCAATCAGCGGGATAACGCGCCATCAGGGTTGGAAGCAATATCTGAAGAGATAGAATTGCAAAGCGATAACGTGTCAGACAGATCCAGATCGACAGATCGACATAGATCGAGTGGAACCCACCAGTTTGCGATCGATGGAATCAATCGACCATCTAATGGGTTTATGCGTCATGGTCTGGAGAAGAAAGACACAAATTTCGTCGTCACATATGGCCTACAATGCTTCCCCAGACGTTCAAGCGACGCCGGCCTTTCTTCCCCAGATCGACACTCATTAGAGACGGATCGAGGTCACACGGAAATGCCGTGCTATGCAATATCCGAGCCAATTCCCGTCAAATACAACCGCCCGATACACTGGGAAAGACTCCAAGCTTCAACGTCATCTTCTCCACGAGCTGCCAAGGAGCGCAAGGAGCGTTCTATATCAAAGTCAACATTGCAATCTCCCAATTCCTTTGTCGATCGCCGTCCAAGCTCGACGTACAACGATCTCATATCGTCCTCTCTGCTTCGACAACAAAGGAGGGTTATGAATGGTCATATCGAGAAGGCAGTTCAAGCCATCAAGAGTAGTAAGGCCCGACTTAGACGATTATACCTCTTGGATGCCAGTATCGGTGCGGAGCATGCAGAGAAGAAGCGCCGTGAAAACAACAAGGATGACACTGAAGACGTTGACGAGCCTCCTTTATCAGGTGGATCTGCGTAGCGGCTAGGGCGTCTTCGGGAGGAGGGATGTTGCAAGTGAATGTGACAACAGAATCATGCTGAAGACAAGTCAATCATGTGTGCGAGATTTAGAATTCGTAGCCTCTCGAAAATCATATCATAACTGCGTCTCTGCCATACCTGCAACAATTGCGCGACGTATTGTGTGCTGATGGTGTTCAAGTCTTGGACGCACTTGTCCGTCATTCCTTCTTCACTACCGCTATCCTTAGCGTGTTTGAGTCAAGCGCTTGCTACTCTTGGGCTAAGTCCACACGCAACTCCTGCCGCGTAAACAAAGCACATGCAGTATAAGAACACGACCGCGACTAGCCAGGAATCAGACGCAATCTCATCATAGTTCCCTCGCACATGTCTTTATCATTGGTATCTTAAACAGTATCACACCAACATCTCGACGCACAACCACTCAGCCAGAGGCCTCCACCATGACTGTCGCTATCGCAAACCTGGCTCAGCTACGCAAAGAGCTAGGCTTCGAAGGCCAAGCCCTGCTTGACTACGCGCCGCACTCAAAGATCAGATATGCACCTCAGACACATGACCAGCGCGCTGTCCCTTTCAAGCTTCTGTTTGGTCAGATCACCGACAAGTACACCAAGAAATTACTACATGTCTGGATATTGCTATACCCACCGAACAAAGAAGGTGGAAATGCGGAGGTGCAGTTTCAATCATTAGATCCTGAGACCAGGCATGACGACAGTAACATCAGCATTACGATCACCACGATTGCCGATGCCTTCAAAACACCAAAGAGAGGCTCGAAGAACAAGTATGTAGCACTGGCAAAGTACTACTTCCTTAATATTATCATATCAAGGTGGACGGAACAGGAACGCCAATATGACCTAGCAATACCAATACCCATCACGCGTAGTCTTATCGACGCGCTGAAGACCGCTTGCCGCGAGTTTGAGGCGGAGGCAAAAGCCAATCTCTCAGACACGCAGTCGCGATCCCAATCAGCAACGCTTGTAGATGATGATGAGGATAGCGTTCTTAGTGACGCTCCAGAGGATCCGTTTGAGCCCGCCCAGCCGATCATTCCTGCAACTGTACCTGCTTCTGTAAGTAAGCACGCTGGCATTCTCGTACGATGAGCTCACCTCAGCAGACCTACAGCGCTTCAGCTTCTCAGTTGGTCGAAGATCTCACCAAACTCCAAGACGAAGAAGTTGAACTCCGAGATTCCCAGAGCAAGATAGTAGCAGAGATAGCGGAGACGAAGCTTGCCCTACAAGAGATAGGCGAGACTCTTCGGGAGGATGAAAAGAAGAATCGAGTGATTGAAGAGAAGCTAATCAAGATTGCCGCTCGCCGAGAACAGTTATTGGACGGTATGAGTGCCCTGGAAGCGTACAAGCTGGGCGGGGAGATCATGAAGAAGCGCTGAAAGTTCGATGAGGTTTTGGGAAACTACGCGATGAGAAAGATTTGAGATGCTGGTCAGGGAATCATCGCATGCTCCGTACAGTACTCAAAGAAGCTGTAGAGTACCGTGTATACATTAGGATTGGTTCGCCCAAGAATTGAAGGAGCAGGATCCGCAGAATACGAAATATTTCGTAGGTTGTTTCACTTTACTAGGCAGACCGAGGATCTCGTATGTGTTAGAACAACGCCCATCATGGACAACATACCTTTGACTACATGAGACCACTGTCTTATCCAACCAGTAATATTTCACGAGCAATGATTTTAGGGTAGACTTCGGTATTTGGGAAGCTAGCCCCGAGATTGGTGCAGCGCGTTCCGCTGACGTCACGCGTTCTCAACGCGTCGGCATCAACTAGAAGCGACTTGGCCACCTTCACTTCTTCCCGTCCGTGCCTGATCTTCTCCCATCTTGAACAATCTTCTGCTTAGACTACATGAATCGTATCGTAAAATAGCTCCCTGTAGTTGGTTTACGATGCTACCGGAATAATATTTGTCTTACCCCGCACTGGAACCTATTTCTCCGTCTCTAAGTTGCATCTCCAACATCTGATGTCGTCGCGTCAACGTGCACATGGCGGGACATGAATATGCAGGAAAATGGACTTAAACCTTATTGGAAACGGACGACGGCCACGCCAAAGACGGCAAGCGGCCGTTTGACGATCTCAGGATCGACCTTATAGTATCCAGTAGGCATGGTTACTATGACCAATCTTCCCTGATCCAAGATCTAGATTTTTTCTTCGTTGCATTTGAGCTTGATCAAGTACAATGAAGATGTTGCGCGGGCTCATGAGCCTTGCGCTCGCGTCCGTCTATGCACATCATGCGGCAGCACGAGCAGTAAACGGAAACTTACGCAGTCTGATCGTGGAGGAGCGGGCATCGCTGCAAGACATTGTGGGTTCAATTGATCCTTTCATACTTCCAAGTATCTGATAGTAGCTTTAGGTAACGTGGGACGAGCATTCGCTCTTCGTTCACGGCGAGCGTGTCATTTTCTGGGGCGGCGAATTTCATCCTTTCCGGTAAGTCAAGTATTATTCGTTGTGTGTTGGTCCTAACATATGTAGACTTCCCGTTCCGAGCCTTTGGTTAGATATCTTCCAGAAAATCAAGGCTATGGGATACAATGGTGTTTCTTTCTACTCTGCGTGGGTTATCCATGAAGGCAAGCCGGGAGACTTCCGTGCTGAGGGTATCTTTGATTGGGTTCCCTTCTTTGAGGCTGCGAAAAAAACCGGAATATATCTCACTGCTGTAAGACAAGCACTTCCACTGTGAGTGTATCCTACTGACCCGGCAGCGACCTGGCCCATACATCAACGCCGAAGTATCGGGAGGTGGCTTTCCGGGATGGCTGCAGCGCATCTCCGGTAATCTTCGGACGCCAGATGAGGACTATCAGGCAGCCTCCAAGAACTACATCGAATCGATAACACCCATCATCGCGAAAGCACAGATAACCAACGGTGGTCCAGTCATATTGTTCCAGCCTGAGAACGAGTATTCCATGGGTGCGAATAACGTAACATTTCCTGACGCCGATTACATGAACACACTGATGCGCCAATTTCGGGACCTTGGCATTGTGGTGCCTTTCATCAACAATGTTGCTTGGCCTAATGGCGTCAACGCGCCTGGCACAGATGCCCCGGTTGACATCTACGGCCATGATTCGTATCCATTAGGCATGAACTGTACTGATCCTACTTACTGGATTGACGATGCTTTGCCCACGAACTGGAGGGAGACACATCTCAATCAGAGCGCTAGTACACCATACACAATTCCAGAATTTCAAGGCGGGGCGTATCAAGGCTGGGGACAGGACGGTTTTGATCGTTGTGCCCTCTTCACAGGAAAAGAGTTTGAGCGCGTATTTTACAAGAACAACATCGCTGCAGGGCTTACAATATCGAACGTGTACATGGTAGGATTTCCTCATCTTCTTGATATTTCTTCGTGCTAACCATTGGTAGACATTCGGTGGCACCAACTGGGGCAACTTGGCGGGTGCTGGCAACTACATGTCGTACGATTACGGTGCAGTCATTACGGAGGAACGTCAGGTACATCGTGAGAAATACAGCGAAGCTAAGCTGATTGCACACTTTGTGCAAGCGTCGCCCGCGCTAGCTTCAGCAGTACCTGGATACAATACCACAGGAATCTACGCGACCAATGAGGCCATCACGGTGACGCCGCTCATTGGCGAAAAGACCAGGTTTTACGTCGCACGCCAAACGAAATACAACTCCCTCGCATCAGAGACATACAAGCTTACGGTTCAAACCAGCCAGGGCAACATCACAGTACCGCAGCTTGGAGGCGAGTTGTCTATCAATGGTCGTGACTCAAAGATCCATGTCGCAGACTACAACATAGGCGACTTCAACTTGCGTTACTCCAGCGCCGAAGTCTTTACGTGGAAGACGTACCAAGAAAGAACAGTTCTTATTGTGTATGGAGGCATGGGTGAAACCCATGAGTTGGCCGTCGCTGAGACCAGTGGAGCAACAGCAGTGGAGGGCTCAGGTGTCAAGTTCTCGAATCGCAACGGCAACACCATCTTGCACTGGACAACTAGTGAAAACCGTCGCACGGTACGCGTCGGTCAGAATTTGTACATCGTCATACTCGACCGCAATTCTGCATACGATTACTGGACCGTGAGTACGTCACCGGAAGGTAGCTACTCCCATGTCGCGACACCATCCAGCGATCTTATCGTCCGTTCTGGCTACCTTGTTCGTAATGCTACGATGATAGATGCAGATATTCATCTTTCTGGCGACGTCAATGCAACAACAGATGTTGAGGTACTTGGGGGTGCCCATGCAAATAGTGGGGGGCTCATCTTCAACGGATTTTCGATCCAGTCGAAGCTCGATAGAAATGGTTTCCTGAAGGCTACTGTAGATTTCCAAGCTCCGGCTCTCCAGCTGCCAAGCTTGAGTGCCCTCGATTGGAAATACACGGATGCGCTACCTGAACTCGACTCATCGTACGACGATTCAACGTGGACGGTTGCCGATCACACGGATACCAACAATACGTATTGGCCTTTGACCACCCCAACCGTACTCTGGGGCTCTGAATATGGGTACAATACGGGCTCATTGATAACTCGCGGCCACTTCATCGCGACAGGCAATGAGGATGTGATCCATCTCAATGTCTCCGGAGGACCAGCGTTCGCTTTCTCAGCATGGGTGAACCAGACCTTCATCGGATCGTGGCCGGGAACTAAGGATGCGGCCATTGCGAACATGACACTAAACATGCCCGTACTGCATCGCGGCGAGCACTATGTGTTGACAGTGTTGAGCGACCACATGGGGCAGTATGGCAACTGGTTTGCTGGATACAACGAGATGAAGACACCGCGTGGCATCATTGGATACAGCTTCCCAGGCCACACTCCATCTCCTTCCAATGCGTCGCGACTTGATGACGGTATCAGGTGGAAGATAACAGGCAACCTCGGGGGTGAAGACTACTTGGACAAGTCACGAGGCCCGCTCAACGAAGGCGCTCTTTGGGTCGAACGAAAAGGTTACCATCTACCCTCCGCACCCACTTCAGGTTGGGTCGATAGCGCCGGTCCAGGTACTGGTTTGTCACACGCTGGCGTCGGCTTTTACAGTACTACCCTTCGCCTCGATATACCCGGCGGCTGGGACATACCCCTGTCTTTCATCTTCAATGGCGACGCGTTCAATGGCCAAGGTCGAGAGTGGCGCGCCCAGCTCTGGGTTAACGGATATCAATTCGGTAAGTTCGCAAACGGTATTGGACCACAGCGACGATTTCCGGTACCCGAGGGTATACTGAACTATCGCGGCGACAACTACATTGCTGTAAGTATCTGGGGACTTGAGGCTGGGGCCGTGAAACCTACCAGCATCGAGTTGGTGGCTGGTATGCCGGTGCAGAGTGGGTATGGTGAGATTCAGCTGGCGCCGATGGAGCAGTGGGCGGAAAGGGATAACGCATATTAGTGATATGACACGAAACGGATAAAGAGATACGGATTGACATGGCGGTGTAGTATCCATACACGACTGTTGTAGTATGATCATGTATCATGTTGGAGCATACCAACGTCAATCCGCAGCATTTTTGGTGTGCAAGGGCATCCATGTCTAGAGCTATTGAAGCCTCTCGTCACGTGAAGTCTTACCTGTACACACTGCAACAAAATCACGGTTAGCGTATATCGTCAGGTACGTGGCAATCTCTCAAAACTGATCACTACCGCCTGCGTTCTCCTCTACCCACACTCTCAACTACTCTGCCCGGCATAGAGACTCGAAGAACATCTAGCTCAATCTTCACGACCATGGAAGCTCTGCCTCCTCGATCCACTAGCAACCCTTCCCTCGACAAGCTCTGGCGCGACCTTGAAGAAGACGCGGCTCTCCTGAGATACCTACCTTATAAGCGCGCCACGTTTGAGCTACAGAATGAGATCCCCGAAGCAGCGCCCGAGCGACTCCTGTATGGCGACATGCTCGAGAACAAGGACCAGCTCTGGATCTATTTTACCCTCAATTCTCATCATAAGCAAAGGAGCAACTACGCGAGTATGTTGACCTTTCAAACCATCAAAGGCGCTGCACATCACGAGGCGAGCGTGCGTCCAGGTACAGTCCAGAAAGTCGCACAAGCATCAAAGGTATTCAAGCATGCACAAGGTTACCAAGCAGTCGAGGCAGTCGCCAAATATTTCTTCATCCAAAAAGGTATCGACAAGCAACTCCAGTTTCCAGTATCGTCCGCACCTTTTCGAGATAGTCTTGTACGCGTGTGCCAACATTACAAGGAAGTGTTCGATGAGTTGAAGAGCCAAGATTCAGCAAGCCGGCGTTCATCGATCATGACTACTGGCGGTAATCATGGGATGGATCCTGCGCGACCCCACGGCTTTCAAGAGCCCTCGCGCGCAGCTTCAGAGGCTCCCTTCCCAGGTCATTCTTCTTCAGCTTCTTGGATGCTTTCTCCAGTCCAGTCACGCCTGTCATCAAGAGCGCTGTCGCACGGCTCGTCTCGGGCTATGAGCCTGAGTGGCGTCGAGGGTCGTAAGCGCCGGCATAGCGCAAGTCCTGACCAACCTCAGTTCTCCAAGCACCGAGAGTCTCATACACAGCCAGGGCGAAGCAACGCGATCGAGGACAAGGCCGGCGGCTTTTCTTCCTACTCACAGCCACCTTCGCCATTCCTTGTGACTGCTACGTCTCCTCTTCCCGAGCATACCCTTGAGGAGAATATGGAAGAAGCTCAAGTCAATGAGAGCAATCTCGAGTCTGAAAAATCAGTGGGTGAAGGCCATCTGGGCGACATCGATCGGAACACCATGATGGATCAGTACATTGCACTTAAGGCTCAGGAAGAAGAGCTCGACGGAAGGATTGGTGACATGGAGATGAAGCGTGCTAATATTGCTGATCAGGCCGCAGAGCTTCAAGCGGATATGAATGCGATCGACAACCGCAAAGGAGACCTGGAAGAAGAGAAGGCTCGCGTGCGAGCGGAGAAGAGGAAGCTACAGATCAAGTTGGACGAAGACGAGCATCTTGACTTCGGCTTCGAAGCAGGACGAAGAATGGAGGCCAAGCGCCAGAGGATGAAATAAGTTCTGAAAGATGTACGTATACGGTACAACGCTTACGAACGGTACTGTCAGACAGACGCATTTTCGGTCCAACATGTACGAGACTAAGAATAATAAGTCGGACTAGGCAAATCTGAGCATGCAGAGTTACTTGGAAATGTACGAGTAGGGGAGCTACTATAAGACAGCTAGGTTCTAATGATAGCATGTCGACAGCACTTCTCATTTGTGGCGGGACGACAAACCAGTCAACGTGTCTTCTACTAAGACATCGATGTGATACAGTGAGTCGGCCAAGTAGTGAGCAGCACATGAAACTCTGTTCCAGGGAGACGAGTGCGACACGTCACTGCGAAATCTTGCCGTAAGCCCCACGCCACATGACGCAGTGGCCGCTAGTTTCTGATGCTACTTCTCCTAGATCTGGGATGCCAATTTCTCGAGGGTCCGATACCATGACTACACCGTACGTTGTTTGTACCTAGGACCACTGAACTCACGTGATCGTGCGTACACTATTCGCGCCTGCATGTGTCCTGATCGATCCTGATGTCACAACTAATGTCCTCTTAGTCCTGACCTCAAACATAGCTTAAATATGTTATCCGAGTTCTCAAGACCGACCTCATAGCATTACAATACTTCCACTGCAGTTGCATTACATGTCTCGGACACACCACCTATGTTTCCAAGACGGGCGCCCGCATCCACGAGACAATGCAAGCGATGTCTCACGACAGCTACTGGTAGTCGCTACCTGGGGCTACTAATATAAAGGTTTGAAACCATTTCGATTCTACGATTTCCTCCAACCTATCTCCACGTCGCGCTCAGGTTCTGGAATACAGTTTACAGTCATCCGGCTGTGAAGAGAACTGGTACTAACCATTCCCCATGGCTGATAAAGAGCCTTGCAACGTACTTGCTCGCAATCGTATCGAATCCCAGCCCACCACTGTAAGTAAGCTTCCAGCTCTTCAGGGCGATCCCCAGACTGATTTCAATTTAGCTAATGAGAAGGGAACCGATGGAAGCTAGCTTAGAGCAAAACGAGACCTTTCCCGATCATGGATTCCAGCCCGCTAGCCGCACCGTATCCATTTCTCAACTCTCTGTCGCAGGTAGTGCCACCATGGTGCCCCAAGTACCTCCCACGGAAGCCTCTCAACAGGCTTCACTTCAGACCGTCCCTCATATTCTATCGAAACTGAATATTGATCACTATCTCGAATCGAAAGCTAAGGCAGTGAAACTTGAACAATAGCTGCTTGTGCTCAATCGCAAGATTGAGGAGCTTACAACGATTATCGAGGAACAAGACATCAAGTACGAATCAGAGCTCCACTCAGAGCTCGAGAACCAAGAGCATGCTATAGCAGCACTGAAGAAAAGGCACGAAGATAAGTTTGAGAAAAAGAGGTAAGCGTTGAGAGAGAAAATGATTACGAAACTCCAAGCGCGGAATGCCCTTAATCTGGAGCGCATGCGCGATAGTATCTCAGTGGAGGACTTGCGTGAATGTATACCAGTAGAGGACTTGCTAGAATGGTTCGACAGATGGGCTGCTGACACGGTGGAGAGAAAGCGGACAACGATAGGAAACAATTCGGAGAAGAGCGATGCAGTGACATCCCAACAAAGATGATACCAATCGTAGTACTCCGTCGTGGTTATATTGTCATTCCACTGTACAAAGCACATCAGATGCTTTGAGGAGTTTGTTGTTATGTGATATAAATCCTGATAGGACTGAGCATTTTGGTTTATAATTCCTACGACATGAGATTCTGGAAGACCTTCAATAAAGCACGTCCAAAGACAGGGCTACTAGCACAGTGCATCCCAATATCTTACGCTGGGACAATTCCAAAGCAACCTAGTCCTCGTCTCCACTGGTGTCTTCCTCTGACTGTGCATTTGTCTTTAACCGCTTCAACCTTTTCTCTGCGAGTTCCATTCCGAGAACAAGCAACCCGCGTTCCTTCTCAGAGAGTGACTCCCGAAGACGCTTCTTTGCCACTCCGGTCGAGCGAAGCACTTCCTTCAGCTTTTGTTTCCTATCCTCAAGACCGGCCAACTCAGCTTCCATTGCCTCCTGTACGGCCTTCTGCTCTCGCGTAACAGCCTTGATCTCGTTCTTTATAGCGTCTCTGTCCTTAGTATTCTTTCGGTAAGCGGATACGAAGTTGTCGGGCGACTGGGAATTGGGGCTTTTCTCGGTCTAGTATCTTGTTAGTATATGTGCCTTCACCCGAAGTATCCTAATCAGACGTGCAAGTACCTCTCCAGATTCTGTGTGCGCAGGTGTTGACCTTGAAGTGTCCATGGTTGCGCTGTCATCATTCGTCCCGTCTGAATCTGAGCGGATGAGAAAATCGCAGTATCTGTTGACATTTGGAGCATCAGAGACACTGGCCGTTGCATCAAGCGGAGTTATATGATATGATGGACCTATCATGGCTTTTGGAACTGTGGAGATGTCCGGAATCCTGACTCGGGTGTTATTGACGGGGGGCTCGAAAGCAGCCTGAACATGGTCATTCTCTGGAATGAACAAGTCAGATGAATCAGATGATTCTTGAGTTGAGGGTATCATGGAGGCTATGGGAGCGCGTTGCGGTTTCGGAGGCTGCGGAGTCCTCCTAGCCTTGGTGATGAGAGGAGTAGCAACTCTAGTGACGGATGAAGTGACACTCGCTGGTCCTTCACCCAGCTTGACCGAGACACCTTTATCTTCTCCTACACAGGTCCTGGATGCCGGAGGCTCGAGCTTCAGTTTGATCCCGCATTCTCTCTGGGCCGCTGCCTCTCGACTCTTTTCCCTCTCCTGGTTCGCAGCCACCTTTATTCCATACTCTCTCGCCAATATACATGCTGCCCTGAGCGACTTCATGAACTGTGGTCCAACTGTCCATGGAGAAGAAGTATTCACTTCTTTCGAGATGAAGTAGTATGTGGTTACTGCCCGCAGCTGATCTCCATCTATGTCGCCTGATTTCTTGAGACATTTGAAAGGAGCCGTTGGATTCGTGCGCCGTACAGCATCCTCCACATTGATCTGACCCACGATAGAGTCGAAGCGATCGAAAATGTTGAAGAAGTGACAGGGCGAGCGGTCAGCAGAATGGTTGTGCTGTAGCAATATCCACACAGTGCTGTCCTTGTCTTGTCCCTCTTTGATCTGGCCGAAGAGCATACGAATTGGCATAGTATTAGGGCGATCTCCCTTTTTGGCGTCGAAGGACTTAATCCTGACCTTCTCGCTCGGGAGATGTTGGAGGAGTGGGGCACTGGCGCCCAAGGCAGCCCGAATCGCCTCAAGGGCAGCATCGTTGTTACTCATAGTGGCGCTGAGTTTTCCGCAGGCGATCTCACAGTCTTCTAAATTGACAATTCGCGTCTTGTTGTGTGTTGATCATATTGTTTGCACTTTGTTGATGGGGTCGCGACTAGCGTGACACTAGCGCGCTTTACAGAAGAGGGCGGGTGAATCAAGTGGGATAGCGTAGCTGAGAATTTTCCCGGATGTACACACTGCTTTTCAGGACTGACTATGATAGCCTAGCTCATGACCAATAGATGTAGACTATGGTTCGCCCTGGTGATGCCAAGTGATAACGGGCACCTACGAGTCAAATATCCACAAACGATGATAACGAGAAGTCCCATACCGATCATCTCAGCTTAAAACCGTTCGTGTTGTTTCATCAAGACCTCGCTAGCGAATCGATTGGGTACAAGAAGCGTGTGAAAACGAGTGGCTACGGCCAACCAGCACGAGAAGCGTCGCAGCAGTCACTCCCTTTGTACAACCATATATGTTCGACGTATTGCCATCGAATGGAAGCTATGGGGCATAGTTGGCGAACCTTCCCTAAAAGCTGGAGGGGTTCACTTTCTATAGCACACTATAAGTCCTCTTTTCTCTCAGGAGCATGAGGAACCTGACTGCCATTTGGAGTTTGGTCGCTAGAGTCGCTTGAAGAGGCTATGTAAGCTTATGTAATGTAAGAATGGTGAAATGAATGTTGTGAATATTAAGAATGACACGATTGTCGTCGTAACTTCGGGCGTGTAATGGACAATTGATCTCTGCGTCACCTATGTCAGCCAACATCGAACTGACTCATACGATTCTCCATTCATTCGCCTCTACCTACAACCTTAATATCATCAAAGCGCCACAAGGCATCTGAGATAAGGACTGATGTCTAGTTTAAACGAAGCTCAGAGTACACTGCCGCGCGGGTCGCAGCGTCATATCAAGAGATTGAGGGCTTTGCTGAAGCGGCGCGATCTCTTGGTTGCCGTAGATGAAGCTCTCTCACATGCTACTTTCGAATTCCATCAGTCGATTCTCTCCGGCCGTTGGGCATCGAGAGTCTTTCTCGGATATCGGAACCAGAGTGATGGGAAAACAGTTACTGTATGGGCGTACATCTACGACGACCATACCGGGGGCGAGCCACCAATCGTGTTCCGCGATGAGGTACCGATCAATTCCAAAGGTGCTATGACGACCCGGCTATATCCACGCGCTGCATCATCGCTCCTACGAAAAGCTTGTCAACTTCGACCGCCGTTCTGCTTTCTGCAGCAGGAACTTGATGAGGGCGCTAAAGACGGGCGCGGTATGCTATGCGCAGTTGTGTCCTACTATGGGCTCATCTCGGGATCAAGCGATTGTGCTATACGATGGCCGCGATTCGATGCGTGTCTTATGGCTGCCCTGGACTACATCAGCACCACCGTTGGAGTGCCGGTGGCGAAGCATGCAGTCCAGCATGACAGAACTTTGGAGACCACGGAGGCTCCTCAGTCCAAACTTCCAATGGCATTACGTGATACGGCATCGAAGAGGAAGGTTCCGAGCGCCGCTTTAATGATGAACCCAATTCCGGAGGATGGAGATCGGGCCACTCTACCAACGGACTTTGCGAACAGAGATCACCGGTACAACGAGTCACTCGTCGTCAGACTCAAGCTGAAGCGACAATCTCTTGTTCGCATAACCGGTATCAGTCAAACTTTCGATCTTTCTGAGAACCAGGATAAACCCATGGAAGCTGCCGCCAGCTTTTGCGACAGCGTGCTTGGAGACAGTGCTGACAGCGTGATTGGAGACGATGTGGACAGTGTCATTGGAGATTTCAGTGACGACGCTTGCTACAACGACCGGACGACGCATTGTGGCACAACAAACAGGATCTCGAAGGGCAGCGACGGCAAGGGATTTGGAAAGACGAATGGTTATAGCTGGTGACAAGCTTTTCGAAGTTGACAATACAAGAGGGCAGAGTGATGTGTGCTGGTTGTCAGTTTCATATGTCTAGTAGCATGTTTCAATCCCTATAACCATCTTCTTCGCCTTGAACTACCCTCAGTGCGTCAGATGAGCTTTCACAGTGTTCTAATCGCTTTTGTATTCGGAGAGAACAACTTTGATAATAACGAAATTTAGAAGTACCGTCTGCTGGAATACAAAATGGTAGTGATAAGACTGTCAGCAAGTGTTTTCGTTGGCTGCTATCGCTACTCCCAGTGTATAAAGGCGCAATGTGAAGACCGTCAGGAACTTAAGGTTCGACATCGACACATCATTACAATCTTCAAAGCGTCAGTTCTTCAAATTCAAATCAATCATATTACGAATTGTTCTACCTGCGCAACAGTCTCGAAATATGGCGTATCTGTTGAGTCACTATGAACGTATTAGCTCAAGCCCCCTCCATCTCCATATCCCCTTTAGTTAACTTATCCTTGTCGGCATTATCAAGTTGATGAGCACTTAGTACCTCCGCTGGAATGCTGCGCTGCTTAATCGGCAACATGTTCTCTGTTTCTATCGCATTTCGAACCAGAGCTAATGCGCCGTACAACCATTGATACTCCGGCATAGGTAGATCAACATTTTTCTTCCCAGTCTTCAGAACCCAGATGTGCATATACATCAATACTAGAGCGTGTGTTGGTGCGCTCATGGGCGTACTGATGCCCTGTCGTAAACTGTCGCTCCAGCTGAACGGCGCGACAGCTCTAAACTGCCCGCCCATGGGCTTGATGACTTTTATGATGGTTCCCGCTTTGCGAATGTTGGAGTCTCGGATGATGCGCTTCGTCACGGACCCGTCGGGATGCGCTATGATCTCGCCGTCGCCACACTCACCCACGTACATGACGACGGTGTTTTCGGACTGGTTCAAGTCAAACCGAAAACGATCGTATGATGGAATCAGATCAAGAATTGGACAGGCGTCGCTGCGGATGATATCGACAAATCTGTTGTGAATCTGCCAGGGTGCAAGAGACGGTGTTGTAGATTCATCAGCCATCGTAGTCTTGGAATAATGAAGTAAGTATTGGACGGTGGCTAATTGCGAGGTGTTTAGTGTGAGAGATTAGCTGATTATCTGGTGGCCTCAACTTTGAGAAACGTTAATAGTCAAATCGGCCTTCGGGGTTGATGAGCAGTGCAGCACAGGGGCACAGCTTGTGTGCAGATATCTTTCGAAACAGCTGGACATTGCTAGTAGAGAGAGGAGTGGGTGGAAGGCCTAACTAGTGAATGGACGAGACAAAATGAGATCTCTCCAGATAATAAACAGCACGAGGTATCGGAGCGACAGTCGGATACCGTGAGGGTAGTATAGCAGATAGGCCATGGCAGTGTTCATGGGGAATCATCGTATTATTTCGTTTCATTTCATTTCATTTCATTTCATTTAGAGAGTACACGAAAATACCTGAAGCTCATATCGTAGGACTGACATCCGTCATAGGATCTGATCGAGGCACGAGGAACTTGTACTAGGCTCATCACAGGAAGATGCCTACTCTGTAAGATGTGTTAGCAACAATCTCGCGAAGAGTCTGCTCATAATGACGTACCGTAATGGAAGTTGCCATCGTTGTTGATGATGCGTTCGCCCAAGTTGATGTCGCGAGTCTCACCGTTGCCCTCCTCATCCCTGAGGGTAGCGCGGAGGACAGGGACGTCACCGTCTCCCTCAAGCGCGAACTCGATATCCTCTGCCGAATGGGAGAAGTTTTCACCGTCCCAGAAGAAATGACCTACTACAAATCAGCAAGAGTCGTATAGACTTTGTACGTTTCTCATACCGTTGTCGTTACCAATGTGGTTGTTGAGGTCGATCTCGGCATCGTTCCACTCGCCGTCGGCGGTCTGGAGACGAGCCCTTAGGACGTGGCCGTCATCGATGCGGATGTCTTCAGCAGTGTAGTAGAAGGTCATATTGGAAGGGTTTTGAGTGGTGATAGAGTTGATGTAGAGTGTAGTATGGAGCTGGACAGTTTAAAGTTGAGCGAGGTGAGGAAAGAGGTCGATGAGAGGTCCACAGTATGAGGAGAAAGCTAGGAGCTTTATGGAAAGAGCATAGGCCGAATACCGGTCACCGCACGGCCAGAATAGAAGTAAGAGTGACCCATATGCCCAGCCGACAAACACAACGTAGGCCAGATCCACCGCTTGTACTACTCCTCAGGATCACTGAGAGCCACCTCCACTCCTGCATCTTACCGTCTGCCGCTGACTCTTTCATGACACTGTGCCGAGTGCCGGCTTGGAAGTGGTGGTTGTTTACACAAAATTGCCATAACAGGCGAACCACGCAATTCCCCGTCCTACACAATGTCTATGAGCAGCTGCGTAAACGGCTGCCAAGAGCCGGGGTTGCGTATGGTGATGCACGAGCGCCCCAATTTGCGCCCCGTGGCTGAGTGTGAGTGGCTTTACAGCAGTGGCCTGACCGTAACGTGCATCATGAGTGGGTCTCGTGCATCGTTTGCAATTCACGCCATGCAAGCACAATCGTGGCTGTGCAGTTGGTGCAGAGCATCTCTTTTGCGAACTTAATCCCTCGGCATCAACGAGATCGCGATTTGGAAGGTTCCTCCTTGGCAGAGGTACGAGGTGTGGTGGTGAAGAGGAAGGAGGGGGACAGCTAGCAGGGAAATGCAGGGTACACGCTAAGATCACCCTAAATTTCGCACGGGCCGTGCCTTCTCCACCCCGCGATGCCACGATGATCTCGACGTCTTTCACCGTATCTTCCTGGCAACTAAGTGGCGATTTGACCACTGCTCATTATCCTTCGTCACTGTTAGGAGACAACCCTCACCTAGTTACTTTAACTTCGCCGAACAATTCCGCCTCGAACAGCAGATTGTACAATGCGGGCTGTACTGGCGAAGCAGCTCAACAACGAGCGAACAAACTCCAACTTGAAGCAGAAGAGACAGTGGTTGTTCAAATCATCCAGTATGACTACACAGCGCACCTTTACTCTACTTTCGTTTCTTGAGTTCTTATTCTTCACTATCGACCATGAATCGAAATGAAGTTTCGTAAACAGTAATCGCCGAAAGAACGAAACTGCGAATTTCTGGACAAAGAGCGGAATTGGCGACGATGGGATTCACATTGAGCACCAAAGACTTCGTTACAGCTAATGCGTCCGAACATGATCAGATCAAAAAGGTTCTAGAGCCGTTCCGACAGATCTTCATGATTATACTAGAGAACGCGGAAAACGATTGCGTAAGTCATTTCACAATAGACCGGACTTACAACCCCGCGATTATCACTCTTCACCCTGCCAATGGAAATGACTTTAGTGTTAGCGCAAAGAGTCGTGCAGCCTTTCCGCCGAGCATTCCTTACGATATGCAAACAGCGATCTTGAAGTTCAACCAGTGTGACCTGAGCGTTCTCAGTTTCTTGTGTTGGACACGCGATGCGCTTCGGCCAACTGGTGCTACAGTAGATTGGCTAATGATCGTTTCTGTCCGACCTCTTTCCATACTTCACTATTCTGACGAAGAGCCCGTAACGAGGAATGCCCGTCATTCGGTACTCGCAATCACCACTGCGAGTCGCGAACAGTATATCGCGGACTTCACGCTTGAACAGTTCGGATATCCGGCCGGACTTTGGTTTCTTGAAAGAGCAGAATATTTTACACGCTTTGTAGAGGCAGGAGCCAGTTGGCGCATTGCTACCGCGGAGGACATGGACGACGCGCATTGTGATATTGCAGAGTGTGATATTCAGCAACCCATTAGGACCTGTATTGATGCTGTTTGCAAGGAAATCAATTGGCCGAGTTATTACAAGCTTTCGGCTGAAGACCGCATACCCTGGCTGGAAGCTCGTACTCGAGAAACCATGGGTAGGCTTGAAGCAGAAGAGGAATTGGACTCAACACTAGAGGCCGCTTAGTATAAAGGCAAGTTCATGGATGCACGGCAAGTGTGAGGCTTCCTCCAATTTGCGATGGTATTTGTTGCAACATACATTTTTGTACAAGTTGTGATTGGCTCGTCGACTCGGTGTCATCTCACCCGAAGGACAATAACATAGGGAATATCGGTGATGGTCTCCACTTCTTCGCAGGGGAAGCAGTATTCACCCAGAAAGGCGAAAGCTAGTCCTCATCTGCAGTCATGCGCTATCACATATATATCTAGAAAAATACCCCCTCTGTCCAGGATGAGACTAAAAACCTTATAATTCAACCCTACCCAACAACAGCCGTGTTGCTACTCCTTCTCAATTCTTGCAATAATACATCCATGAGTCGCACAGCGCCAATTCATCTCTCGCTACCTGAAGCAGCGGCGACACCATCACTGCCGAAATTGTGTGCGCTCTCCCCGCTACGTGTTAATGCTACGAAACCCTTCAGGTTCTTGGACCTACCAAAGGAAATACGTCAGATGATTTATAGAGAGCTACGCCCAGCCACACAGCGTCATAAGTTACACCTACAAGAGGGCCAAGATCATATGACACTAGTATGTACAACGATACCAGGTGTATCAATCCTAGCAACCAATCGACAGATCTATGAAGAAGCGGGGTACATACTGAACCCGCTCCTCAAGAAGATCTTGGCAACACCACCGACAGTCACTATCAGATCAAACCATCTTCTTGGCCTTGTAAACCTCAACAACTCTTTCGCCATCTCACGCATATTCTGGAGTTGGTTAACCTGTCTCTTGAAACACCGACTGTTCAGCTGCGTGAAGGATATCCGCCGTTACCGCGATGGCAGATTATCGAGCGCCAAATTACTTAAACAACTTTACACGAAGGGCTTCACTCGGAAACATATCGATGCAAGGATGTTGGAGGGTCTGATCAGCTTCCTCCTACGAACGATTAGATACGCAGGCACAAAACCACAACCCATGTACACATATCCCCCCATCACAGTCGTCGTCGAGGTCCCGGATGGCTTCATTGGGCTGCCTGTTGTCACGACGACCTCCAGAGCAAAGAGATTGGCCTTCAAGATAATGTGTCCTAATAACCCAACACCACGACGAGTATTTAGCGGATATGGCGATCTACCCTGGTTGCTCCATCGATTGGCTTATCACGCTTGTATAGCTGGTGACAACCGCCACGACATCTCTTTCAACGTGCGTTTAAGGTTCTTGTGTGCTGAGGAAGCGGAGATCAGACAGCCGTTATGGAATCTTTTCTCGGAAGACCAGCTTCATGTGCAGATAAAGAAGGGAATTAGAGCAGCTCGCAGCACGGGGAAAGGATTATTGTATTACGGAGGTTTGGTGCAAGATGGAATTGAGGAAGAGATCTGACCTGAATACAGGCAGATTACGATGCTGGAGGTTTTGCCGTAACTTGTCTCGTTCACGTATATCCGGTCCGGAAAAGTATCCGATGCGACGTAGCAGCTTTTTGAGGCTAGTATTGGAACTTAACGCGCTCTGAGACCTTTTGTGCGTGAAAGCTGTGTATATTGGCTTGCTATTCGTCAGAGAACTGTCCACTTCTTCATCGCATTTTACGGAACATTCATAACACCAAAACTGCATGAATTTACAGCTGCTAGGGGCGATTGCGCAAAGTAAAGGTCTATAGATGAGGGAAAACCTGCGACCACGCTGGTGTATCATACACGCCTTTTGGAACATTCCTTATGCTGACAAAAGCTTCAACCACAATGTATGCCCGACTCACAATATAACTTATACCACACAATATACATAAGAGCGAGATGACCACAGTACTAAGACATCCAAGTGTCCGCTTGTTGTAGGCAACCCAGATTTTGTCGATGAAGGGGAAAACATGAGCTAAGAGATTGGTAATCAACCAGAACGCAGCACAAAAGGTCACCCATATGGAACTCAGCCGCCAGAAGAGCTGCTCCAGCTGGCTGGGAAAGAAGTAGTCCCAAGCCGCAACGTGTATGGCACCATACACGGTTGAAGCTCCCCATAATACCATCCCCATGATGAAAGATTGGGTGCGGCGAAGTAAACCGTCGTTTGGCCAGTCGAGAGCATGAGTTTGTAGTAGCTCGGTAACGTAGGGCATCCTGTAAGTGGTACCCGAGGTATTCCCGTCGCGAGCTGGGGCGAAGCGAGTTTGTAAGATCGGATACAACAGCAAAGCGTTTTCTGCGAGACGCTTTAGATCGGAACTAGCTTCGGTTTCGGGGTCCTGCAAGGTTGCTTCGCCTTCTTGCTCCAAATTCTGGATAGTCGGACGGAGACCAAGATGACCAGTCCCACGAGATTGCGCTGTATCACAATGATTGACTTGATCAATGTCTTCACGCCTTGCCGTTCTAGCTTCGAAGTAAGCCAGTTTCTCTAATTCGGGAGTGGCGAATCGAAACATCGCAAACTTGCCCTGTGGTACCTTACCACTCATTTGACTCGCCAGATACATATACGCAGTCAAAGGTAGCCAGTCTCCTTTCAGTACTGTTGGAGAAGTCACCTGACGAGGTTTGTGCCACCAGAGCATATACATGATTAGCGCGCAAACGACATGAGCTACAACGTGTACCTCGAGCAAAGTAGTTGGTAACCCAGCTGCTGTCCGACTGATAACCTGAATGATCATCCATCCGGCCTGAATGCACACGAGAAGCTTAGCAAGACCGTCTGCTTTGTTCTTATCCTTGATTTCATCGACAGAGATGTCGAGAATGTGTCCACACTGGGCGAATAGTGCAACTCCCTTTGCAGTTAGGGTAAGACGTTTCGCACCATTGAACAGGACCGCGCTTCGAGAGTCTGTATCGTCAATATCGAGGGCGAAACCACCCATCGTGCCGTAGAATCCATGTACGATAGTCCAGGGGCTATGGTGGTGCTGGTCATGATCTCCGGATACTATTATCTAGTACTTTTTAGTTTCAGTGCCCAAGGAAGGGTCGTTTAGCTACCTTTTTGGGTTCTCGCGCTGTCTTCCTTCTTCCTCCTTGCCTCTTCTACCTCTGAATACATCTGTCGCGCAGAAGCTAGTTGTAGCCAGGCCGCGTATAGTATCAATTCCGGTGCGAAGAGGCCAAGGATGCACCATTGAATTTCTCTGAATAGGCCTTTGAAATAGCTTTCATCTTTGCGTGGTACGTTCAAGTTGACTCAAGTATCACCGAACGAGAAGGAATCGATGTGGAGATCAGCTTTTATATGCGTCGTATCTATGGGTTGATCCGTGCATCGACTTTTCCTTTCTTGCACTAGATCACATGAACATAGCACGTACCACTTGTACTCTCCGAAGACATCTCACCTCAGCTTTATACGCCCAAGGATACATCTATTCGAGGATGAGTGTTCGATCTCGCAAACCTGCAGAACAGGCAGAATCGGCAGCGGCGCACCAGGTACGCAGATGTCTACCGCACATGCGAATTCCAAAGTTGATGGTCGCCAGGATATGTATGGCAAACATATAAAGGAAAGGCTGCCGCGTTCCTTGCTTATGTGGGATGAGATTCGTAAGATAACTCACTGAATCAAGTCTCTATAGCTAATCGATGTTGCAGCCAATTGGTACCAGTACATTCACCCTTTAATAGGTACTTGTCACGGACATGCGCTCACAAGACTTAGAGATAATGAGTACATCTTGTCTGGCTACAGGTAAGATCTCCAAGAATCTTGTATCGTGGCTGTCTTCTGAACGCCAAGAAACACAGAGCAGTCTCAGGATCCTACAGAAAATGCTTCGGGAGCATCATCAGTATTCATAACGAAACCGGTAAGATCGTATGCAGCGCCTATAGTGGGTGAGCTAACTACTCTCGAGTAAACATATTCTCGCACCTCATAGGATCAGTACTATTCTTTGCACTTCCAATACCGGTGTACTATTCCTTGCAGCCGAGATACGGCACGGCAACTACAGCAGACGTTGTCGTATTCTCTACCTTCTTTTTCGGTGTCGCAATCTGCTTTGCACTATCTGCAACGTACCACGCTCCGCGTCTCTGTTTCTCTGGCATCCAAAAGCTGACATGAGAGGCAGTTTTCACGTCTTCAACAACCACAGCGAAAGCATTCACGTCTTCGGTAATCAGCTCGACTACGTAAGCAAACTCCACGTTGCAGCACGTCGTTGTAGGGAATAACCGAGCGGCTCCCACTAGTCAGCTACTCATGGGCGCTCAACCTTTTCCTGCAACGACGTGACAGTATCATCCAGCTACTGACTGCTCTAGCTTGGCATCGTGATACTCATGTGGGGCTCCACCATCCCGTGCGTTTACTATGGCTTTTATTGTACACAGCGGCTACAAACTACATATTACACACTCGTCTCAGTCTTGGCAGGAGGCTGTGTCTACGCGACGCTTCACCCAGCTTTCCGTCGTCCAAAGTATCGCCCATACCGCGCAGCCATATATTCTGGGCTTGGCCTCTCGTTCATCATCCCCATCATTCATGGCTTGTTGAAGTTTGGCTGGGAGACGCAGATGTGGAGGATGAGTCTGGACTGGATGGCGTTGATGACGGCATTCAACCTTACAGGCGGTGCGTTGTACGCTATGAGAGGAAGTTTAAGAGTCTGATGACTACTTTGTTCTCTTCAATACGTGGGGAAGGCTGATCATGTGTAGATTCCAGAGAAATGGTATCCCTATCGATTTGATATCTGGGGCTCAAGCCACCAGATTATGCATTGCCTGGTTATCTGTGCTGGCATTGCCCATCTGTTTGGTCTGCTGAGAGCATTTGACCATGTACATGGATATGGAAACGTCTGCACGACATGATGAGGGTAGCGGCTCGGTTAATACCCAACATACTGCAGTGTCATTCAAGATACAATAAGGGAATACACGTATCAAGTATTAGGCTATACTCTCGACCCAACTACGTACAACCATCCCAAACTAATCACAGCACAAACCCACCCGTAGTAACCACTTTCCAGCTACGCACCGGATGCGTATCCTCAAGTTCAACACACCACCAGAGCACATCCTTCGTCTTTTCGATCTGCCCACTTTCTTCGTATGCCCTAGCCATCGCATACCATGCCTCAGAGTAGTCCCAACCAGCACCAAGCTTGGTGAGTGTGGACAGTAGACCGTATGCACGGTCTCGCGCGGCAAGACGGGTAAGCTCCGGAGAGGAGAGCTGGTTCTCTACTGATGGCGTGTGCGAGGTCAGGTATTGTGTCTTCGATTTGGTTATGCTTGGTTGGTCGGGAGATGCCGATGGCGGTAAAGGATGCACGACACCGTCGGCATTGGCAGGCTCCAGTGGTATCGCTTCGCTGTAGATGTCCAAGAGGATGTTCGACAAGCCGACGATAGCCTCAGGGTGGTCGGGGAAATGTTGTAGAGCGCGCTCAAAGTCTACACGAGCTTCATGCTTCAGCGACTGGGCTACGAGCTGTTCTGCGCGCTGTGAAATCTGTTAGTAAAGAGTGGTACGAACGTCATTCGAAAACTTACAGCAGCGAACACGTCAGCCCACAGCTCTTCAACACTCTTACCACCACCCCATCCTTTTTCAGCGAGCGCCTTGGCTGTTGAGGATTCCAATGATACCTCTGCCTCAAACGCCTCCACCAGCTTCAATGCCTCAGCGACAGCCTCCCGGCCATCCTGAAACATGTGCGCCCTTGCATACAGCCCAGAGATAAAGATCCATATGCTGACCAATAAGGAAACTTTCTGGCGACGCTCTTGAATTTTGGAGAAGTAAGGGTCCGCAGGGATATAATTTGCATGCGGGAGGCGAGAAGGTAGGCGGGTGTCTTGTCTAGGAGGGTGTTCTTCGTGACCCAGTGGTGGGGCGGCATGATCCAAATTGTGAGGAATATCTCGCAACGGTCGTTCACCACTTTCTATAGATTTCCTTTGGGGGCTAGAAACGGAAGTTGGGTGAGGGGACTTTGAGGGCGTGCCATTTTTAGGAATTTCTGGAAGCGGTGGTACCTCTGATGTAGGATCTTTACTTGCGTGACCATCATTCTGTTTGTGGTGATGGAGTAGATGGTGACGGTGGTGACCGTTAGCATGATCTGCACCTTTGTCGTCGGTAACTTGAATCGCCGGAGGCACTTCTGGATTCGTCGTGGCTGTGTTCCCGCTGACTGCAGATGTATTCCGAGGGACGGTCTCTTGCTGAGTTGTCCTGACTGATCCTCGCCCGCGGAAAATACTTCCTCGACCAGCTCCCACAGCACTTTTTGGGGGCGCCAGTGCTGCCGGTTCAGGTGCGGGCTTGACTTTATCAGCTGCCGGGTCACCGAACAGTCTGCCATATAACGCAAGAAGCTCGTCACACCCGTCTACTGCGGCGGTGGCGCCGTCGGGGATCTCGAGCAAAGACAGCTGCGTCATCTTAATCTGCAGTATGTTGCTCTTCTCGAAGCGTTCCATGCGATCTACAACACCTGATTCGAGCGTGTCTTGCCCAGCAGCTTGGTTGAGGTGTTCGCTTCGGAAAGCGCCCGAATCACGACCGAAAAGGATAGCGGGATCACCGAACTGCTCGAAAGCTGCCTCGCATGCCTTCTCAGCAGCGGCAAACTCGGATCGCGACGTGAGAAGTAGACCGAGAAGGTGCCATACGGGTATTAGCTTTCGTTCGCGTCCAAACTCAGTCGGAATTCCACCAGAAATGACTCCATCTGTACTAATAGTCGTACCCTTTGTTGCTGGAGAAAGTGCACGTTTGGCAACCTTGATGGCTCCAGGGATGTCTCGTGTCTCTGCTAGAACTAAAGCCAGTGCGTATAGGGCTTCCACGTTATGTTCGTCGCCGAGACTTGGTGACAATGACTTCCTTAGGTATTGTATAGCTTTGGCCTGGACCTTCGCGCGCGCCTCAACTTCGTATGTCAGTCGTGCCCAGTGCGCCTGACTGACACCGATGGCACAGTAAGCAGCAGCTAGAGCTGTAGGTTCGACCACGGACTCGGAAGAGGCGACAGAGCCGGCATCGGACATTGACCTGAGGTGATCCGCCTGTTCAAGCCAGTGCTCGATACTGTGGCTGATCTCAAGAGCCCGCTCAGCATCGTGCCTGGACCCCCAACGACAGAGCATCCTGATTGCCTCGGCAGAGGTCCTCATGACGGTACTGTCGTCGTCAATGCCCGCCTCCACTTCGCCTGACTTTTCTGATCGATCCTTGTTCCGTGTGATAATCTCGACATACGAATCGTAGGCTTTATATGCCAATTCAGGTTCGGCGAGGGACGCGTGGATAACGAAAAGGTTGCGCAAGATCTGCGTAGAATGGTATGTCTTGGTGGCCGCTCGGTAGAGGATCTAGATGTTGTCAGTCTAAGGTTGTCATGAAATATAGGTGTCTTACATCAAGAACACCTCGTGAGACACCCTCCTTTCCACCTTCGCCGAGATCATCGTCACTCCAGCTAGGACCACATAGGAGGCGCCAGTTGTCCATGACAGAGTCCACCCACGCTTCGACTTCATGGTTGGTCTCACTAGCTTTGGGAAACTTGGTCTCCCTTATCAACAAGTTCTCGTAGACAGCCTCTACTCGTTTCAGTTCTGCTCTTTGCCGTAAACGTGCGTCAGACTGGGCGGTTGGTGTTGGCTTCTCTTGGATGATGGGTGTCGAATCAGGTTCGTAGGCTAGGTCGTAACGGAGGATCGTGGACAGCGAGTCGTAGTATGCCTTCCATGCTAATCGTCGGTACAATGCTGAGCTGCCGGTGTCTGACGCAGCATTCTTGGAGGTTGCATCCCAGAACTTTGCCCAGTAGCGGTAGGTACGGAGAGCATCGGACGCGTTGATCTTCTCGCCGGTGCCCGTGGACTGATCAGAGAGCCGGCAGAGGCGGACGAGAGACTGTTCGCCCCACATTTTGAACTGGGTTGATTCAGTGGTTGGGGTGGTGTTTGAGGATAGCCAAGGTATCATGGATGAGTAGGTCGTGACTGCCTCGTCTATGGCGCCTGTCTTCTCGAGTCCAGAGCCTGTGTTGTGTTAGTTTTCCGAGCCGCCGCCGAGTGCTTCCATATACTCGTACCCTTCAGATATGTGCCCTTGACCAGACAGACCTTTGACCAGCCACTTAATGTGCCTGACTCCCCGGATAGCTGGGTCGCCATTGCCCCAAAGTCTTGCGGTAGCCGCGCAACTGCCTGTCCTGGCTCGCCCAGCACGTAGTGAGCCCAAGCCAGGCAGACGTTGGCCTGGAAAATATCTTGGCCCTGTGTGCCATCTTCTTCGATTGTAGCGAGTAGTGTGGGTATGATATTTGACAGGTCGCCGGTAGACGCGGTAGAGGAGGCCGTCGAGGGCCTTTGAGAACTATGGGTGGCTATTTGGGCGTCGGATCGCGCGGTGAGGGTGAGGCCTTTGATTGCCGTTAGTCCTCAGAACGACCAAATAGAGAGGTTTGCTGACATCGTCGGTGCGGCGCATGCTTCTCGACCTTGCGACATAGCTCAGGGACGTCGGCCCATCGCCCGGCGCATCTTGCTTCATCCAATTGCTGTATGTAGCGCTTGGCCTTCTCGTTTTCGGGGGCGTTCTGTATGTCCAGTAAGCTACCGTTGTCGAGCATGACGTTGCTAGGGGTCCTGGCGAAGAAGAAGAGTCATGACGACATACCACCATGATGTTAAGAATATGCCTTTGGCACTAGACAAAGTCGCGATACTTGTAGAATCATGTTCGACGAGCAATACTGAATGCGACGCCGCCTGCCATGGCTGTACACATGTCACAGACCGACTGCTATGCCAGTCCCACTCTTCCCAGTTGGCCCGCACATCCCTGCAGTCTTAGCGCCATGCGGTCCGACGCTAACTCCGAGGCTCGAACTTTTTTCCTATCATCTTTCCGCAACAACAAGTCCGCTGATCAGAATCCAGCTGGGAAAAAGAGAAGAAAGAGAAGGGATCGCTATCATCATGGCGCCCGTCGCATCCGAGTTGGCAACACTGCGCGCGCTTAGTTTCCGCATCTCGTCTACGCCAACATCCCAGCTTCCCCAACACGTGCCTGCCATAGCTGCATCACTAGCCAATTGCAGAACTCTACTCTCCTCGGCTCAGGCCTCAGGTACCAAGGCGACATCCTCTGAAGAATCTGTCGCCATACACAAATTCCGGACTCTCCTCTCCACCTTGCTCCAAGATCGGACTCCCCATGGAAGATGGTGTGCCATAGTGCTGATCAAAGCCACTATTGAAGTTGGAGGTTGGGAGACTCTACAAAAGAGTTTGCCGTGGGTGCGCGGTCTTCTGGGATTCCTGAACAAGCCAGATTCGCCATCGTCCAAGAAGCTGTGCATCATCACTTTGACACGGATCTTCCTCCTAACCAGGGAATACCCGACGTTGATTCGCGAAATTACCACTCCGTCCTTGCCACCATTTCTCCAGACCTGCCTACAGCTAGCGAATGCCAAAGCGACTCCCGTCAGTCTGCTGCAGATCATCCTGGAGAGCTTCAATGAGCTACTGCCCCGACATCCTACTATCTTCAGGTCTTACCTCAAGCAACTTTACCCGCTTCTGGGACGTCTCATCGCACCCACACCATCTGACAAGACCAGTCAAGAGCAGCAAACCGGAGCTAGATTTGGGACTTGCTCCGAACTTACCGACGCGGCGCGCCAGCTTTATGTGCAACTGCCCTGCTGTGCGCCGAAGGGCGCTTCGAGCGAAGAGTGGACGAAGGCTGTGAAGAATATCACAAACCTCACTCATCTGACTTCAGACCGCGTGTTCCGTGCAGTGGTAGAGGACTGGCAATCTTCAGCGCGGGAAGCACCCCTCTCGAACGGACATACACTAGATGATGAAGTCCAAGATCTAGAGCCTGGCTCCGATCTTTCACCATGGTCAGGAATCTTTGCTGGTGGTGAGCGTTTGGCGGGACTTCTCTACGTCATCAAGGAGTACATTGAAAGCCCCACAGTAAACACAGTGTATCTCAATGTTGGCATGATAGTAGACTTGGTCTCAAGGATGCTTTCTCTTACAGTTCCAGCGTCCGCGAGCAAGAATTTCCAGAACACTGTGCGCCTGAATGCGCAAGTTAGCAAGGAAGAGCGTGAAAGTCTTTGGTTGCTACTACCAGAGGTGCACGTTGCAGCTATCGAGGTGCTTCTCGCATTAGCACACCGTTCTCAGACCAGCACATTAGCATTGGACCCTATCATCATCGACCAACTCGTATGGGTATTTGGCGCAGAGAAGGAGACTAGCCAGATCCGAACGGTGTGTTACATCGCCATTGCTGCTTTGCTAAAGAGATCTGGTGTCGCTCTACACAAGGCTACTATCGACTCTCTCGTACCGCTCATCCGTACTTGCTGCGACGATCTGCTACCATCCGAGATCGTGGCACCTTCGACCCAACAGACTCCCGGCCAAGCCAAGGCGAATGGCAACAGTCAACCTCAAACTACTGCTAATGCCGATAGCTTCCTCGGTACTACGAAAAACACTAGTGGACCCAACGTTGGATTCGATGGTCTCAAACAAGCCGCTCACAATCTGCTTCCCGTTTTGCTTTCGAACATCCCGGCTCAATACCTCTCGGACTCCATGCGAGGCCGCCTGGATCGTACCGCTATCCTTACGCAACACAAGGAGGCCATGGTAGCTAGCGTGCTGAATCCACCACCAAGCAAGAAGTTCGGAAAGCCTGCCGCAAGCATCCTACCACTTATGGCCCGATCTTTCTCAGCAGAAAAAGATGTCGAAGGCATGCTCCGACCAAGAATGCCAGTGATCCGTTTGGGCGGCAAAGACTTGGAGGCGGAAGATGAGAACGATGATGACGAAGAGATGGAGGTTGAAGAAGAGCAAGCGGAGGAAGAAGAGCCGCAATCGTTAGAACAGGCGGATGATCACTTTGCTGGACAAGAATTGGACAACCTATTGGAGACAGCTAGCCAGCCAGAGACAATCGCAAAGGATCTTGCTATGAAGGATGCGCCAACACCCAGCAAGCCTATCGAATCTACCCCACGATCGGTTCGTAAAGGTACACTTGCGCAACGCCCTAATATCTCTGAGCCTACTGCTTTCACCGAGACGAAGCGACCGATAGGCGAGGATGGGCCTCTTTCACCATCAAAGCGACCGAGGACCGACGAAGATGAACAGCGCACAGCACACCCAATTCCTCCTGTTTCGGCATTTGCGATATCATCCAGTGGCGCAGCTTCCGATACTACTGTACCCGCTACCTCAGATTTCGCCGCTACCAGCACCGCCTCAGTCGTGCCTGAACTTCCGGAGCCAGGTGAAGGAGGCGATGACGATGACAGTGACGACGACAAGATATCCCTGGTCCTTGGTCAAGACACGGACGATGAGTCAGGTTAGGAGTTTGTGTAGTAGCAGTAATTGTATAGTTATTGTAGCTTGCTGAAAGGCAGTGAAGTGGTGATTGCAAACGCAGCCCGTGCACGGACATATATCTCAATCTCCCACCAACCAACGGTTTTCTTCGACCCTGTGATTGCTAGTGCCTACACCGACAAGACCAATTTCGCGACTTCTAACAGCAGCGCTCAGTGCCATACGTACGATATCGATAGTCGGACGTTCGACTATCTTGATGGCAAAACACACCCACATACCAGAAGCACCGCCGTATATGCGCGGGCCTACATCAGTCCTTCCACTACAACCCAACAAGCCGTTATCATCCAAGCAGTCTCTGAAGATCCCAAAGAAGAAGGAATACCCCTGGGACTCCCATCAAGACGATATTGTCGTCAATAGTACCGAGCTCAATACAGCAGGCCGCAAGTCGTGTATCGACCATTATCGACACCAACTCACTTTGCGGAAGACGTATGAGCACATCACCACAGACTTTGCAGAGGATATGGAGAAGTTCATCCCTAGAGACGCGCTACCTGTGCCCTGTTCTTCATCTCCACTATCCTCTGATGGTGAGACCAAGAAAGAGAATGATGACGGAGACATGGAGCATGTTAAGCATAACATCTGGGACGGCAAAGCCCGCCTTCCTAAACCCAATTTCAACCGTCTCGATTATGACTGGCCAATCTACCGCGCCAGAACCACCAATCCTGCCGTCTTCCTCGCCATAATACGTATCGCAGAAAAGAATCTCCCCTTCATAAACTTCGATTCCGCAATCACGCATCTGCCCAACCGAGCCGTAAACGCTTCTCTACCAGTTCTTCCATTTAACAACGCTCCCAATCGAAAGTGGAAAGGCAAGGAGAAGGCTGTGTTCGCGGACGATCTACTATACGAAAAGAAGAAAGACGACCAACTCATGACTGTACTCTTCTTGCCGGAATTCTACAAGGATGGTAAACATGCTGTGGGTTATTACGACATAGCGCCTGGACGAGACAAGTCAATGAGGCTGGAGGCTGAGAACGTCGTACAACTACTCTTCACTCCTTGCGACACGGAGGATTTGGTGCGGTGGGGGCTAGTCCACTGGGTTTATGATGCGGGTAGTATTGATGAGGCGAGGACATTGGATGACGCGGCCAAGAAGGCTATTGAGGAGGCGGGTAAAGAATCTTCTCGAAGTAAGGGGACGGAGGAGGTGGGGATCGAGGATCAGGGCGAAGAGCCGGATGCGGAGTTGATGGAGTATGTTGGAGCGAGAGATGGGAAGTGGTTGAATTTTGGTGCGGTGGAGGATTACGATGAGTGGGCTGAGGGGTTTAGGGTTGTGAGGAGGATTTGGGAGAGGATGATTAAGGGTGTGGTGACCAGTGTGCAAGAGGGTGAAATGGAAGCTCAGTAAGATGGGATCGAGGTTTGGGCTCGGTGAGAAGATTGGTTGAATTCGTATTGCGATCGTTGAAGATATAGAGTTCACTGTCAGCCATCAATCGCCCCAAGGTATTCCAGCAAGTCAAGATCATCAAATTGCGATCCTAGCGCAATCAGCTTGTGATTGGCGTTCTTCGGCATGTCAGGGTCATCCACAATCTCCCCATGAATCCCCAATTCGTAGCTACTCCTGCCAATAAAGGTCTCTCTAGATATTGAGATCCAAACCTGGAGACGGGTTTGATCTCTATGTCTAAGTGTGATAGGTTTCGACCTATGCAACTCTCTAAGAGGAGTAGTCACGCAATCGTCTAATGACTCGAGCTCAAGGTCGACCATAGGCATGTAAGACACAAGCTCACTGACTGCCGCGGCTCCGCTCCGTATCATTTCCTCGCCATCCGGTAGCAAAGACACTCGAATGCCAGCATGTAGAGAAGACCAGTTTCGAATCCAATTGACAGAGAAGTTTTCACCAAAACCAGTAGAAAACTCTACCCATCCCGGGGCTACAGTATCTGGCAATTGTCCGTTAACCATATGCGACGGTGACAATATAGAGCAGTGATCGAGGCAGACTGAAGATATATTGACTCGTATAGGCACTGCCACAGGGCGTTGGTTGTGATTATCCGGCTTCTCACCAATGATTGTAATGCGAGAGCGTTCGATGTCATGGGCGTCGTAGCGTATGCTAATTCTCGAACCAAACACTACATTGATCAGTCAACTAACTGGAGAGTTTTGTCACTCAGGTCAAGCGTACGCGGTTCGGGTTCCAGTGTACGAGCTTCCATTGGAACCGCTTCGCCGGGATGACTTGGTCGCAGTCGAAACAGTTTGACATCTCCAGGACTTCGACGGAAAATCAGTTTTCCTTCATGTACGGGTGATAATAATATAGCAGGCCTCATAGAAGGGTCTCCATCTAACGAGCAGTCCAAGATGCCAAGATACTTATCTCGACGTTTTTCGACCCCTTGTACTGGACTTATAAGCATCTCGATAGATAATGTGGTTCCAGTCAGAATTGCATGCGTGCCACGAGCTGGCATATGCATGTTGTGGACCTCGTCGAGGAATGACCTTGGATTTGGCGCAAGTAACGGTGAATCGCCAAGAAAGACTGATGATTCCAGATTCGATCGAAAAGCCAAGATCGATTGATCTGACGATATTGCAAGGATAGCCTGCTGTAGTCGATAGAAAGCTTTACTACCTTCGCCATACAATAAAGGCATGTTCACGTCGAACAGCCCCATGAGGCAGTAAGCTATATCTTCCTCACGTGTGGTAGTTCGTTTCGAAGCCCACTTCATCTTTTGCGCTACGCTGAACTTTTCAAGCATTGATTCCACATCTGCCTCTCCATTGCTTGGACAACATTGACAATCATATTCTGTCGTCCTGAAGAGTGGAATCTCATCCTCTTTTGCTGTTTTTTTCACCACCAAAAGTCCACTTGGCATTAGATCCGAGGGCGGATGTAATTGGGGTATACGAGGCCGATGTCTCCGTAACAGCACAGCTGTGTGGATTCCAGTAGCTGGTGAAAGAAGGTGTGTCGCAAGAGAAATGCGACTGCCTAGAAAACCCCAGTTCATGTCATAAAAATGCACACGATCAGGGGCAATCATCTCCTGGAGTGTCCAGCCTCGAGTGAGCCATCGACATTGGGAAAAAGACTCGTCGTCTCCAGTTACGCTGTCAGAGATGTAGGCGTAGCAGATAGTGGCGTCTCTGTACCATCTGAACATAGAGTTGATGGCCTCTGAGAGCTCGGCACTACTGTCTTTGTTGATATTGCAAGTATCAATCCATACAAAATCGCATCCATCTTGCAAGGCTTGCGCACATGCTTTCTTGATCTTGAAGTAACCTTTCTTTGCACTCCAGTCAGACTTTGGTGTATCCCGCATATCCTCGTACAGCACCTCATCGTTTTCCCACGTATGCGATAGTATTGCGTACTTCGGTTTTCTCGGACTAAGAACGACGTGAAACTCGTATGTACTGGCGTTCAGCAATCTCATCGAGACTGTGATCTAGCTGTGCTGTGTCTAGGCTTCACCAAGGCAGAAGGTGGGGCTCTTAATTCGTCCGGTGCTGCGGGAGGCGACCCTGCAAAGGTAAGTGTTAATGTGAAAGTGTTTGTGAAGTCTGAACAGAATCCAGGACACTATCACGAGTTAAATTTGGGGAAATTGGTTCGTGCACAAAACCTGAGTGGCAGTTCAAATGCATGCCTAGGTGTAATGGTGAGAACGCCCGCCTGCTTCAGCTGCGCCCCTCACGCGCAACACAGCCTTGAGTGATCGCATGCAGACGACTTGCAAGGTTAGCGCCATGCACAATCAACCCCAGCCTGCCGCGAGTAGCATGCATGCACTCAATCATTTGCACTTAGGTGTGGCTGAGCGCAGATCATCGTTCACAGTGTCGATAACAACTGGATTGTAAGGCCGCACGGTGGGAAAAGGCTGGTGCACTCTGAGGGTATCGCAGCGCCCTAAGTGAAAGACCTGAGAGCGATGTCGCACTCTAATTGTAGCTGTTGAAGTTTATATGGAGGCACAAAAAAGGGTACGTTACGGAGGCTCAGAAGCTTTAGCGCTTGCCGCTCCAGGACTCCTCCTCAATCTGACCGCTAGAGCCAGCAGCGCATGACGCTAGTACCCTTTCGTCCTCTTAGCATGTCATGTCCACGCGAAGCTGACACGGAGGCCAACCTCTGTACTCCTGCTCTTACGCGACATATCGCGACGGCGACGATTTTAATGCCGAAAGAATCTTGTAAACTACAGTTCTCGACACGTACCGGATTGCCACACTGTGCATAAGTGTCGCGTATCCGAGTCGCTCTCACTTAATAAACAATAGTTAAATTGTGTTTCGTGGGTGCTGCCCGCTGTTTTCCCGCAGTAGCAGGACTCTAATGTCGTATCGAGTGTTAGAGACAGCAACTTTGCGACTACGTCAATTATCGCCACATCGGTGGACTAATTTCACGGACATACTGTGGCTCGTGGTCTCCTCACTCCACAGTGGCTATGACCTTCACTTAGATCAATGTGCTGAACGCAATGACCTCGACCATCTCCGTTACTTAGTCCTAGCATCTGGCTTGTGAACGTAATTCTTACCCTTCTCCATACACCGGAGAGTACACAACTACATCAATCTCAGACACCGCGCGACACAACTTTCGAGCAGACAGCTTTTGTTTCTTCTCTTCACTCTTTTTGAGCTCGTCTATACGTCTCCTGTAGCATACCCTCCCAGTAACAACACTTTAGCACGCCGAGGGGTCATCAACGCTACAGATGAGCTTGACACAGGTGGTCATGCCGGGTGAGTCAATGGGCTGGCGCAGAGTTCGTCAGGTTTGCACCTTCAGCCACGGATATTGTTTCACCCTATGATTTCCACTCTATCATGCACTACGATTGTCGCCATGGGGCTAATTCTGCCATATGGGGGCCAGATCCAACGAAACCTTTACTGTTCCCGATGTATGCGTTCAATGTGGCGGGGGATGAAGCTCATTTTTTGCCTCTCAAGGGTGGTAGGCATTGTCCGCATTTCGATATCTCTGCAGGTGACGCGGCTACGATTCGGGCTATGTATGCGTTCTACCCCAACTCCTGAAGGGATAAGGCTTCAAACTTATCCACTAGATCCATCGTCACTGATGTGGCAGATGTGGATGGCACTGTCATTTGTTGGAAGCGACATGTACGGTGTGAGCTATGACTTTATCGAATGCTCCTTTTCGAGACCTTCAGTGAAGTTCGATCGTGCGATGCCTTCCCGTCTTGCGATATAAGCAACTTGGTCTAGATACGAATGGGCTTCGTGCAACAATGAAATGTCAAAATTTGCTCTATACATGAGCCTGATTGTATCTCAATTCAGTGACCATCTCATACAAGCTCCCAGTCTTCAATTGTATTCTCAGCCACCCCTTGACTCGGTGCCGTTTCCTCAGTCGTTTCCTCAACTACCCTTCTAGGATTCGCGTATTCCTCCGTCCAATTTCTAGCAGTTTGATCGAAAACCTCCCTCCTGTACATATACTCGTTTGCGATCTCCCATTCAGCTGGATCATCCGTATCCGGGCTATCCAGAAACGCTCGTATGCTCAACAAGACTGTCGAAGTCGTCAATACAGGGCTCCATTCCATGATCAATATGTTCAGACAAATCCATCCGTTTTCGCTATCGATGTTGGGATGATAGACCTTGGTCACGAACTTGACTATCGGTGGGACCCGTGGGTAGTTCTCTGGGAAGTCCATAGTGAGGTGGAAAGTACCGGATTCATATGGAGTGTCAGGAGGTCCTCTGATTGTTGCTTTCCATGAGAATAGATTTGATGGATCAGTGGGGGCGGCGGAAAGGCCTTCTATAGGATCGTTCGTGAGGTTTTGCAGTTCGTTTTGCAGACGCCTTCTAGTGTGAGCCAGATCTCGTGATGAAACCACAGACATATTGATTTTGTTATCGACGAAGCTATTTCAGAATGTCGACGTGGACGTAAGCTTGATGTGTGAATGTTGTGATGATGCTGCCACAATTGCTGATTTAGGCAGCAGCCAAGTAGCTAGCCTGGGTTTCTCAAGGCGCTATGTCCAGAAAAGCCGACGACTCTAGCATGCACGCTTCAGCGATTGAGAAATGATACATCTTGCTTCTCATAGTTGTTGAAAACTCCGTCTTCTGGTAAAGCGACGGTTGTATCGGCTACCCGGCTCTTAGTTCACTGACGTCATCCAACAACCCCCTCTGTCTGCCTGTTACCACATATCTCTATCAAGACAAAGAAGGCAAAATCCGTTACTGATGCCACCATGTTCGCGTAATAGTTCAGGGTCGAAGAAGATATGCTTATGAGCAGGAGACATGGACAGTAGAAGCGCGTGTTTTGCACCCTGCCAAAGTCTACCTACGTACTCGCAGAAACAGGGCCATTCGGCCTTTTTTGGTGGGTTTGCAGAAACCATCGATCTCTTCATCATCCTTTCTAGAATGTTCTACAAGGGAAGTATGTTGTTTGGATGGAGACAAAGAGGTAAGAGAAGGAGCTTTATATATTCGCGGACCGGTGCAGAAGAGCGGCATCATGCAGTGATCACGGATGCAGTTTGCTTTTTCTGGAGTCCTCACAAAAGCGTCTACCAACAGCCCCATGAGACATCATTCTCGTGCCAACAACAGCAAATGTCATCGTTTTGCGACGTTTTTTTTTAATTGTATAATCTTGAATAGTGTAGACGATGGTAGACTCTTAGCTGCAAGAAAGAGAACTTATATAGCGACTCTAGCGGTGCAAACAGCAGCATAGTCGCTTGTCTCCACGACTTAGTTATCGAGAAGAGAGCTCTGAAACAGGCATCGTACAAGTAGCTGCGGGTCTTGTATACCAGGCGACATGCCATTGCTGGCGATCTGTTTTGGTGTCTCCTATGTTTTGTACTTTCTCAGCATTTAGAAGATTGTCCTGGAAAATCCAGATTAGAAATTTGAGAGGGACAGCTGCCCATGGTCGTGCTCGCCATCTCTTTTGTTGTGCATGGAACAAAACAACACAACATCAAGGACATGCCTACGAGCAAGATCAATTTTGGAGTCTCGAAGCGGGAATGTCACCCTTTCTCTCTTTTGACTCAAACGCTCGCACCGCGATCACGTTCTCGCGTGCTGATTTGGAAGTCTATCGTCATGACAGTAGATTTTGACATTTTACTTGCCAAGACAAGACAAAAGCATGCGTGCAGTGCTTCTGGATTTTGATTACGCGGAACCTTCCATCACCAGGTACAAAATTAGATTGTGAAATTGCTGCAAGACATAAGAATGTTGAAGACGAATTTTTAGCCCACAGCAGGCACAGAACATTAGATCTTAGAATTGCAATTCTAGAAAAACAGGTGATGATGAAGACAGAAGACGACGGCGGTGGAAGGGAGGGTGTATATAGTCGTAATAGTCGATGACTCTGAGTTCCTGAAAAACTGGTATTCTTGTTCCATGGTATCTCGTGTAGATAGCATTGTAGGTCAAAATGCACCCGCCGCACATGATAATTGTGATGCACGATTTAGGGCACTCGTATGCCAAATGGCTGCTTCATCCCGGGCCTCGGACATACCACAATGCTCTTGTGGATTGGCGACACTATGATGAGTTTCGATGTCCTTTTCGAATTTGTGGAGACGGTGTACAGAGTATAAGCCAAGCTCATCGACCACAATAGACTGGAGGTGTCTGTGCTCCGATTTTGCGCAACTGGAAGATTGGCCTCATGCTTTTGGTCATGGTAATTCACGCCACTTCTTCAGACCGATCATATGTTGGACGATTTGATGTTTTGAATGCCACACATCGCTTTTTCCATAGAGCATTTGACATCGCAGACTTTTGAAAGGCTATGACAAGGAACGAAATGGTGTCCAGATTATATGTCGTCGAGTGGTGTTAAACAAAATGTCCATGTAAACCATGGTGTAGAGTTTTGGAAAGTTCCACCGCAGAACATGGGTGATGGTACTGGATTTTTTGGGGAATAGAAAGGAACTGAGATCGATGGAGGGATGGAGAAGCAACTACAAGGGAAGTTTTATATAGGCGGTAAGAGGAGAGCACATATGCACGTGATTTAGACTCTAGAGAACGTACTGCGAGGAAGCATCAAAATACGGCAGCATGTACGCATGTGATTCGATTCCAATTCCATAGCAAGCTGAAATCAGTCATTATAAGAAGGTGCAATAGCAGAGGGAGGTGCTATAGGAATAGTAACGCGTCAAGGCCTTTTGTTCCAGGCACGCTTCTAAGCGACTGGAGTCTCCTGTTACTTATCGTTAGCTGTGCATTGTGCGCAATCTGTATGTGTACTTACCGCTTTCAGGGCCTCAAAGACGTTCTCCGTATCCAAGACAACAGGCTCGGACTTGACACCATCCCATTTCCTCTCCCACTCAACAGCACCCTGTGTGCCATTCACGCCATTCACAGGCCCGCCGTCGCGCGCACTCGACGATACACCACCATATGCGTGCCCAGCACCACCATCATGGCCCTTTGCAGATTTTCCAGCACCCACCACGTCTCGGTCGCGACTGCTCTCCTCAGATGTCTGATCGCCTTGGAAATATCCCGATCTACCGCCTGTCAACTTGTGCAACTTGTCACCAACGCGCGTGCCAAGCTTAGCTGGCTCCTCACCCTCATTGAACCTGCGTAGGATAATGTAGCCCACGAAGCCCCAGATGAAGATGATGGTAGCCGAACAGCTGGCGATGATGACGGTGGGGACAACAAAGAGGAGGGCGAAGCCGACTAGGAAGAAGGTAATGGCGATTGAGACGAGGATGCCAAGGAAGAGGCAGGTTGAGAGGGAGACGAGGAGGGTTGTTGCTGCGAAGGCGAGAAAAAGGACGAGCGGGAGACCAGTCAATGCGGTCTGTGTGGTCAGAAAGGCCTGCATATGGGTGTTAGAAGTATTTCTCAGAGGACGCATAATAGCATACTGCTGCTTTCGGGTTCTGGCGAGCGTATTCCCGGGCTCTCTCGAGCATGTGCTCGCGCTGCTTGGGCGGCAACACCTGGTTGGTGGTGGTCTCGATCTGATCACCCACTCTCCTCGTGGTGTAGTGAATCTTGTTTCCCAGATTGTCGACCATGTCGCCCGCTGTCTGGAGAACGGTAGGCATGGTGGAGGTTGTGGGAGTAGGTGGAATTGGAAGCAAGTTCAGTGGTCAATGAAACAGTGGATGATGAAGATAATGTGAGTGGAAGATGAAGGATGGGAATGAGGATTGAATTGTTTACTGCTTTAGGGCAGCTGCATTGACTAGGTACAACAGACGGAAACCAGAAAGACCCGTGTGTGCCGTGATCGCACTTGGTTATGCGGGAGTGCGGCAGTCTGGAACGCGTCTGTCGCGTGGACGTCATCGCGCCTGCACTAACGTACTAGCCCATGCCACATCCCTGTCGCTCGGCTATGCCTGCTAGTTCACCGCCCGAAAGTTCTGCCAATTCGCGATTGGACTTTTGAACTTTTTTGACATTTCGCGACCAATGCTGCCATATCGCAACCGCAACGACGACATGAGTGAAAAGAAGAGAAAGAGGCAGGAGCAGAATGGCGAGCGGCCCAAGAAGAAGACATCCGGCGCGCCGCAAGGAAATGTGCGCGTTCAGATGGTAGAGAACAAAGAGACTCTGGGTCCACTTCTAGGTATGATAGCTACTCTGGAAACTGTCGCATAGCTTTCGAAGCCATCGGAATAGACAAAAGGGTATCGGGCGCTTCTATGAGTCGTTTCTAACACAATCAAGCTGTCACACCCGGTCTCTCTATGCCATCGAAGCTGTCCTTCAAGCCATACAAGCGCACCAAGATCCTACCACAAGGCGAAAGCAGCGAACTACTGTTCCAGTCCTCCGATCATCCCCGTCTAGATTACACCGCCTCAGAAGAGCAGGATGGCAGCGCCGAGAGCCAACTACAAGACTACATTGGCGTATTCGACCCTGCGACAAGCAAGTTGCAAGTTGTTCCCGTCAAGAGAGTCGTTGTACGAACCACACTGCGAAGCGAGGCACAAGAAATGCGCGAAGAGCAGGAGAGGTTGGACGCGGCCGTGAACACTGTCACAGCAAAGAGAGCTGCCCTTGCAGCAGAATTCGGATCCAAGAAGTCGAGGAAGGCGCTGGAAGACCGGACACTCAACGCCATCAAGAGTGGAACTGGCGCCGAAGATGCCGCGAGAACCGATGCGATCGCCGAGAACGTTCTGCAGCAGATGTCTTCTGCGACAGCCGTTATGCCAAACAAGGACGATCTCGCAGCAGCTGTGGACAGCTCCAAACCTCGCCCGATACCCAACCTCACAGCTGAATACCCCGCCGATGTTTACCCCACAGACGTCGTGGTTGGAAGCGAGCTGATGACTATTCTAGATGTCAAGGACTGGGTGCAGGCTTCATCAGCTGGTCAGGGTGTCAACGTCACCAGCAAATACGTTGCAAAACGTATCGTCAAGCTCGCAAAGAACAAGCAGATACAGAAGTTGAAGGTGCTACGCTTCATACTGCTTTGTATCAATTTCAACTCTGCATTGTTTGGAGGGGGTGGACCGCGTCCGAAGAAGATACCCATGAAAGGAAAGTTGGAGACGGCGATGGGCGAGGATACGCCTGCTGGTCAAATCATGGCTATCAGGAGGAAGTTTGCTCCTGAGGCAGGGTGAGTTGCATCCAGCTTTCTACCATTGAGTATTTTTCTGACCTCTTCAGCAACGGTGAGATGCCTCGTTGGAACATCGATAACCTCATGACACACATTGCGGCAGCAGCACTCATCGTTGACGATTTCGAAGTCGATGTGAACGACCTCCGAGACGACCTCAAGCTCGAGAACAAGGAGTAGGTCATCACATGAGGACTTGTCTACATTACCTATGCTAACGCTGCGCAGGATCAAGCAATACTTCGCCGAGCTCGGATGCAAGCTCACCGCACCAACACAGACGGACCTCACACGCATGAAGCTTACCAAGGCCGAAAGCGCCAACCACTTCATCGCCAAGCTCAAGTTGCCATTGACATTTCCCAGGGTAGGCGGAGCACGAGCGAAGAGACGTGCTTAGCCGTGACGCGCATGTAATTACGGCCTAAAGACCACAAGGCACCAGCAATGATACCAGCAGTTACACCTATGAAGTCACTTTTTCGTTTGCAGTAGTCCAACATGTCCATTTCAGCCGTGCGGGTACCTTTTGTAGATCACGCGTGGAGACCATCTCACAGCATGACAGCTGTATCACGCCATGGCCACCCATCCAACAAATCAAGACCACCCAAGCCCGATCCCGACCCCACGTACAATCGAGATCCACGGAAGCTATTCACTAGATACATCATCGACTTGTCTGAATCCGTATGCGTATCCCAAGTTCCGCATGTGTGTGCACCTTCATCATGACATCACCACAATCGTGACGTACCATTTGCGCATAACCCCATCAGCACCACTACCATCTCATCTCCCCATATAAGATACCTAATCCTGTCGCCCCAAGTAATTTCATTCAAACACATTCCAAACAAGAAAACTAAATGCCCAAATCCACCGGTCCCCTCCAAGAACAACTCGGCCTCGGCACTGCCAACCAATCCACACCAAACAACATGACCGACAACACCACCGGAATGGCTGACAAGCTCGGCGCAAAAAAGGATACCAATGCTATCCCTAGCCAGAACCCTAGCGTGATTAGCTCAGCGGGTGCTATCGGAAAGCAGTGTATGTTTTCACCTCTTCAACCACATGTCATCTCCAATGTGTGCGAAAGCCGGTACAGATGTTAATCAGTTTATACAGTCAACCCCGACGGCGCAATTGGCCAGATTGGCGAGAAGGTCGGAGGACCATTCAGCAAGGACGGCGTCATTGGAAGTCAGTTCGACGCGAGCAAGAATGGTATTGCTGGACATGTCGAGAGGGCTGTCGATGGACCAAGCAACCCTGCTGGAAGCTCAAAGTAAAGTTCTACTTTAGTAAAGAAGTAGGAACCTGTATTATAGCCAAGAGGCACTCAATATAAGAAGCATAATCATCACGAAGATTGTAACCATATGATTGCATATATTGTTATTCCTAGCCATGAAATCACTGCTACTGCTGAGTATTTAGCTATCGACTGCCATGTCATAAATATCCGAGTAACTCAAACTTCATTCCACCCTGTTCAACCACACCTACATGTCTAGAATCCTCTCTCCCACGCTTACATCCCTCGGGTAGCACAATGACTGCCTGCCCACCCCGGCGGTATCGTAGCCGCATGTCTCTTCCTCGGTGGATCGCGCAGTTTTCCGCCCGTATACCAGCAACAACTCCTCATCTTAGGATGTTGACACGGATGCAGCTCTGTAGTTACCTTGAACTATTTGCCGCAGTTGGTGGAACTACAGTACCAGTCGATAGTATGGTTCTCACTGGTTTTGTTCTGGAATCGTGCTGTTGTGGCGGTAAAGCAAGTTGTTCAAACGTAAACGATACAGTGGCGGATGACTTTAGATTGGAGAGGGATATTAGAGTAGCACGGAGGGTTATGTAGCTATGAAATAAGGAGAATGTCGATGATATGTTTATTTTTGGTGTATCGAGTGGGTGTGCGAGGTGTTAGTGAGATGCATGCAAGGCTGAAGAATCACATGTGTGGTTGCTTTGGCATAATTGTAGCCTAGGCCCCTTATCCTATACACGAATCCATGCTCTAGCCTATACTGTACGCTTCTGCCGTACGATATCTGCCGTACTTGTATTTTAGTATGATTAGATAGGATATGTGTCGACTGGAGTGGCGGTGCTGTCATGGGAAAGTCAAATAATCTCCATGTTCTGACAGATGCCTAAGCTAGTCTGCATTGCAAACTCACTGCAGAAAGACTAACCACCATGGCCGAAGTAGGACAATGGCAGATACACAAGACTGGGACTGGGTGCGCTCGAACTTATAAAACCCATCTTTTCTCTGACACCGAGGTCCGTCACCCCTCTCAGGGACGCACAGTACGACCTCAGAACCCGGAAGTACATAATTACTCCAGTTGGTTACACATGCAATAGAACAAATAAGTACGTATTGTTTATTCAAGCCTACCCTTAGCCAAAGGCCAAGGTGCGGATATGCCACTAAACCCGCGAGAGTACCAAGGCTCTGGAGAGTCAAGAACGCGCGACATTTTCAGTCAGCACATCTACTCTCCCAGTCTCCTCCCCGGACCCATGCCACCCCAAGCATTCCCCGTAGCCCTCGCTGCACTAGGCGGTGCACCACTTCCAGCCGCACCAGCCGTCCTGCCCCTTCCCTCGACAACATGACCGAATCCCCTGTCCTGCACACTGCCCGGCCTCGCACTGAACCAGCCCTTGACCATCTGTGGCGTGCGGATATAGTTTGTTCCACCACCAAACGTAGGCCAGATGCGTGTCAGGAAATCGTACAAGTGAGCGGCGATGAGACCGGTGAGTTGGCCGGCAGCTGCATCAGGACCGTCGATGATGAAGGTCATGAAGAGCATGGCGAAGGGGAGGTATTTACTTTCGAAGGTGATGATGAAGAAGGATACGGAACGCGTGGGATTATCTTGGGCGAACGTGTAGGCGTATGCGAGGGACAGCGCGGGGAGGAACGTGTACTGGTTCAGAATGCCACCTGCTGTTGCCTTTACGGGGACTGTTAGCACAAGTCCATTCCACAGCACGTTTGTATCAAAGCGACAAGGCGAACAAGGTAACAAAGGCGCGAGAAGTCGCAAAAGTATGTAGGGAGCCAACACCGCCTTGCGAAATGGAGAGCATTCGCAAAGCTTTCTCAAGTGACAATCCCACCATGCCTACACACCACACAAGTCCCTTTGATTGATTGCGAATGACGGAACCGCATGATGTGCAAGGGTATTCTTCCTCCGTTCCAGGAACCGCTTCAGCTAGAAATAGTAGGCTGGGCGGGCAGATAATCGGAGGTGATTTGGTGACCGAAGTCGTCGCAGACAGTTGTGTCGATGCGATATGGGGAGTTTCTATGTACGCGTGGCCGCGGAGTGTTTGCAGATAAGTACTTACGGCAATGACGCTCGCGAGAAACATGGTGTATACGAAGAAGTCGCCAGGCTGCGAGAAGCGAGACGACTCCCGCTCGATAGAGCTGCCGTATTGGTATAGAAAGTATGGATCAAGCAGGATGCCGAACTTCGGTTTCGTGATCAGAAACGCCGTGAAGATTCGCCAGAGCTGAGGGAACACCTTCGTCGTAAAGACATAGTGGCTCGCGAAGATGTAATGGTAGAGGCTAATGATGCCGCCATAGCCAGCAGCTGATACAACGACTGCTGCAGCTGTGATAGTCCTGGGGGAAGGGTTAGCAATTGTTCGCAGGTGTTTGCGCAGTAGCTTGAGAGCTTGAGACAAGCTGCAAGCTCCAAGCTGCGAGTGTTGCACAGCTCGACGAGGAAGGGACTCGCTTACCTAGAGACCGGCGGGAGTGTCCAGAAGACATCCATCGTTACGTGAAGCTATAGCAATTGTACGCGTGAAGGTGTCGTGAATGAGGACCAGCGAGTGCTGCCTGGAGAAAGAGGAGCAAGCGAATTCGCAAGGTGGCTTAAAAGCCCGCGGCGCGGGTGGGGGCTGCCGCTAAACTGCATCGCGCCGAATCACGTCATTGGCTACCGGAGCTTCATTGTTCACTTGCACACACTGGAACATTCTGAAGCTACACGAACATCATGATACTTAGGTCCTCAGCAGTAATCATCGGCTCACCCTCTACCAAATATGATCGACTCCATCTACATGTATCAAGTTCCATTCATCTGAGTCCTGCCCAATTTTCATGCAAAAACAAGCATTGCAACACATGTTATCCCAATTCTTCTCCGGCTTCATCGCCACAAGAATATCCGTTTTCTTCTTGTTACACTGATGGCACGTAAACGCCGTCTTCTCTTTGTAGCGATGCAAGATCCAACCCTCGCGAAGTTCCCACCATTGTGCATCTGTACGGCCTCCAGTCATTGTGGATTCGGATTCGGATTCGGAATACTGGCTGTCTGAGGCTTCGTTGTCTGTGGATTCAGACGGTGTAGATCCGAGAACTGTCGACCCCGTGGATGAAACGTTGCTGGTTGGAGAGGAGTGGATTATAGAATCGTCGGTTGTAGACCCGGTATGCGAAGGTTGGCTGGTCGTAGATTCGGTGGTGGTAGAGCCGGGTGAGGGTGTCATCTCGATAGAGGAAGAGGACTCGCGATCTCTTTTATCGGGGGAGGGTGTTCTCATTGTGTCTGTGAATATGGACGCAAGCGGTGGGACGAATATGGGCGCTGTGCGTTGTGAGGTAAGTGAAATAAAGAACGCAAGTAAGGTAGTTAAATAGATAAAGCCATTTTTATACAAGGTGAAAGCAAAGACAATCCGTTTTGTTGTCTCCACTCCACAAACATCTGGCATGAAAGCCTAAGACTGTGTTTCATACCATATACAAAACAGTCGTGCAAAGTCTTAGTTATTCTTGTCTTGAGTTCCATGAACTTCACTCTCACCCCCCACACCAGGCGTCCCCCGTTCCTCATAAGAGTCTTCGTATCGTCTCCATATTTCCATGTCTCTGGCTACTCTCTTGTGATGTCGAACGCGGTGCTGGTAGGCAACCATGCGCTTATCTGCTTCGAGCATACCACCCAATATCATTCCGGACATTTGGATGTAACTATTCTGTGTGAGGAAAAAGTAGTAGGCAGATGTTGGAAAGCACATACGTCTTGAATTGAACGGTAAGTCCCTTGTATACGGGGGAGAAGGCGTATGCGACACCACCTGCCACGGCGAAGAAAGCGCCCCACTGTAACCCTAAGTCAGCCATCGTACTAGTAAACTAGAAGTCTTGCATTCTCTTGATCCATCTACAATCGATCGCGCAACCTTCATCTGTAGCCAGGCGCACATCGTGGCCAATGATATCCGCGGGTGCACATAGCAATCGGACGCACACAATCTTCCTTCTCTTTCTCGTCATGCTGCCACATTTGCCGATAAATTCCGGTATATCCAAAAAGTAGATAAACAGGCAGTATCATAAGAAGGATGTGGAAAAAGACGTATGCATACCTTCGTACCCCCGATCAAGGCACCCCTTGCAGCTTCCCAAGCCGCCTCGTTGGTCTCTGCGTCCTTTTCTAAGCTGCCATGTTGTCTCACCATGATTGAGCTATCATTGGTGTCGCGTGTCTAATTAAAGAAATGCCGTATCGGAATCGCAGTTGGTCGATAAAGATGTTTGAACGTTTGACACGCGATGAGATATAGATGAGGTGATGTCAACGTACATTTTCGGTCGGAGCTCGGACATGAGCTTGTTTAGTGGGGGTGCCATGTGGGGTGCATGCTTCATCTCAGATGAAGATCGGGTACATTATCCTCACTACACTACTATACTTTTCTGTTCTTTCATTTCATGGACCTACTTTATCACCCAGACATACTGAGGAAGTCTGGACAGAAAAAGATGTTGTGTCGATGAATCTTTGTTTCTAATGTTCTGGTATCTATACTACTCTTTCCCTCTAAATTGTACACATATTCTTACATATATTACTTGGAACGTTCAATCATGTAATCATGCTCTACGCGAGCAGCCCCAAAGAAAGATCAAACGCCATGACCTTTTTACAAGTGTGATGCCTATGACGGTACAGAGGGCATGCCGTCCAACACCTCTTCCTTTTTCTCCTTCGAGAGTGATTCCTCCGGTGTCGATTCCTCGCTATAAGGCTCCTCCTCTCGCGCCTGATCATCGACAACGTCGGGATTGTCAGAAAGTTCGTTCCCCTGCACAATATCATGTTGCGACGCGACAGCATCTGAGCCAGGGCCAAGTGGTCGGAAGAGCTGTACGCCCTTTGTGGCGTTGATCCTGTCCTGCTCCTCCCTCCACGCGCGTCCGCGGTTGCTGTAGCGCTGTATTAAATCGCGGTAATGCTTAAGGCCCCTATCAACGGCCTCTTCGTCTTGTCCAATGAGTGAATGCCTTCGCGCTTGGAGCGACTTGTACAGCTTCCATCGTTTCTCTTCAGGTATCTCTTTGACATGATATTCTATCTTCCAGTCATCGAATTCAGTGATTTGCTCTGGTCGGTCGACATAGCCTCCATTGACCAGACTGCGGGCAGTCAATGTCCAACCCATCAAGGGGCCTTGAGGGGCTGCTGGGTTCTCCAACATATCTTCGGCGACATCATCTGAGTCTTCAGTAGCTTCTTCAGCAGCTTCAGCAGTCTCTTCAACAATGTCTTGTTCAACGTCTTCGACTGTAGATGAATGCTCGTCTTCTTGCGCTTCAACCTCTTCAGAAGTCTTTTCAGCATCGACTTGTTCATCGACGTCGTCTTGCGCTTCTTGCCAAGCTGCTTGAGTCTCGGCATCACCTTTCCCTACACCAACGACGTTTTGTGCAAACTCTTTCTGAGCGGCCTCTCCAGCACTCTGAATCTCGTCTGCTTGCTCTTCGGTGACGGGTTCGGCGAAGATATACATAAAGGGTGTCTTGCCTTCGCGAGCCTCGAAGTGTAATCGGATAGACTGTTGTGATCAATAACGAGGTTGTACTACCCGGTTGGCGACTTACTGTATTGGGAAACTGTTCGGTGGCTTTGACAAGAAGCTCATCAACGAGGTTCAAGGAAAGTTTGAACTCCTGGTCTCCAAGAATTGTGTCATGTTGGCCGTGTAAGACAGCGTCCATATCTGAAAGACTTAGATATTGGAAGCCGAAGATACGCTCGATGTTGTGGTAGGCGATGAAGATGCCGTCCATGCGCCCCATGCGGACTTGTAGAGAGTATTTCAACATGGTTGCACGCGTCATGTCGTAGAATTCACGCTCGAACGACTCCCACTCGCCTAGACTGTGACGAAGCTGGTAGCCAGAACCCTCTTCGTAATGCTTGTGGTTCATCCGAATCGAAACAACAGCTCGCGTCTTCAGGTCAAACACTCCAGTTCCGGGTAGTCGTGGGTCAACGGCGTCTAACTGCGAGCGCATCATAATGTTACCTTGTTTCGAGTAATGGTAGCAACGACTAGCGTTCTCTTCTGCAGGCGCCTTCTCCGGACTTGACCTTCGGAATTTCTCAAATTCGCTGCGCTCAGTTGTGAGGAGCTTTTCCAATGAGTGACCCAACCAGCTCATGATATTGGGGCTATCGTAGGATTTGTCGGCGTCTATCGCATAAGTACCATCCTTGTACCGGAGGAAGACGGCACTGGGACCAAGCGTGATCCTGGAAAACTTGGAAGAAGGTTCGGGAAACTGGCGTGAGAGCATGCCATGATTGAGTTTTCGGAAGTTGGATAAGATGTAATGAAAGTGCTGGAGCATACTCGACATACTCGATGTAGAGCCAGTGAACTTTGTGCCAATCCGCCTTGTCAAAGCCAGTAAATCCTCGTCCTTGGACGAAGTCTTGTATTCGCTCAAGGCATCGAAGTCGAACTCATTCGCCGGCATGATTTTCTCGAGGTATGGATCGAAATTATACACTTGGGTTCGTGGGTCCTGCAGACGATATACACCAGGGTTGAACAGAACACGATCGAGGCCATATGACAACATGGGGACGGGTGGTTTGTCGACTTCGACAGCCTCAAATTTGAGGTCGGAAGGGTACAAGGTGCTGATAGCAATCGCCTCTCGTTCTTCATTTTTTCCTTTGTCCCTCTTTTTCTTGTCACCAAGCATCACCCGTTTGATAGATCGTGGTCCTTCACTCTCGTCCTCATCCTCCTCCCCCAGTTTCACTCCCGATTTCTTCTTGTCTTTGACAGCATGCTTCCTGATCGGGACTGCGCGTTCAGATTTGTGCCGGATGGATTGGCGTTGTGGCAGTCGAGTCTGGCTGCGGGCAGCGCAGAACAGGCAAACGGGAGTCCTATGCCATAGCGAGGCTGGCGACAGCTGGCGTCGCAGCATTGGAGGGAGCGTGGTGGGGAAGACGAGCAGGTGGCGTTTGATATGCAATGGCAGTGACGCTCGGTCGCGACTGCCCTCAGAAAATGTATCGGCGTTTGTTAACGCCGGGCGATCATTGGGATCAGCCATGTGACGTACGCGCGCAAGCGGCCAGGGCCAGTGGACGCGCGGAAACCTACCAGTAACCAGAGACCCACCCTGTAATCCACCCATACACTCGTGCATCCTACCCGTATATCTCGTCCTGTCATTTCCTTGCAAACGCGCTGTGATAGTCGGCCCGGTGAAGCATCCCGCGCCCTCTCACAGACTCACACAACGCTCGACAGCACTGTTTGGCGGCGAAGCTTGGAAACCCTCATCCATGCCACGGAATAATAACATGTCGTGATTACAGCACGCCTGCCGACCCCCCCTCCTGCAACAGGCCGAGCCCGCGATCTGCTGCACCCAGGGCCCTGCTACTGCCACTGCCACTGCTACTGCTACCGTCTAATCGTTCCGCCGTTGTCCTCCGCATTGTCTCCCGTTGCGCCCACGCCCTGATTGGTTCCACCGCCATTCTGCGCCCAACTCTGCTCTCCCGCTCCAATTTCCACCCCCCAGGTCTTATTAATATCTTCCGAGAATATCCTCCGACGCGACACTTGCCTCCCTCTCCCCAGAGCCCCTCTGCATGCGATAGCTGTGCCGCCGAGCTCGTGCTGGGCTTCGCGCGCCAATCGAGAATCTCGGAATGTCCAAAGACAAGCGGAGAAGCATCTTTGGCAGCAGCTCCCTCAATGCTTTCGCGTCGCGCAGTAACAAGGATGAATCGCAACCCTCCAACCTGCTGCGCAAGCGGCGCACCGCGTCCTTCATGTCGAATCTCTCCGATGTGTCGCAACACCCTGAATCAGCGTCTTACAACGGCAGCACGGTAGCGGGGAGCAGCACCCTCATGGAACCGCCAGACCCCCAGCGACCGGCGCTCTCCAAAGCCAGCCTGAAGCGTGCCAGCTCCGTCTTCAGCTCCTTCCGCGGCTACAAACTGTCCGCCGACGACGACCCCGAACCTCTCTCTGCGACCTCGACGCGAACATCGACCGGCTTTGGGGAATACATCTGGGAGGATGTGCAGGATCGGCAGGTGCTACAGCATGGCGAGGTCCAGACGAGCAGCTCCATGTTCAGGAAGAAGAGGGAATACCTGGTGCTGACCGAGAAGCATCTCATCAGGTTCAAGAACCAATCCAAGGCGATTGAAGCTTTTCCTGGGTGCGCCTCAGCGTCGGCAAGCTTCAGAGACAAGGCTAATGAGCACAGCATACCGTCACCGAACAATCGCATGAGCTACTACCGTCACAGCCACAGTCCATCTTTTGGATCTGCGCACGAACTTCAGTCTATGGCTTCAGAGTCATCCGGAGACCGTCACCATGGCATACCCCTTCGCCACATCGTTGCGGTATACCATCTAGACGACGGCCGACCACACTTTGCGCTGGAACTATATTATTTGGATGATGAGTCAAACAACGCCTCATCCATGACCCTGCAATTCGGTGATCCAGAAGAGATGTTTTCTTGGCTCAAGACTATACGAGAAGCGGCTAACAGGGCACGATTGTCTGACGCGAAACCCATCTCTGCACACAACTCCCACCTGGCTGCGCGCGTTGTTGAAGCAGAACGCGATTATGTACCTCCTCACTACGCCATATACAAGGTTGTTCTCCGACCACAAGGGAAGACGACGACGAGGTCTTCGACAGACGATTTAGCCAAAGTATCTGCTTCAGTATGTTTCCTTGTTATTGGTGTGCACAAAGTGCACATTATTCCGTTGTTCAAACCATCATCACAACGGTCTTCAAGCCCTTCATTGGTCTCTCATAACACTCAGTCTTCGCATGGTATCCTAACCCTGACTGAAGTGTGCGTAAACGAAATCGACGATACCTTCCAATTAACCTTCCGGTAAGTGTTTGTTCTTGTACCGCAACGACCCCGCTGACGGCACGCAGTAAACCTCTCGAACGCCCCAAGGTCCTCCATTTAGCGTCGTTAGCTTCGCGGGACATCGCTGTCCGTCTACGATCCATAGAAGCTAATCTAAGACCAGAGTGGGAGACACGGCCTTTCGACTTTCTTGTTCCAGAAGATGTGCATCATGACATTGGACGGCAGGAAAGCCCACACCCGATGGATCAAGATTCTCTGGATCGGACCTTGACTGGGTATTGTGTTGCTTACGACGTACAGCCAGAGAACATCAGCTATCAAATCACCTATCCACACGAAGACGCTCCCCGATTTGAGCTGCTACCACCTGCCGGCCTGCGCAGGAAAGAGTACAACACCCTCGAATTACTCGCCGTTATGCGTGCTTTGCGCTACAACGAGACTTTCGGAGGCATCTCATTCAAAGACGTAAAGTTGGACGTCCTGAATGGGCTGAAAGATCCGAATGGAGCGGAGCATGTTTGCTTGAAAACAAAACGCGGGACGTATGCACGGCTAGATGTCGAAGAGCTTGAACGGTCCTGCCTACTTGTGCAAGAAATCCGCGCCTTGGCTCTGACGAATCGCAAGCTACGGAGGATGGATTTTACAGCCTGCATTTCCAGAAAACCGAAAGATCACGGGGAAGCTAGAGGCAGTGCAAGGGACCAGGGCTGCGGCATTGTGGAAGCTTTGTTCCCATTGTGCAAGTACCAAACTACCAATGTCGATTGGATAGCTTTGAACAGGATACAACTTGGAGATACAGATTTGGACTATCTCGTCGCAGCTGGTGTCGAACGAGCGTGTCACTTCCGCGGCCTGGAATTGAGTGGGTGTGGACTAACGGACCGCTCACTTTCTCTTGTACTGGATGCCATTCGCGCGCAGGAGACTACGCTTGAGGCCTTGGATCTGTCGTCTAACCCTTTCAGGCTGTCGCCGAGTATCTTCGATTCCCAGATTGGCGTTTTTGGATATCTCACGCGACTCAATCTGTCGCACGTTGCGCGCTCGTCGGGTCTCGAGTCTTTGATCTCAGTCGAAACGTTTGCTGGCTGGAGACTACAAGAGCTGATTCTGAGTGGGACTTCACTCAACCCGGCCATGGTTGACGCAATCGCTGGGTGAGCCGCTATATACCTCGGTTTCTTGCGTCTTTTACTAACGACTGCATAGTTATCTTGTTAATTACAAGCAATCGTCAGCTCTTCGCGAAGTCAAGTTGGACCACTGCTTCCTTACAGGAAGAGATATAGCGTACCTGTTGCACTCGATGACAGAACATCCTGGAAAAGCTCGCGAGTTACATCTGGACGTCAGCGAGAACAATATTGAGGAAGATTTGGACAAGTTGACCAAAGCTATCTCTAATGGTCTCGCGCCATCTAACTTTACACTCCGTCTTCTAGAGTTCGAAGAGGACGCCGACTTTCGCAAGATGATTCTTGCGTTGGCCGCGAACAACACCATCAGACAGCTCGATATCTCGCGAGCATCATTACCATGCGAAGCATCGGAAGAAACTTGTCGTGCCATGGAAAAGATGTTTGCTGACAACACAAGTCTCGAGTGGCTTGACATCTCTGGGGAGGACTCCCGACTTGAGACGACCAAGCTAGGCGTTGGTATCAATCGAGCGTTACGGGGTTTGCAACACAACCGAACTTTGCGAGCTCTGTACATCAGATGTAAGTCCATATACATTTCATACTTGCTAGGCGACCGTCTAACCCTACCAGATCAAAAGTTGGGCGTACAGGGAGCAAGCACCCTAGCGGACGTCCTTAAGGTCAACACTACTTTGCAGTACCTTTACTGTGAGGACAACGGCATCGCCTTGACTGGCTTTACTGATCTGGTCAATGCACTTCATCGAAACACCACTCTCCTCTTTCTTCCCAGCATGGAGGAGGCACGTCAGATGGCACTGAAACAGACCGAAGAGCAGGTCAAGTCCATGCGAGACGATGCAGCAATACCCACGCAATCAAAGTCGTCCTCTGTCCGAAGCAGACTGACGAACCGCGTAGTCAGCAACTCTAAGAAAGAGTTGAATAACCCGTCGGGTCTCTCCGACCAAGACATCAAAGCCGCCTTGGGCCTTGTCGACGAGAGCTGGGCGAGGCAAGAATACCGCCTCCAACAGTATCTCCAACGAAATCATAACATTGCACACGGCATACCGACAACTATGGATGTCGATGAAGAAGACTTTGAAAGGCCAGACACGGCTGGTAGTCTCGGCAAGATCCTTGAGAAGGTCACGATAGAAAGCACACCGACAGACGAGAAAAACGTACAGCTTGGTGTTTTTACGCCACAGTCGACAGACAAGAAGAAAGTACAGCTCGGTGTTTATACACCACAGTTCTATTCACCAGGTGCGTCGACGCCCACGACGGAAGTCGATTACGATATCACGCCTCTGGAAAAGGAGCTGGAGATGTCTTTTGGCGATCAACGAAGAGCATTTCCTTTCCCTCTGTAAACGACGCGACGCGATGCTACGATGCAAGTCCCCTCCCGTGCCCTTCTACATGTTGCGCATGTCGATCGCCTTGAGGTTACCATGTACATATAGAGCTTGTTTTGCATATAGACCCTCTCACACCAGAGGTCACTCGGCGTTGTCGTTCTTCTTCTCTTTCTTCATATAATGCAACAATATGGCGGGGAAATGCATACGATTGGGACATGTGGTGCGATTCCTCTTCCTTGTTGAGAGGGAGTACATACGCCCATTGGTTAGGAGGTCAGGATATGGAGGGAGGGTATAATAACTTTCCATGATACCATAGACGATTTGAATACATTTATATCAACTGCTCTGAACCCTTAGAGTATTAGATGCCTTTCTCGCAGATACATGTTGAACATGACGCAGGACGACGGTCGGCTATCGAAGCACGACCCCTGCTCCGCCGGTCTTAGCGACATCATCGCTCCGCTGCCCGCATCACCTCCGCGAAGCTCGTTCTTCTAGAAGCTCCCCACCATGCCGTCCTACACATGAG